AACACTGTTTTGGGTTACATGGGTCTCCTGGCTCTCATCAGCTTCACGGTGGCTTTCCTAGCTAGGAAATTGCCTGACAGCTTTAATGAGGCCAAGTTTATCACCTTCAGCATGTTGGTCTTTTGCAGTGTCTGGGTCTCCTTTGTCCCAACTTACCTGAGTACGAAGGAGAAGTTCATGGTGGCTGTGGAGATCTTCTTCATCTTGGCCTCCAGGGCTGGTCTCCTGGGCTGCATCTTTGCCTCCCAAATGCTTCATTATTCTTCTGAGGCCCCAGCAAAACAACAGAGATCATCTAACGAGGAAAATAAGTGCAGAAAACTAAGTCTATTAAATATTATTTTTCGATCTGAATTCCTCTGATCTGCTGATCAAATTTTTACTGATTTTTTTTAACAGATTGTTTTCAAATACAATTTTCTCCTACAACAGTCTGCTGAAATTATAAACACAAATGGAACCAATGATAGAATTTTTTTACTATAGAGTATTCCTTTTCAGAGACTTCTTCCTGGATACATGCACAGAGCATGTTCTCATTCCATGCAGCAGCAAAGGAGAACACACATGGAATATTCTTGGGTATAAAATACAGAATATAGTTTCAAGCATCCAGTCTGAGCACATAATTCTTGGCCTGTTACATGGTGCGGAGAGAAAGGGAGAGAAGCTTCACTTCCTCCCTTACCAGAGGTGAGGGGGTGTGGCCTGAGTCTAGGAATACAACTCTATGGCCGTAACCCCTTCATGTACTAACTAGCATGCAAAATTACCGTAGAAAATGGGGGGCGATTGTATCCGTGTATAAGACGTCCCACAATTTTGAACACACACACACACACACACACACACATATATAATTAAATTTTATTGAACAAGAAAAACCTTAAAGACAATACTGACATACAATGAATTGTAGAGATTGTAAAGAGTATAAATAGAAAAAAGAACAGAAGAAAAAGGAGAAGAAAAAGAGATGAGCGTGTGAATAGAAAAAGAACATAATTCTATCTGATGTGCAAATCAGCGAAGAAAAGAAACGTCCGACGAAGCCCATTGTACTGATTTACAATTAAACTATTATTTACACAGTTACATAAAGTTGTTTTTCTTTGACTTAATTTGACATTTTCCAACAAAGATTTTATATTGCATGGCTCATTCAGTATGTATCTGCCAGGAAGTTTTTATTGCCACAGTACCCTTTGAGATATTCCTTAATTATTATCCATTCCTCATTAACTTCCTGTGTTGAGTTTCCTCTCACTGTTCCCGTTCTCCTTGCTAATTGTAAGTACTCTATTAATTTGGCTTGCCACTCAATCTTTGAACAGATGCTTTCGCTCGTCCAATTTCTTGGTATTAGAATCCTTGCTGCAGTTGATGCAGCTAAATGTCTTTTTAATTTTAACTGTCATAAGTCCTAATAGAAACGCCTCAGGTTTTTTAGGGAATGGGATCTTATAATGATATCCCAAAAATCTTTGATCCTTTCACACTCATACCTCGCGTTACAGACGCTTCAGGTTGCGGTTTTTTCGGGTTGCGGACCGCCGAAACCCGGAACGGGTTACTTCTGGGTTTCGGCGGCCGTGCATGCGCAGAAACGCTAATTTGCACTTTGCGCATGCGCAGAAGCGCCGAATCGCAACCCACGTGTGGACAGATGCGGGTTGCAAATGTGCATCCCGCACGGATCATGTCCGCAACCCGACCGTCCACTCTAAATATATAAGCTGTTGCTCAGGGGGACGAGAACTTTCTGACAGGAGCACCCTTCAGAGCCAATGGGAGACTGCGTCAGAGGCAGAGAGCCAATCAGAACACAGGTCTCCCAAAGTCCCGGCCTCCGTGCTCTGAGGAGAAAGAGAAAATTCTGAGGGAATATGGCTTTTCCCCTCAGGAGAATGCCAGAGTTGTGGGTAGACTAAGGAGATCGAATCAATATTCAAATTGAGAACCATATGTCCAGTTCAGTTTAAGTGAGATAAAGACATTACTGCAAAAAATAATCATAATAGTGAACCAATGATGTCCAGTTTAAGTGAGATAAAGACATCACTGCAAAAAATAATCATAAGTTTCATTTTTAAGTATATTTGAAAGAGTTGCACCAAACAGGACTCGTTTCCCTTCTTTCAATAACCCCCCTCCTTAAGATGGTGAGGGAAAATGTCTGAAATCCTCTTTTTTTTAAAAAAAAAAAAAGTCCCTTTCAGATGAGAAAGGCATTCTGCTCATTCTAAGATAGGATGTGTCGCCTTTTAGTAATTTTGTTTGTCATTTTCTCTCTTTCAATAACTCCCCTCCTTAAAATCGTGAGGTGAAATTTATTAAAACCTTTAAAAATGAAAATAAAAAGTCTTTCAAATGGGAAAGGCATTCTGCTCATTCTGAGATCGCCTTTTAATACATTTGTTTGTCATTTCCCCTCTTTTAATAAGCCCCCCTTCATAAAATGGTGAGGTAAAATGCGGAACTTAACATTTGTGGCTATTGAAATTCATCTTGTTCGTTTTGGCCCAGTTCTCCCAATCTGCAATAAAGGTGAAAAATGTGGAGTTCGGGGTGGAATATTTTATTTCAGCGAACAATATAGATCGGCCTTTTGTTCTGGGGGAGATTGGATGCTTTTAAGAATGCATGAGAAAAAGGCTCATTCTTTTTGGTAGCAAAATGCAGGGATCTTATTTAGTCAAGATGGGCAGAAAAATTATTAAGTCCTATGATATCCTTTGCAGTGTTTTCCCCCCCTGCACCTTTCCCCACTTTCCCCAAGCCAAATAAAACATAATTTTCAGGCACAATATGCAACAATGTTGGAAGTTTTTAGTGAAGTGTTCCTGTTAAAATATTTTCAACACTGATAACAACATTTCAAAAGCCGTTTCTCAAACTTGAAAAGAGAACAGTCAACCATCATCTGTAATTTGCTTCAGCTGAAAAGCTACGATAAGGCACTGCCTCTTATGTGGAGGGGTAGAAAATAAATACATATAAATCCGTCGTCGTACATAAATCTCAGTTCTCAAAATAAACACCTGCCTCAATATAGAACTTCTCACAACTATTTTATTAAAACATCATCATCATCCTGTTTTCTGCACAGCATAAAATGCATAACCGCTATTTTAACGAGCCTTTTAAAGTATTTTAAAAGTATGAAATCTGGAACATCAGTTGTTGTTCAGTCATTTAGTCGTGTCCGACTCTTCGTGACCCCCTGGACCAGAGCACGCCAGGCACTCCTGTCTTCCACTGCCTCCCGCAGTTTGGTCAAACTCATGCTGGTCGCTTCGAGAACACTGTCCCACCATCTCGTCCTCTGTCATCCCCTTCTCCTTGCACCCTCCATCTTTCCCAACATCAGGGTCTTTTCCAGGGAGTCTTCTCTTCTCCTGAGGTGGCCAAAGTCTTGGAGCCTCAGCTTCAGGATCTGTCCTTCCAGTGAGCACTCAGGGCTGATTTCCTTCAGAATGGAGAGGTTGGATCTTCTTGCAGTCCATGGGACTCTCAAGAGTCTCCTCCAGCACCAGAATTCAAAAGCATCCATTCTTCGGCAATCAGCCTTCTTGATGGTCCAGCTCTCACTTCCATGCATCACTACTGGGAAAACCATGGCTTTGACTATACGGACCTTTGTTGGCAAGGTGATGTCTCTGCTTTTTAAGATGCTGTCTAGGTTTGCCATCGCCTTCCTCCCAAGGAGCAGGCGTCTTTTAATTTCGTGGCTGCTGTAACCATCTGCAGTGATCATGGAGCCCAAGAAAGTAAAATCTCTCACTGCCTCCATTTCTTCCCCTTCTATTTGCCAGGAGGTGATGGGCCCAGTGGCCATGATCTTCGTTTTTTTGATGTTGAGCTTCAGACTATATTTTGCGCTCTCCTCTTTCACCCTCATTAAAAGGTTCTTTAATTCCTCCTCACTTTCTGCCATCAAGGTTGTGTCATCTGCATATCTGAGGTTGTTGATATTTCTTCCGGCAATCTTAATTCCGGCTAGGGATTCATCCAGCCCAGCCTTTCGCATGATGAATTCTGCGTATAAGACCAAATTGCATACATGCGCTGGATTCTGGAGAAAGCTAGAGAGTTCCAGAAAGATATCTACTTCTGCTTCATTTACTATGCAAAAGCCTTTGACTGTGTCGACCACAGCAAACTATGGCAAATTCTTAAAGAAATGGGAGTGCCTGATCACCTCATCTGTCTGCTGAGAAATCTCTATGTGGGACAAGAAGCTACAGCTAGAACTGGATATGGAACAACTGATTGGTTCAAAAATTGGAACATCAGTGCTCTGCCCCAAACATTGCTTTCCCTCCACAAAATCCTGCCCCCTGCCAGGACAGCTCTGACGCTATCCCATCCATTGACGAGAGTCTCAAGGTCCCAAAATCTAATCAAGATGTTTTATAGGTGGTACTGAACACCTACCAAAATAGCTAAAATGTAGAAGACAAAAACAAATCTGTGCTGGAGGTGTGGTAAAACAGAGGGGACACTTATATATGTTTGGTGGACCTGTGAAAAAATCAAAAGCTTCTGGAACATAGTATATGACGAGCTTAAAAAAAATGTTTAAGTATAACTTTATAAAAAATACAGAAGCTTTTCTGCTAGGGATAACGGATGCAGGTATAGGAAGAGAAGATCAGAAAATATTCCTCTCTGCTACAGGAGCGGCAAGGATCCTAATTGCTAAAAACTGGGAAAAAGAAATTGTGCCAACAAAAATAGAACAGCAAGACAAACTGTTAGAGTATATTGAACTGGCTAGATTAACAGAGGCAATTAGAGATCATACTAGGCAAGAATTTCAAAAAGCATGGGGGAAATGCAGAGAATACTTCACAAAACAGTGCCCTAAAATTCATACCCAGACTTGTTTCGATTAATGTCTGCAGGAGAGTTTGTGGATATTTAAGTTATAATTAGAAAAATCTAAATAATTATTCATAAAGGAAACAGCTTATAAGAAGTAAATAAGGACGCCAGAAACAGGATAAAGGAAGTCTTTTATTTGGTTGTTTGTATTGTTGTATATTACGCTTGTTGCTTGTTATGTTTGTGTCTGATGGGGGTGGATTTCTGTGTCGGGGGGTGGGGGGGTTGTGTTACGTTGTAAATAAAATTTCCCCCCCAAAATTATTATTTTTTAAAAAAGAGTCTCAGGGTCCCTTTGCCCCGGCCAAAATATACTTCGAACCGCAGAACCACCTCCAAGCGCCAGATGGCGCCATGCTCCAGCTGCACCCGGCTCCAAAAGGTGGGATAAGATGCTCTCTGTTTGCCTCCATCACTTAAAGGTAAAGGGTAAAGGGACCCCTGACCATTAGGTCCAGTCGGGGATGACTCTGAGGTTGCGGCGCTCATCTCGCTTTACTGGCCGAGGGAGCCAGTGTCCAGCTTCTGGGTCATGTGGCCAGCAGGACTAAGCCGCTTCTGGCGAACCAGAGCAGCGCACGGAAACACCGTTTACCTTCCCGCCGGAGTGGTACCTATTTATCTACTTGCACTGGTGTGCTTTCGAACTGCTAGGTTGGCAGGAGCAGGGACCGAGCAACGGGAGCTCACCCTGTCACGTCACTCCATCACTTGCCAATGCAAAAATCCTTGAAGATGAGCTCCAGGATCTCTTCAGACCCCACCTGTCCCGTCAGACGTCCTAGCAGTCGCCGGGCCTGCCGCAATTCCTCTGCGGCCAGTGCGAGATCCACAGCCCGGTAGTGGCCAAAGCGCCCCAGGGCCTCTAGACATTTGGCTAAGCTGAGCTGGTGGCGCGCTTGCGTGGGGCTGGGGGAGCCTGTGAGAGGGTCGCCGCACCTGGAGGGCAATAATAATAATAATAATAATTTTTATTTATACCCCACCCTCCCCAGCCAAGGCCAGGCTCAGGGCGGCTAACAAGCAATAATAAAGACAAGTTGAAATGAATACAACTTAAGATTAAAATACAACATTAAAATATTGAAAGATTAAAAAATAGAAGAGACATTTACTGTGGTTAGGTAAAAGGCTTTGTACGTAGGGGGGGACTGCAAACCTAGGAAGCTGCCTGAAAAGGTAAAGGGACCCCTGACCATTAGGTCCAGTCGTGACCGACTCTGGGGTTGCGGCGCTCATCTCGCTTTACTGGCCGAGGGAGCCGGCGTACAGCCAGGAGTTCTGTGGCCAGCAGGACTAAGCCGCTTCTTCCCCCCCCCCCATTTTTTTTTATTGATTTCCACAAAATTATAAACAAACACATAAAACAAACAAACATAAATCATAACCTTATTAAAAATTACACTTATTAACATTGTTAAGTGACTTCCCCGCTTCCCCTTGGTTGAATTTCAATGCACATCCTTTTAACGGTTTTCCAAATCACAGTTCTTATAAAATTTAACTTGAACATTAACATCCTTAAATCTTTTCATTTTGAAATTAAACATATTAATTCATCACTTAACGTATACACGATCCTAAGCCAATTAAGTATCTGCAAGCTGTTTCCAATTAATTTAACTTGACATATTTAACTAAGTAATCATTAAATTTAGTCCATTCTTCCTGATACTCCTCCTCCTGGTCACGGACTCTTCCGGTTAGGTCGGCTAGTTCCAAAAAATCCATCATCTTCATCTGCCATTCTTCCACTGTTGGTAATTCTTGCGTTTTCCACTTTTTAGCTAGTAAAATTCGAGCAGCAGTTGTGTCAACAACCACAACTGACTAAGCCGCTTCTGGCGAACCCGTGCAGTGCACGGAAACGCCATTTACCTTCCTGCCGGAGCGGTACCTATTTATCTACTTGCACTTTGACGCGCTTTTGAACTGCTAGGTGGGCAGGAGCAGGGACTGAACAACGGGAGCTCACCCCGTCGCGGGGATTCGAACCTTAAACCCAGTCAAAAGAAAGATGATGCACTATATGGAACTTGCCGAACTGACCGGGAGACTCTGAGACCAGAGAGAAGAGACGGTGGAAGAAGACTGGAAGAAGTTTAAGGAATATTTGAAAAAATATTTTAATATCTAAACCTTAGAATAGCTGTGGATGTAGGCTGTAGGGTTAGAAGTAGAAGATAGCGTATTTTAAAGCAGTATTATCTGTAAGTGATAAAATGTGAAGTTATTTTAAGTGTGATTTAAAAAAAAAAGATGGTTAGAAATTATGATATATGTAAACTGCTAAAGATGAAGTAAAATGAAAATCAGATAGGTGGGACTTGGGGAAGCCAACTTAATGTTTAGAAAAATAAGGATATGACAAGAATTTGTATTGTTTGTCTTTTCTGTTTCTGTTTTTTATTTGTGTTATAAAATGAATAATTTTTTTTTGGAAAAAAATAAACCCAGTCAAGGGAGGCAGGTGGCGCTATGGGTTAAACCACAGAGCCAAGGACTTGCCGATCGGAAGGTCGGCGGTTCAAATCCCCGCGACGGGGTGAGCTCCCGTTGCTCGGTCCCTGCTCCTGCCAACCTAGCAGTTCGAAAGCACATCAAAGTGCAAGTAGATAAATAGGTACCTCTCCGGCGGGAAGGTAAACGGCGTTTCCGTGCGCTGCTCTGGTTTCGCCAGAAGCGGCTTAGTCCTGCTGGCCACATGACCCGGAAGCTGTACACCGGCTCCCTCGGCCAATAAAGCGAGATGAGCACCGCAACCCCAGAGTCGGTCACGACTGGACCTAATGGTCAGGGGTCCCTTTACCTTTAAACGTAGTCAAAAGCACTGGTCCAATTAGTTCAGTGTTGCCCTCACTGACTGGCTGCAGCTCTCCAGAGTTGCAGGCGAGAGGGGCAAGCCCAGCCCAACCCACCCCCTCATGGCTCCTTCTCTCCCGGTCCTCACATGTTAGCCAGCTGCTTCCCCAACACGCTCAGGAAAGTAGCGATCCCTTCTTCCGTTTTGCAAGAGAGAAAGCAGGCTGGCGCCAGGTCCGAGTTGGCAAGGTTCGGCAGCAGATCCGCCCGTTCCTTGTCGCCAAGCAGGTCCATCTTGTTCAGAACCAGCAAGTACAGCCGGGTCCCTTTCGGATCGTCCGGCGGCAGGATGTCCAGCAAGGCAGGGACCAGTTGGTTAGGCTTCTGGGCCACTTCCGCTGCATCCAGGACGGCAAGAACGAGGTCAGCAACCTCCACCCTGCAGGGAACAGAGAGCCAGTTAAAAGCCTTAGCTCAGTGCAACAAAATACCGTATTTTTTGCTCTATAAGACTCACTTTTTCCCTCCTAAAAAGAAGGGGAAATGTGTATGCGTCTTATGGAGTGAATGCAGGCTGTGCAGCTATCCCAGAAGCCAGAACAGCAAGAGGGATTGCTGCTTTCACTGCGCAGCGATCCCTCTTGCTGTTCTGACTTCTGAGATTCAGAATATTTTTTTTCTTGTTTCCTCCTCCAAAAACTAGGTGCGCACACACATTTCTCCTTACTTTTTAGGAGGGAAAAAGTGAGTCTTATAGAGCAAAAAATACAGTATATTGCTTGTTTATGACCTCAGGGGTTGCCAAAGGCACTCCTTTGTAGTTCTGTTTTGTTTACCCCAGAAATATGTGTGCTTAATTAGTTTTGGTAGTTTAACTTTGTCCCCACGTGGGGTTTGTTGAAATGCTCGGAAGAAATCTGATTGGTTCTTACGAACACTCTGTAAAAAGGTATTTTGTGAATAAAACGATCTGGGCCAAGGGGTGGGGAGGCAGAGATTATTATGCACACCCTTCCCAGAGTCTTGCTGGTTCAAGCCTCTGTGTGCATTCTTTTTAATCAGAGTTCAATCCTTCCTTTACTTTGTGAACGCCTCGAGACAGCAAGAGAAGCTTTGCTTAAGACCCAGATACTGCGGCTGCCGTCGCCTTTTCCCACTCACCTCTGCCGAGCCCGGTTCACTCCCTCCATCTCAACAACATCACTGGTGTCCCGCAGCCCTGCGGTGTCGCTCAGCACCACAGGGAACCCGCCGATGTTCAGCGCCGCCTCCACCACATCCCGCGTGGTCCCCGCTATGGGGGAAACAATGGCTGCCGGCTTCTGACCTGAGGGAGGACAACAGTTAAATTAGGGAGGGAAGGTAGACTTTAGAGGCAATCACCAATGCTCAGAAGATGGGAAGAACGCTGGAGCTGGATCAAGCCAAAGGTGGCCCATCCAGTCCAGTCCAGCGACCTGTCTTCACAGCAGCCAATAAGATGCCCCTAACTATAGGAAGCCCCCAAACAGAACCTGAATAAAAAAGGTAAAAGGTAAAGGACCCCTGGACGGTTAAGTCCAGCCAAAGGTGACTATGGGGTTGCGGTGCTCATCTCGCTTTCAGGCTGAGGGAGCCGGCGTTTGTTCACAGACAGCTTCCCAGGTCATGTGGCCAGCAGGACTAAAAAGCTTCTGGCGCAATGGGACACTATGACAGAAACCAGAGCGCACGGAAATGCCGTTTACCTTCCCGCTGCAATGGTACCTATTTATCTACTTGCGCTGGTGTGCTTTCGAACTGCTAGGTTGGCAGGAGCTGGGATAGAGCAACGGGAGCTCACCCCGTCGCGGGGAATCAAACCGCCGACCTTCCGATCAGCAAGCCCAAGAGGCTCAGTGGTTTAGACCACAGCGCCGCCAATGAACTTCCCTCTACTTGTGAGGCAGTGAACTCCCCTTGCGATTCTCAGCCACTGGTGTTCTTCGGAGGCATTTAAAGTCTTGGCAAAAGCAACCGTATGAAGAGGGAGCCGAGGATTATAATTATAATTAATCCATCCAGAGAACCAGCAATTAGCATAATGATCTATAGCACTAAGGGGCAGAGATGGCGGACGGGTCTCGGGAGCAAGCCATTTAGATGGCAGGATCCCCAACTCGGCTACAGCCACTGGGATTAAAAAAAATAATCAGTCCTCCCCAAAACAGGGAAGAGAAATTTGGAAGGTTCTCTGTAAAGCAATAATAATAATAATAATAATAATTTTATTATTTATACCCCGCCCATCTGGCTGGGCTTTCCCAGCCACTCTGGCCGGCTTCCAAAAAAATATTAAAATAGTATAATACATCAAACATTAAAAGCTTCCCTAAACAGGGCTGCCTTCAGATGTCTTCTAAAAGTCTGGTAGTTGTTGTTCTCTTTGACATCTGATGGGAGGGCGTTCCACAGGGTAGGTGCCACTATTGAGAAGGCCCTCTGCCTGGTTCCCTGTAACTTGGCTTCTCGCAGGGAGGGAACCACCAGAAGGCCCTCGGTGCTGGACCTCAGTGTCCGGGTAGAACGATGGAGGTGAAGACGCTCCTTCAGATATATTGGACCGAGGCCATTTAGGGCTTTAAAGGTCAGCACCAACACTTTGAATTGTGCTCGGAAACGTACTGGGAGCCAATGTAGGTCTTTCAAGACCAGTGTTATATGGTCTCGCTCCCAGTCCCCAGTCTGGCTGCCGCATTCTGGATTACTTGTTGTTTCCGCGTCACCTTCCAAGGTAGCCCCACATAGAGCGCATGGCAGTAGTCCAAGCGGGAGATAACCAGAGCATGCACCACTCTGGCGGGACAGTCTGTGGGCAGATAGGGTCTCATCCTGCGTACCAGATAGAGCTGATAAACAGCTGCCCTGGACACAGAACTGACCTGCGCCTTCATGGAGAGCAGTGAGTCCAGAATGACTCCCAGGCTGCACACCTGGTCCTTCAGGGGCACAGTTGCCCCATTCAGGACCAGGGAATCCCCCACACCTGCCCGCCTCCTGTCCCCCAAAAACAGTACTTCTGTCTTGTCAGGATTCAGTCTCAATCTGTTAGCTGCCATCCATCCTCCAACCGCCTCCAGACAAGGGGTGGGGGCTGTATGACTTCCTTGCCACCTTCAGCTCTAGTTTAAAAGGTTTCTGAAGGAGAGAAACAACTCTGCCCTCCGGATCTGTGCGGAGCCAGTGCTGCCAGCCAGAGTTGACATTACTGGGCTATGTGACTGTACATTACAAGCAAATATCAACAGCTGCAGGGACGCGGGTGGCGCTGTGGTCTAAACCGCTGAGCCTCTTGGGCTTGCCGATCAGAAGGTCGCCGGTTCGAATCCCCGCAATGACGGGGTGAGCTCCCGTTGCTCGGTCCCTGCTCCTGCCAACCTAGCAGTTCGAAAGCACCTCAAAGTGCAAGTAGATCAATAGGCACCACTCTGGCGGGAAGGTAAACGGCGTTTCCGTGCGCTGCTCTGGTTCGCCAGAAGCGGCTTAGTCATGCTGGCCACGAGACCCGGAAGCTGTACGCCGGCTCCCTTGGCCAATAAAGCGAGATGAGCGCCGCAACCCCAGAGTCGGCCACGACTGGACCTAATGGTCTAGGGTCCCTTTACCTTTACCAACAGCTGCGCTCTCCTTATTTAGCCAAAAGGGGCCATTAGCGTAGCGATTCACAGCTCGTTTTGATGATGCATTTTAAACAGGGGCCTGCCCCGAGAAGCGAGGGTGACGGTCAGGTGATAAATCAAATTATTATTGATAATTAAGGACTTGCTTTGCATTTTAATATTTTAATGTTGTATTTAAATCTCGTTTTAAAGTTGTATTCATTCAACTTGTTTTTATTATTGCTTGTTAGCCGCCCTGAGCCCAGCCTTGGCTGGAGAGGGTGGGGTATAAATAGAAATTATTATTATTATTATTATTATTATTATTATTATGCAGGAGGTACGAGGTTCAATCCCCATCATCCTGGATACAGTGGTACCTCAGGTTACAGACGCTTCAGGTTACATACGCTTCAGGTTACAGACTCTGCTAACACAGAAATGGTACCTCAGGTTAAGAACTTTGCTTCAGGATGAGAACAGAAATCACGCAGCAGCAGGACGGTGGCAGCGGGAGGCCCCATTAGCTAAAGTGGCGCTTCAGGTTAAGAACAGACCTCCAGAATGAATTAAGTACAGTGGTACCCTGGGTTAAGTACTTAATTCGTTCCAGAGGTCCGTTCTTAACTTGAAACTGTTCTTAACCTGAAGCACCACTTTAGCAAATGGGGCCTCCTGCTGCCGCTGGAACCCGGTTTCTGTTCTCATCCTGAAGCAAAGTTCTTAACCTGAAGCACTATTTCTGGCTTAGTGGAGTGTGTAACCTGAAGCGTATGTAACCCGAGGTACCACTGTATTAAAAAAAAGATGCAGGCATCTTTCTGCACAAGTCCCTGGAAAAGTTCAGGGTCGCTGGGAGTAGGTAATACAGTTGTACCTTGGAAGTCGAAAGGAATCCGTTCCGGAAGTCCGTTCGACTTCCAAAACGAAAGCACGGCTTCCGATTGGCTGCAGGAAGCTCCAATCGGAAGCCCCGTCAGACGTTCAGCTTCCAAAAATAGTTTGCAAACCGGAACAGTCACTTTTGGATTTGCGGCACTCGGGAGCCAAAACGTGCGAGAACTAAGCTGTTCGAAAACCAGTGATTCTCTCTCCTTTAACAATTTCAGTGGTGAGCCCCTTGGGGCAGGGAACTCTAGTTTTTGGTTTAGTCTTTGCTTACGTTACTCTGTAGGGTGCCATGTAAATCAGGCCTCTAAAGCAGAGACATCACCTTGCCAACAAAGGTGCGTATAGTTAAAGCTATGGTTTTCCCAGTAGTGATGTATGGAAGTGAGAGCTGGACCATAAAGAAGGCTGATCGCCGGAGAATGGATGCTTTTGAATTATGGTGCTGGAGGAGACTCTTGAGAGTCCCATGGACTGCAAGAAGATCAAACCTCTCCATTCTGAAGGAAATCAGCCCTGAGTGCTCACTGGAAGGACAGATCCTGAAGCTGAGGCTCCAATACTTTGGCCACCTCAGGAGAAGACTCCCTGGAAAAGACCCTGATGTTGGGAAAGATGGAGGGCGCAAGGAGGAGGGGAGACAGAGGACGAGATGGTGGGACAGTGTTCTCGAAGCTACCAGCATGAGTTTGACCAAACTGTGGGAGGCAGTGGAAGACAGGAGGGCCTGGCGTGCTCTGGTCCAGGGGGTCACAAAGAGTCGGACACGACTAAACGACTAAACAACAACATGTAAATCAGGCCAGCCATGCAGATCAGGACTGAAAACATTGTTCTTTGCTAAATTTCTATCCCCTTGTTCCTCTCAAAGGAGCCCAGGATGGCAAAGGTACAAAACAGCAGAATACAATTGAGCAGCCCCAACTTTTTTTTCCCATTCACGCCATGCCCAAAGAACTCCCCGATGCCCTTCCTGCTCACAGAGGTGGTTGAGGAGGCTGCTTTTCCCAGCGTTGGTGGGCCCTGCGATCACGACATGAACACCGTCCCTCAGCCTCTCGCCGCGGCGGCCATCTTGCAAGTGCTCCCGCATCTCCTTCTCCAACGCCTCAACGGCCTCTTCCACTGTGAAGAAGTAGGAAGGAAGAAATAAAAGACAGAGCCTCTCCGATTATGGCTATTGTCTCAAAACTGCACATCCCCCCTCCCCAAAAAAAACCTTCCCTTCCTGGCTTTCCAATGCTTTTCCTTCTTCCCCCAGCCATGAGGACTATCGCCTTTCAAATTTTATTTTATTTTTAAATCATTTTTATTGATTTTCCAATTAAATATCCAATCATAATACTTCAATTAAATAAAAAACTAAAATAAAAAGATCAAATTATAGACCAAATAGTATTTATTAATTTCTTGGGGCTCCCCACGGTCTGGATCTCTGGAGCATAGCTCCACATCTTAGTTCTGCTTCTCTTTGTTGTTTCCGTATTTTCCACATCTCGATATTAAAGGTAATGGGACCCCTGACCATTAGCTCCAGTCGTGGCCGACTCTGGGGCTGCAGCGCTCATCCCGATTTATTGGCCGAGGGAGCCGGCGTACAGCTTCCGGGTCATGTGGCCAGCAGGACTAAGCCGCTTCTGGCAAACCAGAGCAGCGCACGGAAACGCCATTTACCTTCTCGCCAGAGCGGTACCTATTGATCTACTTGCACTTTGAGGTGCTTTCGAACTGCTAGGTTGGCAGGAGCAGGGACCGAGGATCGAGAGCTCACCCGTTGTGGGGATTTGAACCACCGACCTTCTGATCGGCAAGTCCTAGGCTCTGTGGTTTAACCCACAGCCTCACCCACGTCCCACCAAAAGACTAAAATAAAAAAGATCAAATTATAGTCCAAATTGTATTTATTAATTTCTTGGTGCTCCCCACGGTCTGGATCTCTGGAGCATATCTCCGCATCCTAGCCCTCTTTCTCTTTGTTGTTTCCATATTTTCCACATTTCGATATTAACGCTTGGTAATTTTTTGTTCCTGGGTCCAGGATTCTCATTCATGTCAAACACCATATACAGTGGTAACTCGGGTTACATACGCTTCAGGTTACATACGCTTCAGGTTACAGACTCCGCTAACCCAGAAATATTACCTCGGGTTAAGAACTTTGCTTCAGGATGAGAACAGAAATCGGGCTCTGGCGGCACAGCAGCAGCAGGAGGCCCCATTAGCTAAAGTGGTGCTTCAGGTTAAGAACAGTTTCAGGTTAAGAACGGACCTCCGGAACGAATTAAGTACTTAACCCGAGGTACCACCGTACTTTCATCCGCTGAATATAGCTTTGTTAATATAAAGTTTTTCCAGTTGCCTTTTTATCAGCTCAGCTTCGTCTGATTCCGTTCCAATTCCGGGATGTTGTCCAAATCTGTTATCTTTGATGGCGCAGCAACTCATTAATTGTCCAACCTTTTATTTTAAAAGCAGGGCGGCATCCTTGCGAATGTAGCTGCACTTCTATTGCTGCCGTTGGGGCCAAACCATAGAGAGGTCAACATTTATTTGGGCGTGGGAGGAAGGGTTCTAAGTGCCCCCCCCATGGCAGGCTCCTTACCTTCAGCAAGGATCCCCTCCTCAATGTTGTCGTCTTCGCTGAAGTCAATGTAGGCTTCAAGGTGGGCCAAGGCCTGTGGGAACAATAAAGGTCAGCAGCTCATTTTCTTGGTCAGAGAGTAGGGAGTAATTATGTACTATAACCAAATATTTGATGTTTGGTGTGGCCCAAAAGAAACTGCAGGGAACAAAATAAATACTTCTGTTTGCAGGGAGGAGGGAAAGAGAGAAAGCACATTCCTATTACGGCCAGACAAAAGAAAGGATCTAAACGCCTGTGATCTAAATCCCTGAGCCTCTTGGGCTTGCCGATCAGAAGGTTGGCAGTTCAAATCCCCACGACAGGGTGAGCTCCCATTGCTCTGTCCCAGCTCCTGCCAACCTAGCAGTTCGAAAGCACATCAAAGTGCAAGTAGATAAATAGGTACCGCTCCGGCGGGAAGGTAAACGGCGTTTCCATGTGCTCTGGTTTCTGTCACAGTGTCCCGTTGTGCCAGAAGCAGTTTAGTCCTGCTGGCCACATGACCCAGAAAGCTGTCTGCAGACAAACGCCAGCTTCCTCGGCCTGAAAGCGAGATGAGCGCCGCAACCCCATAGTCACCTTTGACTGGACTTAACCATCCAGGGGTCCTTTACCTTACCTTTTACCTAAGATTCAGGTGCAAAATGCGCCTGGCTAATTTTGACGACCACCTATGAGGAAGGGATGCTTGACAAGATCATACCACTTTGGCCTGATCCTGCTGCAGGGATCTTCTTATATTCTTGGGTTTTATTTTTATTATTACTGTTAACCTTTATGGCCCTTGCCACTAAAAGCTGTTCCCTTTGCAGGGCAGGAGTCTCAGTTCCAGGAATCCTACACAAACCATTCCACCCAGTAAAAGTAAAGGGACCCCTGACCATTAGGTCCAGTTGTGACTGACTCTGGAGTTGCAGCGCTCATCTCGCTTTATTGGCCGAGGGAGCCAGCGTACAGCTTCCGGGTATGTGGCCAGCATGACTAAGCCGCTTCTGGCGAACCAGAACAGCGCACGGAAATGCCGTTTACCTTCCCGCCAGAGTGGTGCCTATTGATCTACTTGCACTTTGAGGTGCTTTCGAACTGCTAGGTTGGCAGGAGCAGGGACCGAGCAACGGGAGCTCACCCCGTCATTGGGGGGATTCAAACCGCCGACCTTCTGATCGGCAAGTCCTAGGCTCTGTGGTTTAACCCACAGCGCCACCTTCGTCCCTGCTTTTCCACCCAGTAAGTGACCCCAATTCCCTTGCCTTTGTGAGGGTGTCGCTCCAACGGCGATAGAGCCGCCCCAAGTCCCCTTCCATCTGGCGGAGAGCCTGCCGCCGCTGGCTTTCCGTCTCAGCATGAATCAAGTCCCCTAGGCCTTCTGCTGCGGTCAAGTCTAGCTTGCCGTTCTGGAAGGCGCGTTTGGTGAACTCCCCGGGTTCAGCAAGGCGCAGCAGAGGAAGGCAACCTGGAACCAAGAGAAGAGGCCTTCCTATTAAAAGCTTCTGGGAAACGATCTATAACGAACGGAAGAAAATGTTTAAAGTAACCTTTGCTAAAAAAACAACAACCCAAAAGCTTTCTTACTAGGATTGATAGGAACTGAACTCCCTGAAGAATGAATGAATGAGAATGAATTTTATTATTAGGGTCACAGACCAGTTCTGGCTCACTTACAATATCAGGAAAATCATAAAACGCAACAGGAATACATTGAATTGGGTATAACATGGACAATTCAGATATAGTGGCAGTTAAAAATATATATTAAATCTTAATCACTAAAATATAACCTAAAATTGTCATTTAAAACCTTAATCATTTTGGTAGTACAGTTTGTTCCCTAAGTTTCATGGCAGTCGCACAGAATTTGGCCACCCTTAGCATGATCTCTAGATCCTTGTTCCTCTACCAGGAGTTTTAGACATTGAAAACTCCCTGAAGAGCAGAAGAAAATATTTATGTATGCTACAACAGCCGCCCGGATATTGTTAGCCCAAAGATGGAAGGAAGAAAAGATATCGACGAAAGAAGAATGGCAAATCAAGCAAATGGTCTATGCAGAAAGGGCAAAATTAACGGCCAAAGCTCAGAGACGATGACAACGAGAAGTTTAAGAAAGAGTGGGAATCGTTTACTGTTTATGTGCAGAAATACTGCAGACAGGTTTGATACAGGATTTTAAGTTAATGCTTGTAACCAATAAAAAATTAGAAGAAGAAGAGGAAAGGGAAATACCGTATTTTTCGCTCCATAGGACGCACTTTTTCCCCTCCAAAAATGAAGGGGAAATGTGTGTGCGTCCTATGGGGCGAATGCAGGCTTTCGCTGAAGCCTGGAGAGTGAGAGGCATCGGTGGGCCGACCTAGTGGTGGTTTAGTCACTTTTGTTTCTACCAAGCTAAAATGCAAGGCCCGGCAACAGCAGTGGGTGAAGAGTAACAATTTACAAATCTTACTTATTTCTAGTAGTGAAGGAGGAGATTTCCTTTGCTTTAATATATATATCCCTCCCATAGGCACCCCTCCCCAGTCGTCACAATTCTGGGAAGATTTAGAGCTATGTCTGGAGAAGGCTGAACTAGAATTCCCTGGCATGGATATCCTGCTGGCAGGTGATTTCAACGCCAGGATAGGAAATGACATTAATACGTACTGCTCTAAATCTCAGTTCTTGCCAGAGGCAGATTGGTTTATTCCCTGGTCCTCAGACGATAAGGTCTTGAATAAGGCAGGCATTACATTAATGGAGACTGCCTTCAAACATAATTTGTATAATTTGCATGGTACCCATATGGACAGGTCAGGGGGTTTCTTTTCTTTTCTTGGACCCAGAGGTGCGAGCGTTATTGATTATATCCTGGTCTCCCCAAAACTCTTGGAGAGGTCACAGGGCTTCAGGACTTTCAATAGAATTGAGAGTGATCATCTTCCTATATCAATTTCACTAATTCCCCGTGGTGTGGAGGATCCGCAACACCGCAATCACTGTGCAGACCCACCTCCAACTCTGGCCCTTCGTAGGCGTAAATGGAACAGCGACCTGGAATCTAAAATCAAATTACACCTACATTCATCAGACTTACTGGCCTTGAGAGACCAGTGCATCTCATCCATTTCTGACCCCTTTTCAACATTTCAGCAGGTCTCAGAGTCGCTCTTCCCACTACTCACGAATTCCAACCCTCCCAAAAAACAAAACAACTCGAGGGCCTGGTTCGACAAAGACTGTAGGAATCTAAGATCTTTGCTCAGGAAACTACAAAATAAGGTAAAACAGGAAGGGACCTTGGAAAAGGAAGGGACCTTGGAAAAGGAAGGCCTCATTGGAAAACCTGCACAGGTGGCGTTCTCATTATAAAAATACTCTAAAATTTAAGAAATCCCTCTACAGAAAGGAACAATGGGAGGCACTTGACAAAGCGATCAAATTGCGGGATGACAAAAAGTTCTGGGAAATAATTGCCCAGGGAGTTTCACCCAAAGGGAAAATTGTAACCAACAGTATCTCATCTAACTTATGGTACCAACACTTTTCCCGGCTATATACAGCTCCAAACATTGCTAAACCGAGCCAGTTTCCTCCTCTTAAAAACGATTTATTAATGGGCTGGGATCCTGTTACCGAATCAGAATGTTTACAGCTAATTAAAACACTCAAGAATGGCAAAGCTCCCGGTGAGGATATGATTCCTCCTGAGGTATTTAAACTAAATGCCCAGTGGTGGGCTGCTATTTTGGCCCAACTTTTACGGTAATAAATGATATATGCAAAATCCCAGAAAACTGGAAACTGAGCCTGGTAGCCCCCATCTATAAGAAGGAGACCCCAAGACCCCTCAAACTATCGCCCCATAAGTCTCCTGGACATTGTGTATAAACTTTACACTCGCTACCTGCTAAATAAACTGGTTGACTGGGCTGACCACTCTAACCTGCTTAATCCGGAACAGGCAGGGTTTAGAAAGGGCCATAGTACAACAGGCCATTGTTTGGTACTACAGACAATGATAGATAAGTATACAAAGGTACATAAGAGCAAACTTTTTGTGGCTTTCGTAGATCTCACATCCGCTTTTGATTCAATCTGTAGGGACAAATTATGGCAAAAATTATATGAAACAGATATTGATAGACGACTTCTCAAAATACTTAGAGAGTTACATTCAGACACCACAGTTAAAATCAGAACTGGGATGTCAGGCAACTATACTGACCCACTGCCACTGGGGAAAGGGGTTAAACAGGGCTGTTTGTTAGCGCCGTTCCTCTTTAATTTCTATATAAATGACATTGTTCAACATATGGCAAAGTATAAGTCATCAGCTCCTGCCCTGGAAGGCAAACACCTGAATATATTACTATATGCTGATGACATGGCTGTCATGGCACTTACTCGAAGGGGCCTACATAGCATGCTGGGGGGCTCGCAGCTTATTGTTCCCAAAACTCTCTAAAGATAAATTATGACAAAACAAAAATTGTGGTATTTACTAGAGCTCGCCACACATTTAGATGGTCTTTAGATGAACACAAAATTGAACAGTGTCTTTTTTTTAAATATCTTGGTATCACTTTCCAAGCTACATCTAGCTGGCTTGCCCACTTCAAGACTGTAGCCCTCTTAACACGTAGGACAATCGGTGCCCTGCTCAGCTTTTTTTATTCGAGGGGAGGGCAACTGGTGATCCCGGCATTAAAAGCTTTTGTTGGAAAAGTGATTCCCCAGATGCTATATGGAGTAGAACTCTGGGGATGGAATCAGAAGCTGTTAGAACGGCTTGAAATCTTCCAAAATTTTTACCTCAGAAGAATTCTAGGCCTCCTCAGAGTACTCCGGCAGCTCTCCTAAGAGTGGAAGTAGGATTACCTTCTGTGTCTGCCAGGGCCCACTTAAGATTCCTGTGTTTTTCACCAACCTCACAGATGCCCCGAACACCTTATTGGCTAAACAAGCCTTTGTATTATTACAAAATAATACTACTTGGCATAAAAACCTACTAGATATCCTATCCAGATACAATCTACCCGAGTTTAATACCCTTAAATTGTGGAGCCCTGATAAAGTTCGGGAATGGATCTTTGAAAAAGACGCCTTTTTGGACTCCACAAAGATAAAAAACTCTGGGTTTTCCTACTGGTTTCCCCGAGTAAAAGCAGTCAAAATCTGTGCCAACTACTTGGTGGAGATCACTGACCCCACCCTTCGGAGAGCTTTCACTATGGCACGGTTTCAAACACTGCCAACTGCATATCTGACCGGTAGATTCACAAAAACCCCAGTAGAACATCGTTTATGCCCTTGCCTTATGAAAATTAAAGAGGATCTTACACATTACCTCCTCTATTGCCCCATCTACTCGAGCTTTAGAGACGCATTGCTGCAAATTATACCCAACTCTATAACTAATCCTGAAGATAGAGTAAATTTTTGTTAGTTGATGCAAACCCACGTATTACCCATGTGGTAGCGGTTTTTGTGATAAAGGCCGTGAAAGCCAGGGAAAGACTTATGGATGAAAATGTAAAGACCCCTTCATCGTCTGTTTAACTCGTTGCTCGTTTTCCCTCTCTTTCTATTTTGTGGGATGAAGGTTTTGTTGGCGTAGTATGTAATGAATTTTAATATCTTTTAACTATTGTTGTGTTAATGTTTGTGTACAGGCATGGTCCTCACAATAAACGGATTTGAGATGAGATGAGATGAGAGGCATCGGTGCGCACCGACCCCTCTCGCTCTCCAGGCTTCAGGAAGCTATCCGCAAGCCTTGCAAGCCCGGTGGGAGTTCCCGCGGGCTCACAAGGCTTGCAGGCAGCAGCCTGCAGCCCCGGCGAGTGTCCACAAGCCTTGCGCGCCCGGCAGGAGGTCCCGCCGAGCGCGCGAGGCTTGGGGCAGCAGCCTGTCGCCCGAAGCACGGGGAGCCCTCCGGAGGGTGCCCCGTGCTTCTTGCAGGTGTGCACAAGGCTTGGGGCGGCAGCCGCGGCGGGGGGGGGGGAATAATTTTTTTTATTCATTTCCCCCCCAAAAAAACGAGGTGCGTCCTATGGGCCGGTGCGCCCTATAGAACGAAAAATACGGTAATAACTGGAAATAACTGGAGGTACAGTGGTACCTCTACTTACGTTCACCTACGGTTACGTATACGTCAAGATACGCATGTGGCAAACCTGGAAGTATTTTGCAGGGTTTTGCCGCGCACACATGCGCAGAGGCACTCTAACGTGCCACAAACATGCACAGAACAGTCACCTCCGGTTGCGGAAACCCCAGGATCCGACCGGAGCTCCGGAACAGATCCCATCCGCAACCAGAGGTACCACTGTGTAAGTATGGAAATGAAGAATTTGGATTATATATAAAGGAACCAGAAGAGGATATGGAGGGAAGTCCAGCGATTCAAAGAATCTCAAAGAGAAGATTCGTGATAATGTATTTGTATAAATGGCCACTGGTCCCATCACCTCCTGGCAAATAGAAGGGGAAGAAATGGAGGCAGTGAGAGATTTTACTTTCTTGGGCTCCATGATCACTGCAGATGGTGACAGCAGCCACGAAATTAAAAGACGCCTGCTTCTTGGGAGGAAAGCAATGACAAACCTGGACAGCATCTTAAAAAGCAGAGACATCATCTTGCCAACAAAGATCCGTATAGTAAAAGCTATGGTTTTCCCAGTAGTGATGTATGGAAGTGAGAGCTGGACCATCAAGAAGGCTGATCGCTGAAGAATGGATGCTTTTGAATTCTGGTGCTGGAGGAGACTCTTGAGAGTCCCATGGACTGCAAGAAGATCAAACCTCTCTATTCTGAAGGAAATCAGCCCTGAGTGCTCACTGGAAGGACAGATCCTGAAGCTGAGGCTCCAAGACTTTGGCCACCTCATGAGAAGAGAAGACTCCCTGGAAAAGACCCTGATGTGGGGAAAGATGGAGGGCACAAGGAGAAGGGGACGACAGAGGACGAGATGGTGGGACAGTGTTCTCGAAGCTACCAGCATGAGTTTGACCAAACTATGGGAGGCAGTGGAAGACAGGAGTGCCTGGCGTGCTCTGGTCCAGGGGGTCACGAAGAGGCGGACACGACTAAACGACTAAACAACAACAACATTTGTATAAATCTAGATCTGGTAGAAATGTGGGTTAATTTTTGTTTTCAGTTGTGAAAACCTAACTGTGGAAATTTTATTTATTTATTTATTTTTTTGGCAAAAAGCAACAAGAGGTCTTCAAAACAGGGTCCTTCAGCCCAAGACACCCAGCCTAACAAAGTCAGCCTGGAATACAGGAAGGAAGACACACCCAAAGCTTTCAAGACGCCGCTCACCACAGCCGGCCCTCCATGGACGTGGAACTCTGCGCTGTCTTCACCCGTGAAACTGCCCGGCCCTGAAAAACAACAACAACACAACGCTTGGGATTAATTACTCCTTTGCCGCCTGCTGCCCCGAGGTGCCCCATGCGAGGAAAAGGAAGGGCAGAAATTTAAAGAATGATTACTATAATTGCCGCGCCGGACAGAGCAGATGCAAAGAATTGGAAGAGGAGTCATAAGAAGCTAAGAAGTCCATGTGGCGTCAGGCCAAAGAGACCCCCATCTACACCAGCAGCCAAAATTGGGGAAAGCTTTTGGGGAAAGTAGGTTTCTGAGATTTCATAGCTCATAACACCCAATTGGCTCTCTAAACACTCATGCTCACTGGCTACATTCAGATGAAGGAAAACTACTGCATATCAACCTTAAGTGAGTTGTGCTTCCTTTTTCTGGTTATTTGGCTATAGCTTTTGATAGAATTTATGAGACGCGGGTGGCGCTGTGGGTTAAACCACAGAGCCTAGGGCTTGCCGATCAGAAGGTCGGCGGTTTGAATCCACGCGATTGGGTGAGCTCCCGTTGCTCGGTCCCTGCTCCTGCCAACCTAGCAGTTTGAAAGCACATCAAAGTGCAAGTAGATAAATAGATACCACTCTGGCGGGAAGGTAAACGGTGTTTCTGTGCGCTGCTCTGGTTCACCAGAAGCAACTTAGTCATGCTGGCCACATGACCCGGAAGCTGTATGCCGGCTCCCTAGGCCAATAAAGCGAGATGAGAGCCGCAACCCCAGAGTCGGCCACGACTGGATCTAATGATCAGGGGTCCCTTTACCTTTACTAGTAAGCTACGGACCTCGCAGAACCCCTCTCCTTGGCCTGAGTGGGACGCCGGAGATACATCATCATCATCGTTCATCATTTTTAATTTGTATACACCTTTCTATCTTACAAAACTCAAGGCAGTTTACAAGCTGAAGAAACAAAAAATGTACATCTTATAACAATCTAATGCTATACAAAAACACCGTTATCATGAAGGTGGTTTTCCCAAGGTGAGGCTCATCCATTGCAATACAAAAATGTGATCACAAAAGATAACTTTAGAAAATTGTAAACAGTTGAAAACGTTTGTAGGTTTAAGTTGAAATGTTTGGTAATGGGAAATTAAGGAGCTGATTTACTTATAAGAAGGTGATTGCTAAAAGATTGATATAAGGTAAAAAAGTGAATATAGGAATTTAAAGAAATTGGTAAAGTGATATGGAAGTCTGTTAGAGGGAGGGAAGGAGGTTGATGCTTTATTTAAGCAATGCTTTAAGTTATGATTTTTTTTATTTTTTTATACTGAAATTTTTCATACTGAAATGTAATGTAATGAAATATGGAAAACTTAATAAAAATTATATTTAAAAAAAGATAATAAAACATAACTTTAAAATAGGCAACCTCCATCAAAAAAGTAACATTCAACAATCATTAGAATAGTATAAAATAATAATATAAACATATGAAAGTTAAACAGAAATCCACTCAACAGTTACAATAATATCTAAACTACAGTGGTACCTCGGGTTACATACTCTTCAGGTTACATACGCTTCAGGTTACAGACTCCACTAACCCAGAAATATTACCTCGGGTTAAGAACTTTGCTTCAGGATGAGAACAGAAATCATGCTCTGGTGGCAGCGGGAGGCCCCATTAGCTAAAGTGGTGCTTCAGGTTAAGAACAGTTTCAGGTTAAGTCTGGACCTCCGGAACGAATTAAGCACTTAACCCGAGGTACAGTGGTGCCCCGCAAGACGAATGCCTCGCAAGACGGAAAACCCGCTAGACGAAAGGGTTTTCCGTTTTGGAGGTGCTTCGCAAAACGAATTTCCTATGTGCTTGCTTCGCAAGACGAAAATGTCTTGCGAGTTCCTGCGGGTTTTTCCTTTCCCCCCTTTTCCCAAGCCACTAAACCGCTTATCAGCTGATCGGCTAAGCCGCTTAACAGCTGATCGCTAAGCCGCTTATCAGCTGATCGTTAAGCCGCTTATCAGCTGATCGTTAAGCCGCTTAACAGCTGATCGCTAAGCCGCTTATCAGCTGATCCGCTAAGCCCACTAAGCCGCTAATACTGTAGCGCTAATCCGCTAAACCGCTAATGGGCTTGCTTCGCAAGACGAAAAAACCCGCAAGACGAAAAGACTCGCGGAACGGATTCTTTTCGTCTTGCGAGGCACCACTGTACCACTGTATAATCAATAAAACAACGGCAAGCCACAATACAACACACATTGAGAAGCAGAGGGTAGGGCAAGGCAGGTGGAAGGAGGCCTTGCCTGATGGGAGTCTCTCTCCTCACCCTCACAGATATATTCAGCGCAGGTGCCCAGATCCGCTCACCTGGGAACCACAAGACGAGGCCGCGGTCCAGGGTTTCGGCAGACCGGGGGTCGCAGATCCGCCGCAGCGTGGCCACTCTCGGAGGAGGCGCCTCCGCCCTCGTCAGGCGGACCAGGGCCACGCTGCTGGCCGGGCCGCTGGTTCGAATCACGGCCACCCCACATTTCCCTTGGCCCGAAGACAGTGCAAAGATGGTGTCCCTCTTCGCGGCTCGGCAATACGACCTGCGGTGGAAGTAAATGAGGCAAGTGAGATGGCTGGCGAGAGTCAGAACTGTCAAGCAGCAGCTGGAACGGGGCAAAGGGAGCCCATCTAGTCCAGCCTCCTGTTCTTACAGTAGCAGGAGAAGCCCACAAGCTGGACCTGAGTGCGAGAGCAGCAACTCTCCCCCACTTGTGATTTTCAGCAATTGGTAAATGTAAAGGTAAAGGGACCCCTGACCATTAGGTCCAGTCGTGACCGGCTCTGGGGTTGCGGCGCTCATCTCGCTTTACTGGCCGAGGGAGCTGGCATTTGTCCGCAGACAGTTTTTCCAGGTCATGTGGCCAGCATGACTAAGCCGCTTCTGGCGAACCAGAGCAGCGCACGGAAACGCCGTTTACCTTCCTGCCAGAGCGGTACCTATTGATCTACTTGCACTTTGACGTGCTTTCGAACTGCTAGGTTGGCAGGAGCAGGGACCGAGCAATGGGAGCTCACCCCGTCATTGCGGGGATTCGAACCGCCAACCTTCTGAACGGCAAGTCCTAGGCTCTGTGGTTTACTGGTATTCAGAAGCATTTACTCCCTATAACAGTAGAGACAGCCATTGCAGCTGGAGCGTCTTTTCCACCATGGATTTCCCTGCTCCTCTTGAAAAGGCATATATAACACTTTATTTAATCAATTTCATTTATTTATTTATTTATTTATTTATTTATTCATACATACAGATATACATATCCCACCTATCTGACTCGGCTGCCCCAGCCACTCTGGGCGGCCTCCAACACATATAAAAACATCAAACATGAACAGTAACAACCTTATCCAATACAAAAAGCAACAAGAACTTTAAAATAAACAACAAAGCAACATTCAGCAACAATTTTTTACTGAATTTATACCTTGGCCTTCCTCCCAAAGAAGCCAAGGGGTGGCAAATAGATAACAGAACTCAAAAACCAAATGCCAAACATTATAAAGCAGTTTTATGATTCCAATAACCAACTCAAAGCAGTTAATATCTAAGACCGGATTTAAAGCGTTCTTCAGCTGGATAGCTCAGTCGGTTAGATCGTGGTTCGTGTGGAAGTGATCATCCTGCTGCAACAGTTTAATAAATATCAGGGTCACTCGCTGTTTTGCTTCTCAATATTCTCTGGTTGGCCTCTGTTATTTTTCTCCTACAAAAGGAATCTATATGGGCTCTTGGGTACCTCATAAGGGAAAAGGAGCTGGTTTTTTTTCTTATAACAGGGGGTTGAATTATGGTGCTGGAGGAGACTCTTGAGAGTCCCATGGACTGCAAGATCATCAAACCTCTCCATTCTGAAGGAAATCAGCCCTGAGTGCTCACTGGAAGGACAGATCCTGAAGCTGAGGCTCCAATACTTTGGCCACCTCCTGAGAAGAGAAGACTCCCTGGAAAAGACCCTGATGTTGGGAAAGATGGAGGGCACAAGGAGAAGGGGACGACAGAGGACGAGATGGTTGGATGGTGTTCTCGAAGCTGCCAGCATGAGTTTGACCAAACTGCGGGAGGCAGTGGAAGACAGGAGTGCCTGGCGTGCTCTGGTCCAGGGGGTCACGAAGAGCTGGACACGACTAAACAACAACAACATTTTTCTCCTACCGATAGAGAACCTACAAAAGGACTCTATATGGGCTCTTGGGTAGCCCATAAGGGAAAAGGAGCAGTTTTTCTTATAACAGGGGGTTAGGGAATGCAACCGCTGGCAATTGCTGCGCCTGGAGAAAGCTACTCTCTGCGCGCACACCCACCCACAGCCACCTACCTGCCGAACACCTTGGAGGTGCCAGGATCCCTCGCAAGCAACAGCCTCCCCTGCAAGGCAGGCCACATGACCCTCAAAAGCAAGTCACTGGTGCAAAGCTCCGCCTCCCGCAAGCACGCTTGCCCCCTTCCCAGGCTTCATCCTGCGCGCAACCTATTGCATGAATGAGCGCAGCCTTTTGCAAGCTCCCCTTGCCAGCACGGCAGTGACGCACGCTTTCGGCTTCAAACTGCGGGCGGCGTGGGTGCGCCCTTCTGCGACGCGATTGGTCGAAGAGGGAAAGGGGCGGGGGGAATGGAAAGGAGAGGGGGGAGGGGAGGGGCTTAGCGGGAGGGGCGGGGCCTCGAGCCTTTTTTTTCCTGCTATTGCTGCCGCCGCAGAGACTTTAGGTTTAAAATTGCACGGCTTTGAAGCTTGGTTAAAGTTTTCCTTTGCAAGCGGCGACTAATGCCAAAGCGAGATAATGGTGGAAACTTCAATATCTGCCATTTGAGCATCTTTTTCTTCTTCTTCTTCTATTATTATTATTATTATTATTATTAGTATTTGGCTGATGGTTTTGTAAAGGTTTGCAAACGCTTGCCTATCTAAACTCGATAAATAATAATAATAATAATAATAATAATAATTTGGCTGATGGTTTTGTAAAGGTTTGCAAACGCTTGCCTATATAAACTCGATTAATAATAATAATTAATAATAATAATAATAATTTGGCTGATGGTTTTGTAAAGGTTTGCAAACGCTTGCCTATATAAACTCGATAAATAATAATAATAATAATAATAATAATAATAATAATAATTTGACTGATGGTTTTGTAAAGGTTTGCAAACGCTTGCCTATATAAACTCGATAAATAATAATAATAATAATAATAATAATAATAATAATAATTTGACTGATGGTTTTGTAAAGGTTTGCAAACGCTTGCCTATATAAACTCGATAAATAATAATAATAATAATAATAATAATAATAATAATAATAGAGAGGGCGATGGGTTTTATTGGGCTCCTCAGAACCAAGTTTAACCCAACAGCTGCAAAATAATGGACCGCTTCCCGGCCCTATAGCTCGCTTGCTGCTCTGTGAAGGACCGTGGGGAAAATGCACTCTGCGTATGCGCAGGTGCACGCTTGCCTCCCCAGCGAAACGCGCCCTCGCCTGCATTGCATCCCCCGAAAGGGAAGGCGCGTGCACCCAGCTGAACCCTGGGGTGACGTCACGTCCTTGCTGCTCCGTGCTGGGGGAGCCTTTTTGGAAATAATCCCTTGGTGATCCATTACTACCTGGCCTGTCGCCGGAGCGGGTGTCTCCTTGCAAAGCAAGCAACCTGCAGCTGCAATCTTTCCTCCTCCCTCTCGGCGTCTCCTGCCTCCTTTATGCAAAAAAAAAGAAGAAGAGAAAACCAAACGGGCTTCTCCCCGCCGCAAACCCGCCCTCCCGCATCACAGCGCTTGCCTGTGAAACATAACATTTTATTTGGGATCTCGCCCTGGCGCTGGGTTTATGCAGGGCTGCATGGTTCTCCCTCTGTGTTGCAAACACCGTTGCACAGGACTCCTGGGTCTCCTCCTTATCCACAGGGCGCTGCGCAGGAGGGTCGAGGAGGGCCTGGAAGGGTTGGTGGGGGCTCCCATCTGTTTTGTCCTTCATCCTGGTCCGTGGGTGCGCATGGGGAAGATTGCAAAAAAGTTTTACCCTAGTTTTATAGGAATTCTAAGGTCTTTATATAAATTTATATATATACATAATTATATATACATTTATAAATAAATAAATAAATATTTATATAGATACATATGTTGTTGTTTAGTTGTTTAGTTGTGTCCGCCTCTTCGTGACCCCCTGGACCAGAGCACGCCAGGCACTCCTGTCTTCCACTGCCTCACACAGTTTGGTCAAACTCATGCTGGTAGCTTCGAGAACACTGTCCCACCATCTCGTCCTCCGTCGTCCCCTTCTCCTTGTGCCTCATCTTTCCCAACATCAGGGTCTTTTCCAGGAGTCTTCTCTTCTCCTGAGGTGGCCAAAGTATTGGAGCCTCAGCTTCAGGATCTGTCCTTCCAGTGAGCACTCAGGGCTGATTTCCTTCAGAATGGAGAGGTTTGTTCTTCTTGCAGTCCATGGGACTCTCAAGAGTCTCCTCCAGCACCAGAATTCAAAAGCATCCATTCTTCGGCGATCAGCCTTCTTTATGGTCCAGCTCTCACTTCCATACATCACTAATGGGAAAACCAGAGCTTTAACTATACAGACCTTTGTTGGCAAGGTAATGTCTCTGCTTTTTAAGATGCTGTCTAGGTTTGTCATAGCTTTCCTCCCAAGAAGCAGGCATCTTTTAATCTGAAGTGATCATGGAGCCCAAGAAAGTAAAATCTCTCACTGCCTCCATTTCTTCCCCTTCTATCTGCTAGGAGGTGATGGGCCCAGTGGCCATGATCTTCGTTTTTTTGATGTTGAGCTTCAGACCATATTTTGCGCTCTCCTCTTTCACCTTCATTAAAAGGTTCTTTAATTCTTCCTCACTTTCTGCCATCAAGGTTGTGTCATCTGCATATCTAAGGTTGTTGGTATACATATATACACATAAATTTATATATATACATTTATATAAATGTTCCTAAATGTACAAGGCAAATACATACATAAGTATACAAACCACGTGTCTAAAATAGTACAGAACAATCCTGAAGCCACTTTGACTCTCCTAAATTGACCTCAGATGTTTTTCTGCATGGAGGAAGGAAATGGGAAAAGGTTTCCAATTGTCTTTGGACCGTAGGGGCTTACACCTCCCTTTGCAAATACAGCCTGGCACACTCTCAACATGCGTAAGAGATTCAGGAACTAAGTGTTTACCATCTCCAAGGAATGGCCAGGCTACCCAGAAAAGGCCATCAGATAAGGCATTGTCAGGTATCCTGGCAGACAGGAGAGAAGCAACGCGCTCGAATTTCTGCTGGGGACCACCTCTTTCTGTGATGTATGTATGATGTTTTGGGGGGTGGTCTTGAGCTACAGGGGACGCAGTTTCAAAAGTCTATATAAGAGCTTGAACACCAATGTTCTGGGTTCCTCTCCTCCCTCCCTGCGTGGGGTGAGCGGGGGACCCTGTTGCAATAATAAAGATCAGACTTACTAGCTGCTTTGCTTCTCAATATTCTCTGGTTGGCCTCTGTTATTTTCTCCTACTGATAGAGAACCTACATAAGGACTCTATACAGGATCTTGGATACCCCATAAGGGATAAAGGGGCAGTTTTTTCTTATAACACCTAAGTAAAGTTAAAGGGACCCCTGATCATTAGGTCCAGTCGTGGCCGACTCTGGGGTTGCGGCGCTCATCTCGCTTTATTGGCCGAGGGAGCCGGTGTACAACTTCCGGGTCATGTGGCCAGCAGGACTAAGCCGCTTCTGGCGAACCAGAGCAGCGCACGGAAACGCCGTTTACCTTCCTGCCAGAGTGGTACCTATTTATCTACTTGCACTTGACGTGCTTTCGAACTGCTAGGTTGGCAGGAGCAGGGACCGAGCAACGAGAGCTCACCCCGTCACGGGGGTTCGAACCGCCGACCTTCCGATTGGCAAGTCCTAGGCTCTGTGGTTTAACCCACAGTGCCACCCACGTCCCCCTAACACCTAGAAACACACAGAACTTAGGTTGCAATCCTAACCTCCACTTCCCTGGGAAGCGAGCCTCATTGAATCCATTGGGGTTTGTTTCTGAGTAGAAACAATTGTGCAGCGATGCTTGTATTACTTAAAGCATTTAGTAATGACACTCCTTTGCCACTGACGGGCCGACGGTTCTGGGTTGTTGTTTTTTAATCTGTTATTTTTCCATTTGCTCTGCTGCTGTGGAAAGGTATATCACTCATCTCAGCGACACCCTTGCGAGGTGGGCCAGTTTTTGTTTATCTCTATACTGATGATAGAGTTTGGATTTGATATCCCACCTTTCACTCCCTTTAAGGAGTCTCAAAGCGGCTAACATTCTCCTTTCCCTTCCTCCCCCACAACAAACACTCTGTGAGGTGAGTGGGGCTGAGAGACTTCAAAGAAGTGTGACTGGCCCAAGGTCACCCAGCAGCTGCAGGTGGAGGAGTGGAGACGCGAACCCGGTTCCCCAGATTACGAGACTACCGCTCTTAACCACTACACCACACTGGCTCTGATAGGGAGACTGGGAATCAGACCAGAAGAGGAACCTACTTTAAAGCGGATTGGGCATATTTGTTGAGAAGGGGGATTGCTATGTTTTCCATAGAGACGGTTGAAGACAAGGGCACCTCTGAATTCTTGCTGCGGAACATGAATGGTGGAGAACAGCTGTGGCTTTTCTGTTGGGTCATCTGCCTGGCCACCGTTAGAACAGGGCGCTGTGTTGGCTGGGCCTCTTTCTGGTCTGCTGCAGCTGATGTCCTTAACCACGTGGAGCATCAGCAACCAAAAATCAATACAGTGGTACTTCAGGTTACAGACGCTTCAGGTTACAGACACTTCAGGTTACAGACTCCGCTAACCCAGAAATAGTACCTTGGGTTAAGAACTTTGCTTCAGGATGAGAACAGAAATCGCACAGCGGCAGAAAGAGGCCCCATTAGCTAAAGTGGTGCTTCAGGTTAAGAACAGTTTCAGGTTAAGAACGGACCTCCAGAACAAATTAAATTCTTAACCTGAGGTACCACTGTATTTGCTGCTTTGGAATTGTTTGGAATAAAGGCAAACAATGTTGTCAGTGGACTGCCTTAAAAACAATTATACATCTTTCTAATTTGCAGATTTCATGAGTCCTGTTAAAATAATGGGGGGGGGGCAGATTTTCAGAATGCTCAGCCCCACACTCGTTTTTTTAAAGGAAGCCCATATACCGTATTTTTCGCTCTATAAGATGCACCAGACCACAAGACTTTTTTGGAGGAGGAAAACAAGAAAAAAATTATTCGCTGTGAAGCGAAAGCAGCAATCCCTCTTGCTGTTCTGGCTTCTGGGATAGCTGCGCAGCCTGCATTCGCTCCATAAGTCGCACACACTTTCCCCCTTACTTTTTAGGAGGGGAAAAGTGAGTCTTATAGAGCAAAAAATACGATAAATGCTACACAGTGCTGGCAAATTCAAGTTTCCGGAATGATCTGGAGCTTTAAACAATATCCCCCAAAAGTGCTCCCCTAACCACAAGGAAGCGGTCCCTTGCAAAGTGGTGATGTTGCCCCAAAATGACGCTTCACACATGGATACACTGAACCCAAACACATTAGAGGCCTTAAATTCAACCTCAGCAAAGGGACCTTGTACACCCCAGGTCAAGTTACCTTGCTGGTATTTTTACACCCATCTCGGGTCCCTGTCTCTAGAAATAACAGCCTGACCTTTGGGGGACCCAAGGAGACGTCTGAGGTCAAGACAGGAAAACAACCCCGGAGAAAAGAGAAACCTGGGAAGGTTTTTAAGGCGACTTCAGCAAAAAGAAGCGGTGAGCCAAAGTGGGGAAGGGGAAAGGCCCACTTTAAAGAGCAGAACAGCCTCCTAAGCAATCAGCAAGCTATTTTGGATTTCTAACTACCGGAAGGCCAAATATCACAATAATATCTAACAAGAGGGATTATTTGGCTGTGATTCCTGCATTGCATAGATGGTTCTTTCAAGCCCACGATTCTGTGCTTCTAAGGGAAACCTTTTCTCCTCGTCCCATAAATACCAAGGCTGGGAATAATAATAATAATAATAATAATAATAATAATAATAATAATATGATAATGATGTTAATGATAATAATGATGATAATGATAATGATAACAATTTATTATTTATACCCCGCCCATCTGGCTGAGTTTCCCCAGCCACTCTGGGCGGCTTCCAATCAAGTGTTAAAAACAATACTAAAAACTTCCCTGAACAGGGCTGCCTTCAGATGTCTTTTAAAGAGAAGATAGCTGCTTATTTCCTTCACATCTGAAGGGAGGGCATTCCACAGGGCGGGCGCCACCACCGAGAAGGCCCTCTGCCTGGTTCCCTGTAACTTGGCTTCTCGCAATGAGGGAACTGCCAGAAGGCCCTTGGCGCTGGATCTCAGTGTCTGGGCTGAACGATGGGGGTGGAGACGCTCCTTCAGGTATACAGGACCGAGGCCGTTTAGGGCTTTAAAGGTCAGCACCGACACTTTGAATTGTGCTCGGAGTCCTACTGGGAGCCAATGCAGATCTCTCAGGACTGGTGTTATGTGGTCCCAGCGGCCACTCCCAGTCACCAGTCTAGCTGCCACATCCCATGGCCAAACCAGTTGGGCAGTAAATTCAAGAGAGAGGGTGTTCTGGAATTCTGGTGGCCTTTTTTTTTTAAATAAAAAAGGGAAGATTATTATTGTGGCGATGACAATTTGTCAAAGAAACTCCGCAGAGGGCAGAGGCCTAGGCAAGCCAAGCCTCCATATACAGGCGCAATCTTATCTCTCAGGAGCCACATGGCCAAAATGAGATGTCCTTTCCTGCCCCACTGGCGAACGCACACTGTTTCATTGATTTGCTGGGTTCAACTGAGTTTTTTTTAAAAAATTCTGTGCACATGCATTAAAAAAACAAAACACCACTTGTTTTATTGTAAGCACTTTTGGGTTGCCTTTGCAGGAAAGCAAATACGGTGTTTCTGTTTTGCTTTGTTTCGGCTAAAAATCCTGCCACTAGGAATATGGGGGGTGGGATATTAAATCAAACAATGTATTTGGGGTATATAGGATAAGTTATTGGAGAATTCTACCTGCCTCCTTCCATACGCTTCATTCCATAGGAGCCAACCCCTAGGGGCCGAAGTCCCTTCAGTCCCCACCCACAATGAAATATTTGAGCCCCCTAAAGTTAAAGTTTGAGCCTCCTAAAGTTAACAAGGGACGCGGGTGGCGCTGTGGGTTAAACCACAGAGCCTAGGACTTGCCGATCAGAAGGTTGGCGATTCGAATCCCCGCAACGGGGTGAGCTCCCGTTGCTCGGTCCCTGCTCCTGCCAACCTAGCAGTTCGAAAGCACCTCAAAGTGCAAGTAGATAAATAGGTACCACTCCAGCGGGAAGGTAAACGGCGTTTCCGTGCGCTGCTCTGGTTCGCCAGAAGCGGCTTAGTCCTGCTGGCCACATGACCCAGAAGCTGTACGCCCGCTCCCTCGGCCACTAAAGCAAGATGAGCGCCGCAACCCCAGAGTCGTCCACGACTGGACCTAATGGTCAGGGGTCCCTTTACCTTTATCTAAAGTTAATGGGCTTTGCCATTCAAATGGTGTGCTTGTCTCGCATGTTGTGATCAATTATGTGGGGTGTCAGGGATTACCTGCTCCTCCCATAATATTTTATTCAAGTCCACCCCCAACCCCCCTTGCTTCATTCTAACTGGGTATAATTTTTTTAACTGAGATGGCTCCACCTTAGTGGAGCATAGGAGACCCTGCCTGACCTTTGGCTTGGAATCAACTTGATCCCCTCCCCCTCTTTCCTTTTCCCTTCCTCCTTTTGCGATGGAACTCCTATTTGGGGACTTCCCTGGCTTTTTTCTGGCCCACGTAGGACCAGGCTGGATAGCTGGCCTTGGTGAAGACTTGACGTTTTCATTCCCCAAAAAGTTTTTGATTTGAGTTTCTGCTGAAATGAGGCTGCATTTTAATCTTGTTTTTAAGTTGTATTTCAATCAATTGTTTTTATACCTGGTGTCAGCCACCCTGAGCCCGGTCTTGGCTGGGGAGGGTATAATAAAATTTATTATTATTATCTCTCAAGAGTCGTGGGTTCGAGTTCCCTTCCAACGCCACAGTCCGATGATTCTGACTTATCTGCTAGCTCTCAAGTCTCAGAATCTTGAAGGAGGGAGGAAATTGATCCCTCGCAGGCTGCTGGCAGATGGCGCTGAGGAGACGCTGGCCAACCATACTATTAAAAGCTCCTTGCCTTTTAACTTAACAGCTCCCCCACCCTCTCCTTTGTCCCTCCTTCTGGCTGGCTGGCTGCTCGCTCGCTCGGAGGCACCTTTCGGCGCTGGTTGTGTTGGAGGCTCTCCGGCAGGGGCTCACCTGGCCGGGGAAGAGAGACAGAGAGACCCCTCCTTTGCGCACCTGCCTCGGGTCCTTGCACCCTTCTCCTGCCAGCCCGGATGGCGCTTCGGATGCGGCAGGTCGTCGGCCGTCCTGCGCTCCCGCTGCAGCCGCCGCCGCGCTGGCTATTGTGAGAGCAGCAGCCCGGGGTTTCTTGGCTAGCGGTGAAGCCTGCATCCCGGCCTCTGCAATGCTGTCTTCTTTGCGGTCCAGCCCTCAACCTTGAGCTCAGACGCGATGCCAGAGAGCGGGGCAGGAGCGGCGCCGGGCTCCCAGGACAGCGAGCGCCACAAGAGGGGCGCCACAGATGGCGAGGCGTCCGGGCCAGCTGCCACCGGGGTCCTGGGTGAGTATTTGGCGAGGTCTGGACCACTTCCGCGCGCTATCCCTTGGGAGGGTGGGGGGAAACAACAGTGGTGCAAGGGTGGGGAGGGGGGTGGACGAGAGATGAGGCCGGATTTCCCTGCTTTTCGGGGGTGCCCAGCAGACTTTGCCAAAGTTCGGGGAAACCGAACCTTTGGACCCGACTAAACCCGGGATAGGGGAAGGAGGGTCGTCCGGCGCGAAAGGAGCGATGCGGAGCATTCGTGGTACCCGGGAAAGCGCATCTCTGGGGCGTCGAGCTATTGTCTGGAAAACGTTAAGCCCCTTCCGCTGTCGAGGAAGGAAGACCCTCGCCCCAGCCTTTTGTTGTGCAATGGCCAGCCACGGGTTTTCGGGAAGAGGGTCTCCGGAAGCTGTTTCGGGAGGGGGTCCGCCTTTCCCACCGGTGCGTATTTTTACGCACGCTTGGACCCGACACCGTTTTGGTCCGCTCTCTCTCTCCGCCTGATGTCATCCTTCCACAACGTGCCGGGGGGGGGGGGAAGCGGGGGATGCTCAGCCCATTCAGAAATTCTCCTCTGCCGTACGCTCCTGCGGAGGAGGAGTGCGGAATTGCCGCCGCGGGCACAGCAGAGCGGGAGAAGCAGCCCCGGCGCTGCGGTCCACTGCGGATGCGCTCCTCGGGATGGCACCGCCGGGGAGGCGTCCGAGGGGCTCGGAGGGAGCACGTGTCGCTTGAGCTGCGGGCGAGGAGGAGGCCGAGGGCCGTGGTCTGCCGCGGCGCCGAAGGACAGAGGGAGCGCAAATCCAAACGCCCAAGGCCTTTCGACCGGACCAACTAGGTTCTCCATACTGGACCCTTTTGGGTAGTCCGAGCCTTTGCGCCTTGACGCTTTTCGGCACGGTTCGTAGTTCCGGGAGGATTGTTTCTGCCCCCAATGGCCTGGGATTTATTTAATTTTTTTAATAAAATAAATAAACTCAAGCTTCTCCAGAAGAGAGTCCTTCGCCTTCACCGCAGACAATTCAGATGCGCTTAACAGCTGGGGATGCCTTGGTCAGTTTGGTCCAACTACAATGGGTGCAAATATCTCCATGGGGCAGATAGAAGTCTATCCATAGGTGCCAGCTCCCTGGGTGCCCCTGCACCCACAAATTCCCCCGCGGAGGAACCGGGCACCCACAAATATCTGGGCCAGGGTCGTGCCTGCTGCATGATGGCACCCGCGGTTGTGTGGCGAAGCTGGCAGTCCTGAGTCTGAGGGAGCTTTCGCTTCCACCTCCACCTCCAAGCTGCCAAACCATCCCAGTTGTCTGAATGAGCGACAGCTCTTTGATTCTGCAGCAAAGGTGACCTTAATTCAGCCTATCCAAGGTTAGGAGTGGGGAATCTGGGGAGGGATGTCTGCAGAACCGGCAGAAAGAGCTCAGGGGGACTGCCGGTTCAGGGTCAGGCCTGCTCGCTACCCGAGGCTCAAGACCGCTAGAACACCCACCTTCTTTACCCATTAAATTTTAATTAAATTTTCCGACATACATTTATAGTATCCAATCTAAATTTATCACCTATTTTCTCTTTTAGACTTCCTTCAACCTCTCTGACAATCATCCATTATTCAAATTTTTTAATACACATTTCCTAGTTTTGTATTGCATTTTATAAACCTTCACACACTTAGTTTTCATCAATACAATAGTCCTCTATCATTTACAGAACTTCTTGAAACCCCACTAGCGTTATTTGCTCATCACATACACATAGTCTGAAAATTTCCCCCAGTCTTCAATGAACTTTTGGTCTCGTATATATCTGATCTTTCCTGTTAGTTTGTCTAGTTCAGCATACTCCATCAGTTTTATTCTCCATTCTTCGAGCGTTGGCAGTTGTTCCTGCTTCCACCCACCTTCTGCTAATGAACGCAACTGCCCCAGGACACGGTTGCGGGGTAAGGGTGGGGGAGAAGTCCCCTGGTTTGAAGCAGGGCATCTTGGTGCCATGGCATGCCGCAGAGGTCCACTTTGGATGTGTCTTGTTCGGCCGCCCCCTCCCCCTCGCTCTTATGTCTTGGGCCTTCTGGGAAGGGAGAATTATTCCCAGTGCAGCTTGTTGGAAGATTCGGGACGGCTTAAAGCAGGGCTTTTTCAGCAGGGGGCCGGCCCACTGTCCCTCAGAACTTTGCGGGGGCCGGACTATATTTTGAAAAATATAAATACCCTGCAAGCCGGTCCCGCAGTTGCTTCCGGGCCTGGAGGAGGAACGCACTCTGCACGTGCTCAGGAGCGCGTCTCGGCACCACCCGCTCACTGGCGTTGTTGGCGAGCAGCGGCCGCTCCATTGGCCCGTCCCCACAGAGCTCCCAGGCGGTGTGCACCACGCGCTGCGGCCTGTCGTCCAAGGTCAGGTTGGCGGGCAGGCCGCGCATGTGAAGCGCTGGGCAGGCGGCCGACAGCTTGCCCTCCAGCTGCTCCAGCGCAGCTGCCAAGCCGGGCGCCAGGCACAGGGCCAGCAGGTGTGCCAAGCTCCGGGTGAATATAATAATAATAATAATAATAATAATAATAATAATAATTTATTATTTATACCCCGCCCATCTGGCTGGGTTTCCCCAGCCGCTCGAGGCAGCTTCCAACAAAGTATTAAAATACAGTGGTCTGTTAAACACTAAAAGCTTCCCTAAACAGGGCTGCCTTCAGATGTCTTCTAAAAGTCTGGTAGTTGTTCTTCTCTTTGACATCTGGTGGGAGGGCATTCCACAGGGCGGGTGCCACCACCGAGAAGGCCCTCTGCCTGGTTCCCTGTAACTTGGCTTCTTGCAGTGAGGGAGCTGCCAGAAGGCCCTCGGAGCTGGACCTCAGTGTCCGGGCAGAACGATGGGGGTGGAGACGCTCCTTCAGGTCTACTGGGCCGAGGCCATTTAGGGCTTTAAAGGTCAGCACCAACACTTTTTGAATTGTGCTCGGAAATGTACTGAGAGCCAATGTAGGTCTTTTTATGTGGTCTCGGCGGCCGCTCCCAGTCACCAGTCTGGCTGCCGCATTCTGGATTAGTCACGATGCCCATGGCACGGACCAGACCCGTTGCCTGTTCGCTAACCTCTCTGTCCATGGCCACGCCGGGTTTACTTCAGCACACGGGTGGCAAGGCTTCGGATTGGCTGCAGGAGCTTCCTGCAGCCAATCTGAAGCTGTACCAGCATCATGGAAGTCAGTCCTCGCGCGGCGAGGCGTCCGCAGCTTCTGTTCAAGGAAACGCCGTGCTGCGCCGGTTTAGCTCAGCACAGGGACTGACCGAGCGGGCAGCAGGGTCCGCGGGCCAGATTTACGAGCCTGGTGGGCTGCATGTAGACCCCGGGCCATAGTTTGCCAGCCGCTGGCTTAAAGGAAGGACATCTTCACACAGAGCAAGTTAAACATATACATATCATTTCCAACAATCATATAACATAACTTCTTATCTTATACAATATATTCATATATTTACTCCAGTCTTCCAAGAATCTCTGGTCCCACAGGTTTCGAATCCTTCCTGTGAATTTATCTAATTCTGCATAGTCCATCAATTTCGCCTGCCGTTCTTCTTTCGTCGGTAATTCTTCTCGTTTCCATTTTTGTGCCAATAATATTCTTGCTTGCTGCATGTAAAAACAACTTACAATCCTGTCTATTAACATCATCTCCTACAATGCCAAGTAAAAATGCTTCTAGTTCTCCTTATATCCTTTCGTTAAGTCAGGTGTGTTAGGAGCTCCACTCCAAGGAGTGAGTTAAACCACTGAGCCTAAGACTTGCCGATCAGAAGGTCGGCGGTTCAAATCACTGCAATGATGAGGTGAGCTCCCATTGCTCAGTCCCTGCTCCTGCCAACCTAGAAGTTCGAAAGCACGTCAAAGTGCAAGTAGATAAATAGGTACCACTCCGGTGGGAAGGTAAACGGCGTTTCCATGCGCTGCTCTGGTTCGCCAGAAGCGGCTTAGTCCTGCTGGCCACACGACCCGGAAGCTGTACGCCGGCTCCCTCGGCCAGTAAAGCGAGATGAGCGCCGCAACCCCAGAGTCGGCCACGAATGGACCTAATGGTCAGGGGTCCCTTTACCTTTACTTAACTCTGGTGAAAACCCAGCAGTGCCAAACATTATTAATTGTGTGAGAGAAATGAGATCAGTTGCCAGATGTACCTGCATTCAGTCTGATCACTTGCCAAAACAGTTGCAAAAAAATAATAACATTTTTATTGCAGCAATTTGGAGGGGAAAGATTTGGTTTGCAGGAAATCTGGGTGCCAAACCATGACTTTGGCCACCTCATGAGAAGAGAAGACTCCCTGGAAAAGACCCTGGTGTTGGGAAAGATGGAGGGCACAAGGAGAAGGGGACGACAGAGGACGAGATGGTGGGACAGTGTTCCCGAAGCTACCAGCATGAGTTTGACCAAACTGCGGGAGGCAGTGGAAGACAGGAGTGCCTGGTGTGCTCTGGTCCAGGGGGCCACGAAGAGTCGGACACGACTAACGACTAAACAACAACGAAGTCATGGAACAGGATACACTTTGCAGATGTTTCCGGATGTACGGGCAACAAGAATAAGAAATAAAAAACGCAGGGCATAGTCTTCCTGATTCAGGGCCAACATCGCTGGAACTGTGCTGATTCCAAGTGATGAAGGGAGTCTGCAATATCAGAGTTCTGCACCGCATCAAACATTCACTGGAAAGCCAAGCTGTTGCTGCCCCAACCCTGACTACCGTATTTTTTGCTCTATAAGACTCACTTTTTCCCTCCTTAAAAGGAAGGGGCAATGTGTTCATCTTACGGAGCGAATGCAGGCTGCGCAGCTATCCCAGAAGCCAGAACAGCAAGAGGGATTGCTGCTTTCACTGCGCAGCGATCCCTCTTGCTGTTCTGGCTTCTGGGATTCAGAATATATTTTTTCTTGTTTTCCTCCTCCAAAAACTAGGTGCGTCTTGTGGTCTGGTGCGTCTTATAGAGCGAAAAATACACTATGTCCTGTGTTTTTCTGTCGCCTCTGCTCTGCGATCAACGCCCTCCTCTAAGCCTAGGCTGCTGCCTGCCAGAGCGCATCTATCATGTACATATATTCTCCCAGCAATGCCAGCCTCTGCCCCCACTATTCCTGTGCCAAGGCTGTCTCTGGGCAGCCACAATGCCTGGACTGTTTGCTTCCTTGCTCCGAGAGAAGCAGTCTTTATTCCCGCCCAAACAGGACCCAGATGACTCTGATGGGTGAAGAGAGGCCTTCTTTGTCATCCACGGTGGATGAGTGGTGGGGTTTTTTGGAGGCTGAGGGCAGTTTTCAACATCCTTCTCCAGAACCTTCCCAGCTTAGCAGGCGATGCCAAATCCTGAAACTGATTCAGCCTGGTGTGTAGGACGAGTTACGAGCCCGTCCACATTTCCCAGAAGAAAACTGGGTTTCTTGAAGCCTGCGAAAATGGACCAGATTCACAGATCATTTCGTAACCGTCCCAGAAAAGATGGAGCTGGAAACCGTGCAAGACTTCAACTCTCATCAGTCCCAGTAGCCAGCATGGCCAGTGCTCAGAGACGATGGGAACTGGAGTACGGGAACATCTGGAAGGAAACAGTCTGTTCCAAAACCAAAGCGTTCCAAAACCAAGCCTCATTTTCCCATAGAAAGCAATGCAAAACAGATCAGTTCCCAGTCTTTTAAAAACAACTCCTAAAACGGCAATTTAACATGGGTTTTACTATCTAACAAGACCATTGATCCGTAAAATGAAAGCAATAATCAATGTGCTGTACTATAAAATGAATAAGACAGTACATGGGACGCGGGTGGCGCTGTGGTCTAAACCACAGAGCCCAGGGCTTGCCGATCGGAAGGTCGGCGGTTCGAATCCCTGCGACGGGGTGAGCTCCCGTTGCTCGGTCCCTGCTCCTGCCCACCGGAAAAACTGTCTGCGAACAAACGCCGGCTCCCTTGGCCAGTAAAGTGAGATGAGCGCCGCAAACCCACAGTTGTCTGCAACAGTGACGACGACAACAACAACAACAACAACAAGAATAAGAATACAGTGGTACCTCGGGTTAAGTACTTAATTTGTTCCGGAGGTCCGTTCTTAACCTGAAACTGTTCTTAACCTGAAGCACCACTTTAGCTAATGGGGCCTCCTGCTGCCGCTGCGCCGCCGGAGCACAATTTCTGTTCTCATCCTGAAGCAAAGTTCTTAACCCGAGGTACTATTTCTGTGTTAGCGGAGTCTGTAACCTGAAGCGTATGTAACCTGAAGCGTATGTAACCCAAGGTACCACTGTAATAGTAGTAGTAGCGCTCATCTCGCTTTATTGGCCGAGGGAGCCGACGTACAGCTTCCAGGTCATGTGGCCAGCAGGACTAAGCCGCTTCTGGTCAACGAGAGCAGCGCACGGAAACGCTGTTTACCTTCCCGCCGGAGCGGTACCTACTTATCTACTTGCACTTTGACGTGCTTTCGAACTGCTAGGTGGGTAGGAGCAGGGACCCAGCAATGGGAGCTCACCCCGTCACGGGGATTCAAACCACCGACCTTCTGGTCGGCAAGTCCTAGGCTCTGTGGTTTAACCCACAGCGCCACCCGCATCCCGCAATAATAGTAGTAATAATAATAATAATAATAATATACCCCTTTTGGTTGGGTTGCCCCAGCCACTCTTTTTCTACAGGTGACTAAGGGCCGGGTGGAATTAAGCGGGGGCTTTTGGGGGCCAAAGAACTGACAGGGAACGGATTTGGGGTGAAGCATCAACAGAAGGATTTTTCCGTGGGCACCATGGGGCAGGAGGAGCCGTCAGGCCTTCCTTCTGCACGACGCTTAGGAGCCTGAACCTACGTCTCTGCATATAAATGAGCATATATGTAAGATTTATGCAAATTTGTGTCTGCAAGCCAGGGTGGGGACGGGCATGCCCCAAATCTTCGTAAGCCTTTAACGAAGCGGATGGAAAGCTAGAATTAATTTTCGTTGGCGCAGAGCTTTCGAGAGGGTGGTGGTTCAGGCCCCAGGGAGCTCCCTGACCCCATTATTCCCCTACTTAGGGCGGCGAACCTTTGCTTGTTATCGCTCCGCGAGGCCCGATCCGAGAGCAGCCGTGCTCTTTGCACCCCCTTGGCTGCGAACCAAGGCCTCTGGCCGTTCACACCCATTTCCTGCCAGCCTGCCACCCGTTCCAGTCCGGCCGGATATTTTTTGTGTGGCGCAAGGTATCCGTGATGCCTAGAAGGTTTCTAACACCGTGTTGGAGGCAGTAAATGTCTCTAATAACCATTTCTGGAAATCACAAGTGGGGAGAGTAATAGTAGTAGTAGTAGTAGTAGTAGTAGTAGTAGTAAACACTGTTCTAAGAAGAATATCTTGGTGTGTATAGACTAAGTTTGTAAAGCAGACGTAGGAAATAATAATAATATTCCAATAATATTAAAGAAGAGATGTGTACGATGCAATGTAAAAAAGAACTTTAAGGGGTAATGAGTATTGGAGGAGGGAAGTCACATGGGTATATTAATATTTTCTTTTTCTTTTCTCCCTTTCTTTTTTGTTTTTCCTTTATCATATGGGTTATTATTTGTATTATTTGTATTTCTGTTTATGTGAGTGATCAATGTTTGTTTGCGAAATAGTTTTATAATAATAATAGTAGTAGTAGTAGTAGCAGTAGTAGTAGTAGTAGTAGTAGCAGTAGTAAGGTAAAGGTAAAGGGACCCCTGACCATTAGGTCCAGTCGTGGCCGACTCTGGGGTTGCGGCACTCATCTCGCTTTATTGGCCGAGGGAGCGGGCGTACAGCTTCCGGGTCATGTGGCCAGCAGGAGTAAGCCTCTTCTGGCGAACCAGAGCAGCGCACGGAAATGCCATTTACCTTCCCGCCAGAGTGGTACCTATTTATCTACTTGCACTTTGACATACTTTCGAACTGCTAGGTTGGCAGGATCAGGGACCGAGCAACGGGAGCTCACCCCGTTGCGGGGATTCGAACCGCCAACCTTCTGATCGGCAAGTCCTAGGCTCTGTGGTTTAACCCACAACGCCACCCGCGTCCCTCTGGATAGGCCTCCTTTGGGCCGGATCCAGCAGCCGGCCTCTTATGAATCATCCAAACATGTGGCAAAACTGAATGCCCTTTGCACCTGTGTGTATTTCTACACAGACGGATATACAAAATAGCCAAAGCTATAGTTTTTGCACGGCTTGCTGGCTTTGCTTTCGAGCCCCGGACCAAACCTTGTTCTTGCCCCTTAATTTTGGACTTTCCGTTGCTCGGGAGAAGCGGAACGGGTGGGAAACAGAACAAAGGAGACCGCCTGGCCCCGTGCATCCGTTCTGGTGGGAACTCCATCACCGGAGGCGGTTGCCATAGAGACGGGTAGCGTTTAGCATCCCTGCTCCTTCCCCTCCTTTCTCTCCCCCTTCCCACTGTTTTCCCAGAGGAAGGCACTGGCGTGGGGAACGAACTGCTGCTGGCATCTTTCAGCAACCAGGTAAGGGACCTCTTTGATCGAGTTGCCGAGGGGGCAAGTTGTTCGCACAACAACATCCTTCAGAGATGAGACAAACTGGGGAGCTTGCAGGCGCCGAGTTTTAGGCCTGTCGTAAAACATTAGCTGCAGTCGGCTCGCGCTGCAAACCTTTCTTTCCGGCTGCAGAGCATGTTTCTGTTCCTATCATTGTGTCTCCGGTTTTCATCCCGATGGCTTTTTGGGGTTACCTGTTTCTGAACGTTGCCGCCTTTGTCCCTGTGCTGTGTACCTGGGTGGAGGGTCAGGATTGCAAATGAGGTGGACGCGAGGTGGACTGCGGGACGGAAAGCCATACCTGTTGATTTTTTGCTGCCAGGGTGGCCATTGAAAGCGCAGGAACACTGCCTTTGAGGGGAGGTTTGGCAACTCTGCAGAGAAGAGAACTATTGGTGGGGGGACTCCAGAGGTGCTTTATGGCACGTTTGTGATTATTTGTGCTCAGAACAGCAGCAGGGTGGTTAAGCATCTTGTTTTCAAGACTTCAAAAGTTTCTGGGCAGGCGTTCCCTACCTGTGCATGTCCCCAAACTTCCTGCTGAAAAGGCTGGAACTTTTCATATCGTCAAAGTTCCGGTTATTTGTTTATTTTCTCCCGCTTTCGTTCTGCGGAAGCGCCCCCTCCGGGCGGTGAATAACACTTGGGAAGCAGTGCAGAAAGGCAGATGGAGTGGAACGACGCATCGAAAGTGAAGGGTAAACCCCACCAGCGAATGCACAATTGTTACATCAGTGACATGTTGCAGCAGACCCCTGACATAGGCGCCAACTCCATGGGGCTGAGGACAGCTCAGCCGCCCCCCCCCCCAGTATGCAAGGATGGGGCTTAGAGGGCCTTCTCGGTGGTGGCGCCTGTCCTGTCGAATGCCCTCCCACCTTGCATCTTCCAGCCCGGACACTGAGGTCCAGCTCCGAGGGCCTTCTGGCGGTTCCCTCCCTGCGAGAAGTGAGGTCACAGGGAACCAGGCAGAGGGCCTTCTCTGTAGTGGCACCCGCCCTGTGGAACGCCCTCCCATCAGGTGTCAAGGAATAAACAACTATCTGACTCTTAGAAGTCATCTGAAGGCAGCCCTGTTTAGGGAAGTTTTTAATGTTTGATGTATATTGTGTTTTTAATCTTCTGTTGGGAGCTGCCCAGAGTGGCTGGGGAAACCCAGCCAGATGGGCGGGCTATAAATAATAAACAATTATTATTATTGTTATTATTATTAATCTGGGCCTCCCCGTGGCAGTGGCAGGCCTCTCCAGGCCTCTTCGAGCCTCACGGCCATTTCCCGACGCACGTGATGTCACACGTGTGACATCATGCACACAGAATGAGCTCCCCCCAAAATGTTGGGTGGAATTTGGAGCCTCTGACCCCCAAATCCTCCAGTCTGAAGGGACTCTCTCTGTGTGTATGTTTGGGGAGCTTTAATCACAAAATCACAGAGATGTAGAGTTGTAAGGGACCTCCAGGGGTCATCCAGTCCAACCCCCTCTGCAATGCAGGAATCCCAGCTAAAGCATCCAGGACAGGTGGCCCTCCAACCTCTGCTTAGATACCTCCGAGGAAGGAGAGTCCACCACCTCCCAAGGGAGACCGTTCCACTGCTGAACAGCTCTTGCTTTCAGAAAGTTCAGTTGGAATCCCCTGTCCTGTAACCTGAATTCGGCAGAAAACAAGCTTGCTCTGTCTTCCACGCGAAAGATTATTCGGTGCCCTGGTTTTTTTTGGCCGCCCTGAACCTCTCACGCCAGGCCTTCCTCCTGCGTCAAGGCCACCCTCTTGCACCTGCAAGAGAACTGTGCATAGATCCCTTGCCAGAGGAGCAAGAAACCCAGATCTCCCAGTGGGTATTTTAAGCTGGCAACTGCCCTCTCTCAAAACACGGTCAACGGTCAGGTGTTCAGCTGGGTCAAAACACAAGGGGGCCTGGCTGAACGAGGAACGGGGCCCAACCCTCACTGTCATCCAAATGCACTATTTTTTAATTAATCTTAAAAAAGGACCTCATCAATGTAAACAGAAGCTTATTTCTCAGGGTTATTTCTGATGGACTATTAATAGGTTTAGCATCATTCATTCAGAACTTGAAGGCGTGCAGACACAGATCTGTTTATTTCATAACTGGACACCAGAAAAGTCCAGGTGCGCATTTTGGACTCACAGCTGTCCATGGAGGCACAGGTCAATTCTGTGTCCAGGGCAGCTCCATATGGTACGCAGGATGAGACCCTCTATGCCCATGGACGGTCTCGCCAGAGTGGTGCATGCTCTGGTTATCTCCCGCTTGGACTACTGCAATGCACTCTCCGTGGGGCTACCTTTGAAGGTGACCCGGAAACTGCAATTAATCCAGAATGCGGCAGCTAGACAGGGGAATGGGAGCGGCCACCGAGACCATATAACACCAGTCTTGAAAGACCTACATTGGCTCCCAGGACGTTTCCGAGCACAATTCAAAGTGTTGGTGCTGACCTTGAAAGCCCTAAACAGCCTCAGCCCAGTATACCTAAAGGAGCGTCTCCACCCCCATCGTTCTGCCCGGACACTGAGGTCCAGCTCCGAGGGCCTTCTGGTGGTTCCCTCCCTGCGAAAAGTGAAGTTACAGGGAAGCAGGCAGAGGGCCTTCTTAGTAGTGGCGCCCGCCCTGTGGAATGCCCTCCCGCCAGATGTCAAAGAGAAAAATAACTACCAAACTTTTAGAAGACATCTGAAGGCAGCCCTGTTTAGGGAAGTTTTTAATGTTTGATTTTTTATTCTGTTTTTAATCTGTTGGGAACCACCCAAAGGACTGATAAATTGGAAGAATAGAGATATGATTCCCCTTAATCTATGGCTCAACAACGTGGAGATATTGGCAACATGAACGGACTGCTTATAGATGCAGACTTTATTTGGAAAAATGCAACGATAACTGGAAGGAGTTTAAGCAGACATTAGTTTATTGGCAATTCATTATGTGTATTAGGATAATAAGAATATACACACCTGTATATTTTTCTTTCTTTTCCTGTCTCACTCTTAACGTTTTTATAAATGAAATTCATATATATATTTGTATGGGTTTGGGACAACTTTGTCAGCGACATCGCTGTGAACCAGACTAGCTTTTAAAGGCGCAGGAGGAGCAGGCCTAGCTTTGCTTTCTGATAAGTTGGCAACCCAACGGAGATGAAGATGCAATGTATAGATGGTATATAACACCGGTTAACTTAGCAGAAATGTATAAAGTTAGTAACAAATGTTGGAAATGTAAGGAAAAAGAGGGAACATTTTATCAAATGTGGTGGGAATGTAAAAAGGTGAAATGCTTCTGGGAGATGATATATTATGAGTTGGAAAAAATGTTGAAATATACATTTATAAAGAAACCAGAAGCATTTCTTTTGGGTATTGTTGGAAATTATATAAATAGAAAGGAATGTAAGCTTTTCTCATATGCAGTAACAGCAGCAAGAATACCATTGGCCCAAAAATGGAAGCAAGAAGAATTACCAACGATGAAAGGATGGAGGGTGAAATTAATGGACTATGCAGAACTTGACAAACTAACAGGAAGGATCCGAAACCGGTGAGACCAGAGGTTTACCGAAGACTGGAGTAAATTTACAGACTATTTGAAAAGTATTTGTGATGATCAGACGACGTTTGTAGGATTGCAAGAAGTTCTGTGAGGAGTATTATGGGAAATATTGTAGAAACGGAAAAGGAGAGACGATATGTTAAAAGATGTAAAGGCAATATTAAGTTAAGAAATGCATAAGAAGTGATTAAGACGGAGGATTATCAGAGGTGCTGATGGAAATCCAGTAAGATTGTATCTGTGATAAATTGTGTGGTACGTTTTATAATTCTGTATGCTAAAATTAATAAATATATATATATAAAAAGAGATGAAGATGCAATGCTGGTCTTGTTCCCACCTGCCGTAGTACTGCCCACCGCTCATCCTTGCTCTTCTTCACCCCACAGATAAGCTCTTTGGGAAGAGGCTGCTGCAGGCTGGCCGTTACATCATGTCTCACAAATCATGGATGAAAACGGTGCCTACGGAAAACTGCGACGTCCTGATGACCCTGCCAGGTGCGTTTTGCCAAATTCAGCAGTTTCAGTTCTTTGGTTCAAAACAGAGGGACATAGCAGGCTGCCTGCTGCCAAGTCAGAACTCTGCTCCAACTAGCTCAGTTTAGCCTACACGGGCTGGCAGCAGCGGCCGTCCAGGGTTGCAGGCAGAGGATTGGGTGGCGCTGTGGCCTAAACCCCTGAGCCTCTTGGGCTTGCCAATCGGAAGGTCGGCGGTTCGAATCCCCGCGATGGAGTGAGCTCCTGTTGCTCCGTCCCAGCTCCTGCCAACCTAGCAGTTCGAAAGCACACCAGCGCAAGTAGATAAAGAGGTACCGCTGTGGCGGGAAGGTAAACGGCATTTCCATGCGCTCTGTTTTCTGTCACGGTGTCCCATTGTGCCAGAAGCGGTTTAGTCCTGCCGGCCACATAACCTAGAAATCTGTCTGCGGACAAACGCCGGCTCCCTCGGCCCGAAAGCAAGATGAGTGCCGCAACCCCATAGTCGCCTTTGACTGGACTTAGCCATCCAGGGGTCTTTTCCCTACGGTCCTTCCCCCCCCCCCCCCCAGTGAACCCAGAGAATAGTAGGGACGGACAGCTAGGGACGAAGCCTCCACATCCAGGCACCGTCTACCTGCAAAGCCACAAAGGAAAACGGGCAGGTGCAGAAATTTCCAGATCAGTTCTGCATGCTGAAAAAAGCCGACTTTGCCAAGGCCCTGGCGGTTGGTGGCTCCCTTGCCCACCCCACCCCCCAATTCCAGGCAGGGAAACGAAGATCGCTGCATGTTGGTTTCAGGCTCGATCGTTTGTAATCAGACACCAGGCTGGGCGAGAGGCCAGACCGTAATGTTGTATGGAGGAAAAGGAGAGAGAGAGAGATATGAGTTTCTCTTCTTAAGCCTTCCGATGTGAACCCGCCCCCCCCTTTTGATCAGTAAGGTCCCCCGAGGGAACCTAGCCATTGCGTCACTTGCCCGATTTATTTATTTTTAATTCGTTTCGTTTCGTAACATACATAAACAGAGAGAGCGTAACGACACGTGAAAGTGCAAAAAGAGGAAAACTAAACTACGAAGCAGGCACGTGTAATGCACACCGTGGGAGCTTGTTATGCAAGAAAAAAACGTCCGCGTTATCGGATGATCAAGTCTGGTTACAGGTTTTCCAGGCTTGGATTCTTAAAACGGCAGTTCCGTTGTAAATAATAATAATAATAATAATAATAATAATAATAATTTATTACTTCTACCCCATCTGGCCCAGCTACTCTGGGCGACTTCCAACAGAATATTAAATAGTAATAATAATAATAATATATTTATTTATACCCAGCCACTCTGGTCAGCGTCCAACAAAACACTAAAATACAATAACCTATTCAATATTAAAAGCTTCCCTAAACAGGGCTGCCTTCAGATGTCTTCTAAAAGTCTGGTAGTTGTTGTTCTCTTTGACATCTGGTGGGAGAGTGTTCCACAGGGCGGGCGCCACCACCGAGAAGGTCCTCTGCCTGCTTCCCTGTAACTTGGCTTCTCGCAGTAAGGGAACCGCCAGAAGGCCCTCGGAGCTGGACCTCAGTGTCCGGGCAGAACGATGGAGGTGGAGACGCTCCTTCAGGTATACTGGACCAAGGCCGTTTAGGGCTTTAAAGGTCAGCACCAACACTTTGAATTGTGCTCAGAAGCGTTAAACACACAATAAAGCATCAAACATGTGATAAAGCAATGGCAAGTCATATTAAAAGGGCCTGGAGATTCCAGTCCTCATTGAAATCTCAAACTGCATGCAATTTCCCCCCCTTATAGCTCTGTTCCAGAGGGAACATTCTCCAAGGGCCCAATGTAAGATTTGGGTGTGTTTTCCACTGAGTTGCAATTATGATTCAAGCTGCCTAGATCACATATAAGACCAATACTTTTCTTCTTCTTCTTCTTATTATTATTAGTATTAATTAATTAATTATCATTATATTTGTACGCTGTCCATCTGTCTGGTTGCTCCAGCCACCTTGGGTGGCTTCCAGCATAAACAGAAATATAATAAAACATCACACATTAAAAACCTCCAGATACAAAAAAAGTTTAAAGACACTACCAGGACTGGAATAAGAACTTCCATGTAAAATAGTAGAGTTATGACAATAATATACGCAATAAATATGTGATGTATATACCAGCTGTGGGGAGGGAGGGAAGTCAAGACTCGGCAGAGTCAAAGGGATTATATTGCGATAATTGTTGGGAAAAGGATTATATGAAGAAAACAATAAAAATTTATATGAAGGGGCGAAAAAATAAAAACCTCCAGATACAGGACTGCTTTCAGATGTCAGTGGTGTAGTTCCTTGTGTGTGTGTGTGTGTGTGTGTGTGTGTGTATTATTTGATTTTAAAAACTATAAACATACAACAAAAAACAATTCAAAATCCAAATATTGAGATTGCTCTGAATCCCCTGATTTCCTCCCATCCCTTCCATAGGTCCCAATGATAATATTTACAACTTCATATCAATACTTTTCCAGATTTTTATCCTTCTAAATTATCCACACTTTCCATTTCTTTACAAGTGTGGTTAACATCCTGCTAATGTTCTAACCCGCTTACCGTGGTCTCAGAGATAAATTATAAACTTTCCCCATTCTTTTTTTAAAGTTCTTGTCTTCTTGGTTTCTGAGCTCCCCAGCTAATTTTGCCATTTCGGCGTAGTCCATCAACTCGGTTTGCCATTCTTCTCTGGTGTAGTTCTCTGACATCTGACGGGAGGGCGTTCCACATGGCAGGTGCCACCACCGAGAAGGCCCTCTGCCTGGTTCCCTGCGACTTCGCCTCTTGCAGGGAGGGAACTGCCGGAAGGCCCTCGGTGCTGGACCTCAGTTTCTGGGCTGAACGACGGGGATGTGGCCTCGCTGTAACATTTGTTTGTAGAAAAGCCTCAAAGCGGTTTACCAAAAAAAAAAAAGGGGGGGGAGAGATAAAAGCAATAAAATAGCGACTAACAAAATTGCAAGCATAACGTAAAAACATGCAAGAAGTTAAAAGCGCAGCAGAATACACTAAAACAAATTTCTAAGCACCTGGAGAGGCTTGTCTAAAAATGAATTTATTTGGCAGGTGCCAAAAAAGGTACAGTGAAGGCACTCACCTGATATCAAGTGGCAGGGAGTTCCAACGGACACGTTCAAATAAAAACCAGTCGAAAGATGCCTAACTGGTTGATCTGAGCGTTTAAAATGAACTAACCACTGCACCCTTGGAGTGCCTGAAATCCGTATCTGACTACTCAGAGAGCCAGTGTGGTGTAGTGGTTAAGAGCAGTGGACTCGTAATCTGGTAAACCGGGTTCGATTCCTCGCTCCTCCACATGCAGCTGCTGGGTGACCTTGGGCCAGTCACACTTCTCTGAAGTCTCTCAGCCCCACTCACCTCACAGAGTGTTTGTTGTGGGGGAGGAAGGGAAAGGAGATTGTTAGCCGCTTTGAGACTCCTTCGGCTAGTGATAAAGTCGGATATCAAATCCAAACTCTTAATAATAATAATAATAATAATAATAATTTATTATTTGTACCCCGCCCATTTGGCTGGGTTTCCGCAGCCACTCTGGGCGGCTTCCACAAAGACCAAAAATACACTAATATGTCATACATTAAAAACTTCCCTGAACTTAAGATGTCTTCTGAATGTCAGGTAGTTGTTTATCTCTTTGACATCTGGTGGGAGGGCATTCCACAGGGCGGGCGCAACGATGGGGATGGAGACGCTCCTTCAGGTATACTGGACCGAGGCCGTTTAGGGCTTTAAAGGTCAGCACCAACACTTTGAATTGTGCTCGGAAACGTACTGGGAGCCAATGTAGGTCTTTCAAGACCGGTGTTATATGGTCTCGGCAGCCGCTCCCAGTCCCCAGTCTAGCTGCCGCATTCTGGATTAGTTGTCGTTTCCGGGTCACCTTCAAAGGTAGCCCCACGTAGAGCGTATTGCAGTAGTCCAAGCGGGAGATAACTAGAGGATGCACCACTCTGGCGAGACAGTCTGCGGGCAGGGAGGGTCTCATCCTGCGTACCAGATGGAGCTGGTAGACAGCCGCCCTGGACACAGAACTGACCTGCGCCTTCATGGAGAGCTGCGAGTCCATAATGACTCCCAGGCTGCACACCTGTTCCTTCGGGGGCACAGTTACCCCGTTCAGGACCAGGGAGTCCTCCACACCTGCCCACCTCCTGTCCCCCAAAAACAGTACTTCTGTCTTGTCAGGATTCAACCTCAATCCATTAGCCGCCATCCATCCTCCACCCGCCTCCAGGCACTCACACAGGACCTTTACCGCCTTCACTGGTTCTGATCTGAAAGAGAGGTAGAGCTGGGTGTCATCTGCATACAGTGGTGCCTCGCAAGACGAAATTAATCCGTTCCGCGAGTGTCTTCGTCTAGCGGTTTTTTCGTCTTGCGAAGCAACCCTATTAGCGGCTTAGCGCTATTAGCGGTTTAGCGGCTATTAAAGGCTTATCGGCTTAGCGGATTAGCTGCTAAAAGGCTATTAAAGGCTTAGCGGCTTAGATAAAGGGGGGGGGAAGCGGACCATCTCAAGACTCGCAAGACATTTTCGTCTTGCGAAGCAAGCCCATAGGGAAATTCGTCCTGCGAAGCAACTCAAAAACGGAAAACCCTTTCGTCTAGCGGGTCTTCCGTCTTGCGAGGCATTCGTCTTGCGGGGCACCACTGTATTGATAACTTCTGTAGTCTCTCTCTTCTTCTTCTTCTTCTTCTCACTCTTCCTTTTCCAAATGCCTCTCCAGACACGACCGACGACCACACGCTTCTATGGCTGCTGAACCACATCCGGCTGGGAATCCCAGAGCTCATCATTCAGATAAGGCACCACAAGCACACCCGGGTCTATGCCTTCTTCGTCACAGCGACTTACGAAAGGCAGGTCCCGACTCCGGTGGGCGGCAGGTTTTGGGCATGCAGGCGTGTGGTGGGCCGGCGGGAAGCGAGGAGGGTCTTTCTTCCTCGCCGGACAACCCTCCTTTCCCTGCCTTTTAAAACCATGTCAGAATTATAAGGAATTCCAGTCGTACCTCGGATCCCGAACGCCTTGCGAGTCGAACGTTTCGGTTCCCGAACGCCGCAAACCCGGAAGTGACTGTTCCGGTTTGCGAACGTTCTTTGGAACCCGAACGTCCGACGGGGCTTCCGATTGGAGCTTCCTGCAGCCAATCGGAAACCGCGCTTGGTTTCCGGACGTTTTTGAAGTCGAACGGACTTCCGGAATGGATTTCTGTTCGACCTCCGAGGTACCACTGCTTGGGGATCAGAGAATTCAGGATTCTGCTTCCAAGTCCATTGTCTCCACTGGATATGGGCTAGAACTTTTCCCACGCTGACCTAAAGATGCTATCAGAGATGGATGGAGCTTTTTGAATGGACGGGAAAAGTATAGGCAGCCTTCCCTTCTCTCTAAAAAAAAATAGTATTTTTTATTCTGTCCTGAGCAAATCCATCATCTGTTGCTTTAAATCAAGATCAAAAGTCGAAGCAAGCTCATTTCGCTCAAGTCTGATCGGCAGTGCAATATAGAAACTTACTTGGCAGGTCTGTGTCTCAAGGTATATTATGTATAAATTGGTCATCGCTGTAGTTTAATGGTGTATCTTTGCATACAGTGGTACCTCCGGTTAAGTACTTAATTCGTTCCGGAGGTCCGTACTTAACCTGAAACTGTTCTTAACCTGAAGCACGACTTTAGCTAATGGGGCCTCCTGCTGCTGCCGTGCCGCCAGAGCACGATTTCTGTTCTCAAACTGAAGCAAAGTTATTAACCTGAAGCACTATTTCTGGGTTAGTGGAGTATGAACATCAAGCGTATGTAACCTGAGGTACCACTGTATTCCTCAAAAGTGTGAATAGAATATCTTTTATCTCCTTTTTTTGGCTGAAAGGCCGAAGGATGGTTGCAAACAACAACAAATAAACTTTGACTGAAGATCGTTGCCATAGCTACCAGGGGCGAAACCCTGAAATTAGATTAGAGAATATTAAGTCGCCAATGGGCCTCATCATCTTCTCTTGGAAACTTCTGGTGGGGATAATGCAGAGCAACAACCCTTTGAAGGGGAAATAAACTTTGACAGAAAATAAACGTTGCTATCGTGAAGTTAAGGGTGCATTTGGCGCAGCTGGGAAATCAAAAAAGGAGAGAACTATTGCTTTGTAGACCGAAAGCTGCAATAGGCGATAGGTTTGTCTAGTTGCCGCTTTAGCTGCTTGGGCTTCAGAGCACGTGCAGAGTTCCTGCCCCTCTTAGTCTCCATTCTCCACCCCCGTTCTTCTCGGCAGTTTGCTCCGAGGAGCCGATGAGATCGGTTTGCGGAAGCCTGTGAAAGCAGAGTTCGGAGGCGGAATGCGGAGCTTCTCCTGCGAGGAAGATTACATCTACGAGAACATCGAAAACGAACTTTATTTTTTCACTTCTCAGGTGGGTGCTGCCCCCAGGACTAGGCTGTGTGGGGTGTGATACCGTATTTTTCGCTCCATAAGACGCACCTAGTTTTTAGAGGAGGAAAACAAGGAAAAAAATATTCTGAACGAAACAGTGGATGTATGATTTTTGTGGTTCATGCTGTGGTCCCAGACATGTGATCTGACGGTGAATTTGGGGTGACCCAATGCAAAAATCCTGAGGATCCATGTGGATCCGTGCTTTGTAACCACATTTTTGCACCACTGCAGCCCCAGGAAACAGTAGATGCATGATTTTTTTGGTGCAAGCTGTAGCCATGGACATGCTATGTGATCTGTTGGTGAATTTGGGGTGACCCAATGTAAAAATCCTGAGGATCCATGGGCTTTTACCTCCCCCTCCCAGGCAGCCTCCGCTAGGTCCCTTATCTCTCCTCCGATCCCACTGATCAGCTGCTTCCTTTCAACACCCCCTTCCCTCTTGTTTGCCTTAGTGTCTTTTCCTTAGCTGGAGCAATTTTTTTGCTCCTTTTCTTCTGATTTCTCTCCTTATTGCTTTAGTCTTCCTGTTTCCCCCCTTTGCAAGTTTGCTGTCTTTACCTACCCCTTCCCAGGCAGCCTCCTTTATCTCTAGCATCCCTTATCTCTCTCCCCGATCAGCAAACAATCAGCGGCTTTGTTTCAACATCCCCTTCCCTCTTTCAAAAAAAAAAAAAAAAGTATGATATGCTTTTTGCCCCTGGGCAATTCGGCTCCAGGGAGCACGCATTCGCTCCTTAAGACGCACAGACATTTCCCCTTACTTTTTAGGAAGAAAAAAGTGCGTCTTATGGAGTGAAAAATACGGTACATAGATGGCAGTTGAATGCAACATTCCTTGTTTTCCTAAAGTGGACATGCAAGGGGATGTTTGGTCCAGCCAGTCGGAACTTCCTGGACTGGGACATCCTCTTGCGTGTGACTAGAGGTGAGTGTGATCTTACCTGTTCAGGTAACAGAACCACAAGGCACACAGCCCTCCTCCCCTCTTTTTCCATCTTCCTTTCGTCCTGTGAGCTGCAGTGACTGACAGCCTGTAGTCACTGGGATTAACCCCCACAAATTGGGTAGATCCACGTGTATAAGACTAGGTTTTCCCCCTAAAAAATAATGTCCAAAATTTGAGGGCGTCTTATACACGGATAGATCTCCCACCATTTTTTAGAATTGGAGTCCACAAAAATAGGGGGTGTCTTATCCATGGGGGTGTCTTATAGACCGAAAAATACGGTATATCTGTAACTAAGTCTGCCTTCAGGGATCCACCTGTGAACTGAATGTGTGAGTAAACTTCTTTTGTATACCTTATCCCTGACCACTGGTCCTGTTAGCCAGGGATGATGGGAGTTGTAGTCCCAAAACAGCTGGAGGGCTGAGTTTGAGGGTGCCTGCTTTAGAGGGTCTGACAAAAAAGCAGAGGCGATGGAGCAGCCCTGCTCCCCTTCTCTGCTCTGCAGCCTGATGGAATGGCTGCCACCTGCTTCGTAATGTTTCTTAAAAGAGCCGTAGGTGGCAAGACCCAGTTGTGGCTCGAAGGCTGTGGGGCTGGTGCATAGCTGTCAACCGTCCCTTATTTGGTGGGAAAGTCCCTTATCCCAGCGCCGTGTCCCGCTGCTGTCCCTTATTGATGATGTCCCTTAAATTTCCTGGGTTTCAAAGGAAGCAGCTCCTCTCCCTCCCTCCCTGCCGGCCAGGGAGGAGGAAGGCTCCAACTGTGTTGCTTGGCTGCGTTGCTCACCCAATAAGGAGTCTAAGAACGACTGGGGGGTGGAGCTTGCATGCCTTGTGCCAATCAAGTCAGCCGCCTTGCCTGGGGACTCGCCTTTGCTCAGCGCTTCCCAGCGGAGAGGTGACGGTGGTTTTCCTTGCTGCATCCCCTTTGCCGGGTTGCTGCGCTGTGGGAACCACCGCTTGAGGCTTCGTTTGGCTGCTGGCTGGGCTTTCTGCCTTTGGCTCAGAGGGGCTCAGAAGTCGAACATAGCTGTGCTCTGAAAATCCCTTATTTTGGTTGCTGATCCCTTATTTTCAAGGCTGCTGGTCCCTTATTTTCAAATCTGTAAGTTGACAGCTATGGGCTGGTGACCCCAGGTGGTCCATTCACCACTTTCCCCTCTCTCCTCTTTCAGGAACGTCAGAGCATCATCAGGTATTGGCTGGAGAACCTGCGGGCCAAACAGGGCGAGGCTCTACACAACATCCACTTCCTGGAAGGCCAGCCAATCGGTGAGTGGGGATTGGGGCCAGAAGGCGGGGCATGTGGAGTGGCATCTGTCTGCCTGCCTGAAGAGCTGGACTGAAATTTGTGCGCTGTCCGAACAACCAAACAGAATCATTTGCTGGGTCTCCTGAATTTCGGATAGTTTCCAGTTTTGCTTTTGAAATTTGAAATTGAGTGGTGACTGTCTGTCTGTCTGAAGAGCTGAACTGAGATTTGTGCGCTATTCCAAACAACCAAACAGAATCCTTTCCTGGGTCTTCTGAATTTTGGAGAGTTTCCCATTTTGCTTTTGAAATTCAGCGGCGTTTCAAAGAGCCACAAAACTCTGGAATATTCCGTCATGTGTGCACCTTTTAAAAAGTAAGGGACGAATTGAGTAGGATTCAGCAGGCAGAGTTCCTGGGCCAAATCCACCCCCCTTTTATGAAAGGGGAGCCATTACAAATTTGTTAACTTCAGCGGGCGGGGGACAGGTTTGATATCCCCAAATTTAGATGCTTTTATCCTTTCCTTTGCTGCCCTCTCCAAATCCTGACCATCTCCATAACAGTGAATACAGTGGTACCTTGGTTCTCGAACGGCTTAGTTGTCAAACAAATTCACTCCCAAATACTGCAAACCCAGAAGTAAGTGTTCCGGTTTGCGAATGTTTTTCAGAAGCCGAACGTCCGACGCTCCTGCAGCCAATCAGAAGCCACGTCTTGGTTTCCGAACGGTTTCGGGAGTCGAACGGGCTCCCAGAATGGATTAAGTTTGAGAAGCAATGTTCCACTGTATTAAAAAAAGTTTCAATCGCACGTAAATTTCCAAATGAAACATATATCGTGATATTGGCACTATGTGTTTCGTCTAACTTTAGCTCTCAGATGTTGCTTTGTGTTACTCTGGGCACCACAATGAGGAGAGTTATATATTTATCCGTCTCTACATTACATAAAAGGGACGCGGGTGGCACTGTGGGTTAAACCACAGAGCCTAGGGCTTGCCGATCAGAAGGTCGGCGGTTCGAATCCCCGTGATGGGGTGAGCTCCTGTTGCTTGGTCCCTGCTCCTGCCAACCTAGCAGTTCCAAAGCACGTCAAAGTGCAAGTAGATAAATAGGTACCACTCCAGCGGGAAGGTAACGGTGTTTCCGTGCGCTGCTCTGGTTTGCCAGAAGCGGCTTAGTCCTGCTGGCCACATGACCCGGAAGCTGTACGTCGGCTCCCTTGGCCAATAAAGCGAGATGAGCGCCACAACCCCAGAGTCGGCCACGACTGGACCTAATGGTCAGGGGTCCCTTTACCTTCACATTACATAAAATAACCAACCAACAAATAAAGCTCAGTTTAAAGTCAGTAAACACAAACCGGCGATGAGCCCAACCGGAAGAAGGAAACATAACATGGCCATTGTTGTCCTTCTGCCACATCCTTCTAGTTCATCCGTTTGGCAGAAACTTGCTGGGGGAGGTACCACTTCTGAGGAGGGGGCTAGGCCTGCCCACCCACCCCAAAGCTCATACCACTCTTGGGGTCCGACAGGGCAAAGTAGGTCTGCTTTAAACTTTTAAATTGCAAAGGACTAGTGGCGCTGTGGGTTAAACCACAGAGCCTAGGACTTCTCGATCAGAAGGTTGGCGGTTCGAATCCCCGTGATGGGGTGAGCTCCCGTTGCTCGGTCCCTGCTCCTGCCAACCTAGCAGTTCGAAAGCACACCAGTGCAAGTAGATAAATAGGTACCGCTCCGGCGGGAAGGTGAACGGTGTTTCCGTGCGCTGTTCTGGTTCGCCAGAAGCGGCTTAGTCATGCTGGCCACATGACCCGTACGCTGTACGCTGGCTCCCTCGGGCAGTAAAGCGAGATGAGCGCCAAAACCCCAGAGTCGGTCACGACTTGACCTAATGGTCAGGGCTCCCTTTACCTTTACCTAGAGCTTTGGTAGCTGCTGTTGGCGCATCCAGGGTCGAAGGGGGCTTCTGTTGCACCCCTGCCTCGCTCAACTCCTGCGCCCCCCTTTCTTTTCTCCGCAGTTCCCGAATTGGCTGCCCGCGGCATTCTCCAGCAGGTCTTCCCCATCCACGAGCAACGGATCCTCAACCGGCTGATGAAATCGTGGGTACAAGCCATTTGCGAACCGCAACCTTTGGGTATGCAATTCTGTCCTTCCCTGACTCCCTCCTCTTCCGAGATCACTTGTGGGGCCTGTAGGTTCCCCTCCCTGCCCCTGATCTAAGGAGAGACGTTACCCCCCTTTTCTCAGAGGCATAGGGACACGCGGGGCGCTGTGGTCTAAACCACTGAGCCTCTTGGACTTGCCGATCAGAAGGTTGGCGGTTTGAATCCCTGCGACGGGGTGAGCTCTTGTTTCTCTGTCCCAGCTCCTGCCAACCTAGCAGTTCGAAAGCACACCAGGGCAAGTAGATAAATAGGTACCGCTCCGGCGGGAAAGTAAACAGCATTTCCGTGTGCTCTGGTTTCCGTCACGGTGTCCTGTTGCGGCAAAAGCGGTTTAGTCCTGCTGTCCACATGACCCGGAAAGCTGTCTGCGGACAAACACTGGCTCCCTTGGCCTGAAAGCGAGATGAGCGCCACAACCCCGTAGTCGCCTTTGACTGGACTTAACCATCCAGGGGTCCTTTACCTTTTACCTTTTACACCTTTAGGCGCCAGGCAAAAACGTTCTTCTTCAACCAGGCCTTTGGCTGATTGATATTCTACAGCCTTTCAAATGTACCGTATTTTTGCTGTATAAGACTCACTTTTCCCTCCTAAAAAGTAAAGGGAAATGTGTGTGCGTCTTATGGAGCGAATGCAGGCTGCGCAGCTATCCCAGAAGCCAGAACAGCGAGAGGGATTGTTGCTTTCACTGCGCAGCGATCCCTCTTGCTGCTCTGGCTTCTGAGATTCAGAATATTTTTTTCCTTGTTTTCCTCCTCCAAAAACTAGGTGCGTCTGGTGGTCTGGTGCGTCTTATAGAGCGAAAAATACGGCATTTTGTTTTTTGGGGGGGGAGTTCTTTTGTTGTTTTTAACTACTTATTTGTGTTTTTATCTTGTGTTTTTATCCTGAGATCTTTTGATGAAGGGTGGTATAATAGTAGTAATAATAATAATAGTAATAATAATACCCAGTGCTTTTTTTCTGGGGGGTACGCAGAGGTACGCGTACCCCTAAACATTTTGTGAATCTTTGTACTTTTGTCCATTTGCTGCATTTATTTCCCCCCATTTGAACTATAAAATGGTTATTTTCTTGAGTCAAAATGAGAGTACCCCTAAAAGTTTTTTAAAGAAAAAAAAAGCACTGATAATAAGAATAAGAATAATATCTTGAGGGTACAACCTTCTCCATTCCTGAGCAAAACGCGAGGTGTTGTACTCTTCCTCATGCAGGAATAAATCTTTGAAATGTGAGACCAGGATGGGCAGTATATATATATATATATATATATATATATATATATATATATATGTATGTTTTTTTGCAAAAATGGGCAGTATATTAACAACAACAACAACAATTGTTATACCTGAAGGAGCGTCTCCACCTCCATCGTTCTGCCCGGACACTGAGGTCCAGCGCCGAGGGCCTTCTGGCGGTTCCCTCCCTGCGAGAAGTGAGGTTACAGGGAACCAGGCAGAGGGCCTTCTCGGTGGTGGCACCCGCCCTGTGGAATGCCCTCCCTTCAGATGTCAAGGAAATAAACAACTACCTGACTTTTAGAAGACACCTGAAGGCAGCCCTGTTTAGGGAAGCTTTTAATGTTTAATAGGTTATTGCATTTTAGTGTTTTGTTGGAAGCCGCCCAGAGTGGCTGGGGAAACCCAGTCAGATGGGCGGGGTATAAATAATAAATTATTGTTATTATGTTGTAATAGGAATAATAATATCTGGAGGGTGCAGGCTTTCCCATTCCTCACGCAGAATTGCATCTTCTAAATCTAAGTTTTAATTTATATATATTTAAACTGTTGCTATATCTGTATTGTCCCTGTTATACCTAATTGCAAATTCAAATGTATCCCTAATCGTGTTTTATTACTTCCTTGATATTGTATGTGGGCTGGAACTGGTCTGTGACTGAAATAATAAAATTCATTCATCTCCTGAATAAAAGAACAGGATGCTGAATTAACTTTGGTCCAGCCATGTTCTGATTTCCTTCCCCCTTGCCACCCCCAGATGATATCTGTGACTATTTTGGTGTGAAAATTGCCATGTATTTTGCCTGGCTGGGATTCTACACATCGGCCATGGTTTACCCGGCTGTCTTTGGCTCCCTTCTCTACACCTTCACGGAGAACGATCAGGTGAGGACGGGTTACCTATAGAACAGGGGAGGGGAAGAGAGAATAAAATATCAAGGGAGTCAGGGCCGGATTTCGGTTTGATGCGGCCCTCAGCTACTGAAGGTAATGGGGCCCTTTATATGTCCAGCTGTCCTTTGTCAACAACAAATTGCCGCTGTGTTTTTGTGTTGAATGTATGCTATATGGCGGGCCTAGGCAAACTCGGCCCTCCAGATGTTTTTAGACTACAGTTCCCATCATCCCTGACCACTGGTCCTGTTAGCTAGGGATGATGGGATTTGTAGTCCCAAAACATCTGGAGGGCCAAGTTTGCCTATGCCTGCTATATGGTAATTTATGGACCTAATAGGTATCTAAAGCCATTTGCACATAGCAAAATATGTATTTTATCAAAGTAATTGTTGGACTGAAATACAATAAAGAAGAAGTATATATGAATAGTGGAATACAATGAAGAAGTATATGAATAGTGGAATAATTATTAAGCTCTAACTTAAAATGATTTTTGTATTCATAGCAAATTTAATGATATTGGCGTTTGGCAATAACAAAAGTTTCTTTAGAAACACGGTTTACAAAGACTCACAGTCGAGTCTCTAGAATCTTGCTATAACATGAAATAATAATAGGTGTAAATATGTGATGCAAACTACTAATCATTAGGGACGCGGGTGGCGCTGTGGTCTAAACCACAGAGCCTAGGGTTTGCCGATCAGAAGGTTGGCGGTTCGAATCCCCGCAACAGGGTGAGCTCCCGTTGCTCGGTCCCTGCTCCTGCCAACCTAGCAGTTCGAAAGCACGTCAAAGTGCAAGTAGATAAATAGGTACCGCTCTGGCGGGAAGGTAAACGGCGTTTCTGTGTGCTGCTCTGGCGAACCAGAGCGGCTTAGTCATGCTGGCCACATGACCCAGAAGCTGTACGCCGGCTCCCTCGGCCAGTAAAGCGAGATGAGCGCCGCAACCCCAGAGTCAGCCACGACTAGACCTAATGGTCAGGGGTCCCTTTACCCATTACCTTTATTCCCCCACCAGACCAGCCGGGACGTCTGCTGTGTGATCTTCGCCATCTTCAACGTCATCTGGGCCACCCTGTTCCTGGAGGAGTGGAAGCGGCGGGGGGCCGAGTTCGCCTACAAGTGGGGCACCCTGGACACGCCGGCGGAGTCCATCGAGGAACCACGGCCGCAGTTCCGGGTCAGTGGCGGCGCCGGATCCAGCCCTGGGAACTGGGGCAGGGGAGAGAACGTTGTAGGGAAGCACAGACCATCCCCTCCCTCCCTTAAGAGAGAGGGTGTGGCCTAAGGAGTCCGCTGAGGGCCAGGTGGAAAGGCTCTGGGGGCCGCAAGCAACCCTCTGCTGCTGAGGTTCCTAAGGAGACCCTCAGGGGCCAGATAGAAAGGCTCCGGGGGCCACATCTACCCCCCTGCTCCTGAGGTTCCTAAGGAGACCCTCAAGGGCCAGATAGAAAGGCTTCAGGGGCCGCAATCACCCCTCCGCTCCTGAGGTTCCTAAGGAGACCCTCAAGGGCCAGATAGAAAGGCTTCAGGGGCCGCAATCTCCCCTCTGCTCCTGAGTCTGCTAAGGGGGCCCTCCAGGGCCAGATAGAAAGGTCTCGGGGCCACATTCACTCCTCTTCTCCCGAGGTTCCTAAAGAGACGCTCCAGGGCCAGATAGAAAGGTTTCGGGGGCCACATTCACCCCTCTTCTCCCGAGGTTCCTAAAGAGACCCCCCAGGGCCTGATAGAAAGGCTCCAGGGGCCGCATCCACCCCCCAGGGGCCTGAGCTCGCCCTGCTGCAAGTGGGCCCACAATCTTTCCTAGCTCCTCCGGCCAGGCAGCTCTCTGCGGCCGCCGCCTTGTTGACCCCTCTCCCCGCCCGCAGGGGGTGAAGCGCGTGAGCCCCGTGACCAACTCGGAGGAGTTCTACTACCCGCCCTGGAAGCGGCTGCTCTTCCAGTGCCTGGTCAGCCTCCCGGTCTGCCTCTTCTGCCTCTCCTTCGTCTTCCTCGCCATGTTGGGCTGCTTTGAGCTACAGGTGAGCGGGGAAAGCCGGGCGTTTTCGGAGGGGAGGAAGTTTTTGCAGCAGGGAGAGACAGATTACGGGATTGTCACTGTCATCATCATCCTTATTAATTCAACCTATCTGTTGCTTTCTTCTTATTTTTACAAGAAGTAACTGAATCCGTTTGAAGGGACGCGGGTGGTGCTGTGGGTTAAAGCACAGAGCCTAGGGCTTGCCGATCAGAAGGTCGGCGGTTCGAATCCCCGCAATGACGGGGTGAGCTCCCGTTGCTCGGTCCCTGCTCCTGCCAACCTAGCAGTTCGAAAGCACGTCAAAGTGCAAGTAGATCAATAGGTACCGCTCCGGCGGGAAGGTAAACGGCGTTTCCGTGCGCTGCTCTGGTTCGCCAGAAGCGGCTCAGTCCTGCTGGCCACATGACCCGGAAGCTGTACGCCAGCTCCCTCGGCCAATAAAGCGAGATGAGCGGCGCAACCCCAGAGTCGGCCACGACTGGACCTAATGGTCAGGGGTCCCTTTACCTTAACTGAATCAGTTTCGGTTTCTCTGGACAAATCTCTCAGCTTATTTATTCGCCGTACACAGTGGACCCTCCAGGTACGAACTTAACTCATTCCGGGGGTTCGTAAGTACCCCAGAAAGTTTGTATCTAGAGGCGCCACTTCTGCGCACAGTATTGGTTTTGATTGGCATTTCTGAGCAGCGAGTTTTTTCGGGGGGGGACCCCTCCTCGTTGCCCTCCCTGCGCGGACCCCCCCTTTCTCTCTTCCCTCGCCAGGAATTTGTGCTGAGCATTAAGGAGCTGCCGCGCATCGTGCGTTTCCTGCCAAAAATTGTGCTGGCCGTCATCGTCACCGCCTGCGACGAAGTCTACAAGAAGATCGCCTACTGGCTGAACGACATGGGTGAATTCTTTGCGGGATCTGCCTTCCTTCCTTCCTTCCTTCCTTCCTTCCTTCCTTCCCTCCCTCCCTCCCTCCCTCCTTTCTTTCTTTCTTTCTTTTCTTTCTTTCTTTCTCTTCCTTCCTTCCTTCCTTCCTTCCTTCCTTCCTTTTTTCTTCCCTCCCTCCCTTCCTCCTTCCCTCCCTCCCTCCTTTCTTTTCTCCTTCCTTCCTTCCTTCCTTCCTTCCTTCCTCTTCCTTCCTTCCTTCCTTCCTTCCTTCCTTCCCTCCCTTGCTCCTCCCTCCCTCCCATCTTTCTTCCTTCCTTCCTTCCTTCCTTCCTTCCCTCCTCCCTCCCTCCCTCCCATCTTTCTTTCCTTCTTTCTTTCTTTCTTTCTTTCTTTCTTTCTTTCTTTCTTTCTTTCTTTCTTCCCTCCCTCCTTTCCCTCCTTTCTTCCTTCCTTCCTTCCTTCCTTCCTTCCTTCCTTCCTTCCTTCCTTCCTCCTTTTTCCTTCCTTTTTCCTTCTTCCTCCCTCCCTCCCTCCCTCCCTTTCTTTCCACCCCTTCCTTCCTTCTTTGAGATAGACATCCTAAACATGAAATTTCCCTCTCCTTGCAGAAAATTACCGTTTGCAGAGTGCCTACGAAAAACACCTCATCATCAAAATGGTCTTGGTGAGTTTGGGTTCCCCGGCTGCAACGGTTGGGCTGCCATGTGTCTGTGGGAACGGTGGAGGGAGCCACTGATTTGCATGCAGAACGTACCAGGTTCAGTCCCCGGAGACCCACTGGGAACCTGGAGGGCTGCTGCTGCCAGCCAGTGTTGACAGTACTGGCCTCGGTGGACCCGATGGTCCAAATCCGGTGCGTCAAACTAGTGGGTTTGACGGTTTGTTGAGACAGGAACAGGAGCCTTCGATAACCTGCCTGAAACCGGCTGCCTTCCCCACGGAGTGTGTGTGTGCAGATAGAAGTGGGCAGTGTCGTCCTACTTCACCTGTTGGACAGCAGCCTGGGGAGCCCCAACAGCCTAGTGGGCTTGACAGTTTGTCGAGACAGCAAAAGGCGCCTTTGCTAACCGGCTGTAACCTGGCTGGCTTCCTCGCAGGTGGGGGGGCAGCTAGAAATGGGCTGCGTTGTCCTACTTCACCTGTTGGACAGCAGGCTGGGGGAGAGAGAGAGCAAGGGAGAAAGGAGGAGGCAACAGTAAATTTCCGAGCACAAGTGCTGGTGCTGACCTTGAAAGCCTTAAACGGCCTCGGCCCAGTATCCCTGAAGGAGCGTCTCCATCCCCATCATCCAGCCCGGACACCGGGGTCCATCTCCCGAGGGCCTTCTGGCGGTTCCCTCCCTGCAAGAAGCGAGGTTACAGGGAACCAGGTAGAGGGCCTTGTCGGTGGTGGCACCCGCCCTGTGGAACGCCCTCCTGCCAGATGTCAAGGAAATAAACAACTATCTGACTTTTAGAAGACATCTGAAGGCCGCCCTGTTTAGGGCATAACAGGAGTGTCTCTCAGAGACTCCTCTCTAGCAAGTTTACAGGAAATGTGTCTATCTAGGAAAAACATGAATGGTTGTTTTTGACTGCCTTTTAAATATCCCACACTTATTCGGCTCAATTGACTAGTAAACTCAGAGGAAACTCAAAGCAAAAATTTGCGGAAAAGTGGAGTGGTTATAGAAGATATGTTCAAAAATACAATAATAGTTTTGACTCCATATTAGCATTCGAGTGATAAAGGAACTAAAAGGAGGTGGATAACAATTAAGGATTTATTATGTTTTGAGAATGTATTATAAAAATTATATAGAAAGGTTTATTGTTTTGTGTACATTCAAATGTAAGATAAAATATATGCAAAGGGGCTTGACAGGAAGTCAAAGTTGAAGAAAAGATTTTGGAAGATAAAAAGGAAAAAATATTTACTTTCATTATTATCATTTTGTGTGGGTGTCTGCACATATGTGTGTTGTTGTATGCAATGTTTGGGAGGAAATAAGACGGTAAATAACAAATAACAAACTAAATATTGATGTATGTAATTTTTATTTCTTAATTATATTTAGTGGTAGTATGGCTGTATTGTTTTTTTGTAACATAAAACCATTCAATAAAAATTATTTTTAAAAAATAAAATAAATATCCCACACTTAATGTAGCCTTCCCAAGTTAGGTTAACCGGGACAGGCCCCAGGAGTTGGGGAGCGAAGCGCAGTAAATATATATATATAACATCTCCCTCTCTCTTTTTCTCTAGTTTCAGTTTGTAAATTCATACCTAAGTCTTTTCTACATCGGATTCTACCTCAAAGACATGGACCGCCTCAAGGAGGTAAGGGATTCACGGGGTATAAATAATAAAATTATTATTATTATTATTATTATCATTATCATTATTAGGTCACAGTGCCTGAAGCTGTGAGAACTGGGGCTGAGGGTAGGAACCCTCCCTTTCAGTTTCTCTGGTTTTCCTCACTTCCCTCCTCCTGGATTCCATCTTCCACCTTCCCATTTCAGTCTGTGAATCAAGTACCGCATTTTTCACTCTGTAAGACGCACCAGACCACAAGACGCACCTAGTTTTTGGAGGAGGAAAACAAGAAAAAAAAAAAAATATTCTGAATCTCAGAAGCCAGAACAGCAAGAGGGATTGCTGCGCAGTGAAAGCAGCAATCTCTCTTGCTGTTCTGGCTTCTGGGATAGCTGCGCAGCCTCCATAAGACGCACACACATTTCCCCTTACTTTTAGGAGGGAAAAGTCAGTCTTATAGAGCAAAAATACGGTATTTTTAAAAGTCATCACGAAAGCTAACCCTAATACTTGCATTCCCATATTCTGCGATTTGTCCCAAGCACCCGCAAGCCCGTTTGCCTAACAGAGCAGATTTGTGTGTGTGATTTGGACCAATATATGCATTTTTAATGAACACTCCCCCCTGATTCCACACCCCCGTTGGAGAACCAAATTGCAAAATTCAGAAAAGTGACAATTTTGAACAATCGCGGCATTTCGGTCCCCGCCTTGCTTCTAGAAGAGGGAACCCGGGTGGGTTGTGCAAACGGAATCAAATTTCTTCCCATCCCCTTAAGGTAAAGGTAAAGGGACCCCTGACCATTAGGTCCAGTTGTGGCCGACTCTGGGGTTGTGGCGCTCATCTCGCTTTATTGGCCGAGGGAGCCGGCGTACAGCTTCCGGGTCATGTGGCCAGCAGGACTAAGCCCCTTCTAGCGAACCAGAGCAGCGCACGGAAATGCTGTTTACCTTCCCGCCGGAGCGGTACCTATTTATCTACTTGCACTTTGACGTGCTTTCGAACTGCTAGGTTGGCAGGAGCAGGGACCGAGCAACAGGAGCTCACCCTGTACCGGGGATTCGAACCACCGACCTTCTTATCGGCAAGCCCTAGGCTCTGTGGTTTAACCCACAGCGCCACCCACATCCCCTTAGCATCCGCCAATTCCTGCTTTAATCGCTGTTCCTCCGCCGTGAGCTGTAATAAGAGCGTTCCTGCTTTCCCTCGCTCCCCGGCGGATGCCAGCTTCGCAGAGCCAACGATGACACCAGAAACCCACTTTGGGGGGTCCAGGAAAATGCATAGAGGGGGATGCTATCAATGGGCTCCTAGCCACAGTAGAGATGTCCTCCAGTCACTGCTGGAGACAGTAAATGCCTCCGTTTCCCCGACATCAGTTGCTTGGGAAACCAAAAGGGGGGGAAATTGCTGCCGTTGTTCTCAGGCCCTGCTCGGGGGGGGGGGCTTCCCTTTGGGGGGAAGCATTTAGGTGACTTTGAGGATAAGAGTCTGGCCTTAGATGGCTCCCCTTTGGCCTGATCCGGCTGTAGAACATGCCTTGGTTTCTTATGGGTTTCTCATTTCTTCTGCTATCCGGATAGCAGAAGGCACTTTCTATCTTCTCATTTCTAATGGGTTTCTCATTTCTTCTGCTATCCGGATAGCAGAAGGCACTTGCGTGGTCAGTCCACAGCAAGTCCAAAGAAATGAGAAATTTCATGCAGTATATATATCCTCCAGGCACCCTCTCCCCCTTCCCCAGGAATCCAGCCACATCAGCTTGTACACGCGGGTTGACATCACAGATGTTCCTGCTTTGGTACTCTTAACCATAAAAGTGTGTTCCTCTTCCTGTACTCTTGACCATATAAGGGTATTCCTGTTCCGGCACTCTTATCTTGGGGTAAGAAGGTCACCAACTCTCCTGGCGCTGTTCCCGGACTAGGTCTGTGCGTCAGAGTGTGGTCGGATGTAAGATAAGACCCAGACGTGCAATCCCTGCTCCACTGGAACAGCCAAGGCCACTCATTGCCGTCACGGACTGATAAGGGAGAGGGCTTTAAGCACTTGTTTATACAGCTTGGTTTTCTGTTTATACATCAATTCAAGCTCAAGCTTCCAGTCTTGAAAAGCTCAAGTTAATGCATTTTAGAAATGCTCCCTTGGAGGAGGAAAATGGGGATTTGGGGTCAGTTTCAAACTGACTGCACAGAAACCCATTCCTTCATTTTCGGTTCCTAAATGGAGCCTCCATGGGCAGGGGCAGTCTACCTCTGCCTGGCGCAATCCTCCCTCTGGTACGTGAACCCGATGGGCGTCCATCAGCGTCTTAAAGAACCCAGCCGACGCATCCAACATGGGTCGCCCGCCACTTCGAACCCTTCGTCTTCTCGTTCCGTTGCATCGTTTTTTTGGTTCGGTTTTGATTTTGCATTTTCTCTCTCTCTGTGTGTGTCTCTCTCCCTCTGTCCGTCTGTCGGCCCTCCGCCTTCCTCAGCTCCTGCTCATCTTTTCCCTCTTCCAAAGCCTCGTGCGTCAGCTCAGAGACGCCCTCCTTCCCACCGTCATTCTCCAATTTCACCTCTGCCTCATCTCCTTTAAGGGCCTGTTGAGCTTCTGTTGGCAGCTGGCTGTCTCCAAAGTAGGAGCGCTGGGCTGGGGTCTTGGGGGGAGCGGAAAAGGCAGAGGGATGGAGTGGGGAGCCTGGGAGAAAGACCTGATTTTTAATCTCATATTGGTTGGCCTGTGCTGTTACGGGAACGTGCCCAGGGCCCAGGGGTCAAGGGTCTTGCCGTTCGAGACCCCGACAACGTCTCGCACGAGGGAGACATGGGCACCCGTTCCCCTATCTAGGAGGCAGCTTACAGCTCGCTCCCAAAGGCGGCAGCAATGCTCCCAAACCTGGACGGTGTGGAGGGAGTAAAGGTAAAGGGACCCCGGGCCATTAGGTCCAGTCGTGGCCAACTCTGGGGTTGCGGCGCTCATCTCGCTTTATTGGCCGAGGGAGCCGGCGTACAGCTTCCGGGTCATGTGGCCAGCAGGACTGAGCCGCTTCTGGTGAACCAGAGCAGCGCACGGAAACGCCGTTTACCTTCCTGCCGGAGCGGTACCTATTTATCTACTTGACTTGTACTTTGACGTGCTTTCGAACTGCTAGGTTGGCAGGAACAGGGACAGAGCAATGGGAGCTCACCCCGTCGCAGGGATTCGAACCGCTGACCTTCTGATCAGCAAGTCCTAGGCTCTGTGGTTTAACCCACAGCGCCACCCTCATCCCTTCTTGGAGGGAGTCAATATCTCCAAATAGTCGCAAGGTATCACGAGCGAGGAGAGAGAGGATGTTTGTGCGTTCCCTTCTTGATTTTAGGGTTCCCATTGGGAGGATGGGGTTGGTTCATTTGGTTGGATTTAGGTAGGCCCAACTCAGCTGCCTAGGGGCTCTGCTTACGGTTCCTAAATAGAGCCCTCATGGACATAGCCAGTCTACCTTAGAACAGGAGTGGGAGAAGGCTGTAGCGCTCATATCCTGGTTCACCAGGAGGCTGGACTTATTGGGCCCCCCTCTGGCCCAGCTCAGCTGCCTCGTGGCTCTTCTCATTATTCCTAAATAGAGCCTCCATGGACATGGCCAGTCTTCCTTAGAACAAAAGGGGGAGAAGGCTGTAGCTTTCTAGGGACTTCCCTTTGGGGGATCTGCTTGGCCGCTGATGAAGACAGGAGTCTAGGCTTGGTGGGCCTCCTTGGGCTTGGCCCAGCTCCCGCTACAGGGATCCTCTTAAGTTAGAATCATAGCGTTGGAAAGGACCCCCTGGGGGTCGTCAAATCCACACACCCCTGCAGTGCAAGAATCTCAGCTCAAGCATCCGGGTCAGGTGGCCACCCAAGGAAAGACGTTCTTGAGGTTGTCCTTTCCCTGACCAGCCTCTTCTCACGTCCCTCCCAACAGATGCTGGCGACTCTCCTCATCACCCGCCAGTTCCTGCAGAACGTGAAGGAGGTCTCTCAGCCGCACCTCTACAGCAAATTCAAGCGCGGGGATCTGAGCGCGCAGAACCTCCGAGAGGTGGCCCAGACTATTCTTCGCCTGCTGGCCCAGAAGTGTGCCCCGGCCAGGCCCCGCGGAGCCCACCACCGGGGCCCCCGGCACGGCGGGGACCCCCCAGCCGGCCACGGCCCGGAGGCGGCCGAAGGTCCGGAGGGGGCTCCCCGCGGGGAGAAGAAATGCCTCAACGGTGGCTGCGGCGTCCCTGAGGAAGAGGACGAGGAGAGGAAGGACTCCGACTCGGAAGACGAGAGCATCATCGACTGCGGGCTGAAACTGAAGAAGGTGAGCTTCATCGAGAAGGCCGACCGCAAGGCCGGCGACCCGGGTCTGGAGGAAGGGGCCAGCTTCCTGGAGGAAGGCAGCCCCACCATGGTGGAGAAAGGCATGGATCCGGCCTCCGTCTTCGAGCTGTGCGAGGACGACGACGAGAGCGACGGGGCCTCCGGGAGCCCCCTGCGGGGAGTGCCGGAAGCCAAAGAGCCGGCCGTGACCATGAGGGCCCGGAGGCCACGGGGCGCCAGGAACCCCTTGGAAGAGGGCGAGGAAGGCGAGGAGGGAGAGGAAGGGCGGAAGTCCAGCAGGAGCTCCTGGATCGACCCACCAGAGGAGGTCTTCGCCGCCCAGCTGGCCCAGGCCGAGGTGGAGAGCTGCATGAAGAAATACGAGGTGAGCAAGCCGGCATTCGGGGCAGCACAGAGGAGGAAGAGGAAAGGAAGGCACATCGGGGTGAAGCACGGGGGGATGGACAGGGCATAACTGTCAAGTGTCCCTTATTTGGTGGGAAACTCCCTTATGCCAGCGCCGTGACCCGTTGCTGTCCCTTATTGATGATGTCCCTTAAATTTCCCGGGTTTCAAAGGAAGCAGCTCCTCTCCCTCCCTCCCTGCCGGCCAGGGAAGAGGGAGGCTCCAACTGTGTTGCTTGGCTGCCCGGCCCGCCCCCCTCCGGCCTCCTCTCACCAGCCTCGGCCCCCAGGAGCCCCTCCCTGCCGGGACTGAGGAGCCTTGAGAGGAGAGCGAGGGCAACCATAGAGAAAGCAGTTCAGAGAGAGGAGGGAGGCGGAGGCACGGGCAGGTGTTCCAAGGGCTAACCATAGAGGGGGAAAGCGGAGGAAGGACCGCAAGCGCTTCTCCCATAGATTTGTAGTGGTAGACTAGCATAGATGGTCTGATCTGCGGGTTTACTTCGGGCGCTATTTCCCCCCCCTTCCTCCCGCCCCGCCTGATGGAACTGAGAGCTGCAGATGGAGCACGAGAGAAAAGATACAGAACTGCAGCAGCATCTTCATAGCTCGGACTTCATTTTGCGCAAAAAGTGGTTGCTGCTTGTAGTTATTTAATTGCAGCGTTTCATCAGCTGGTGTCTTGAGCAGCAACCTCTGGAAACGAAGGGCTAAAAACCGGCGCTGCTCTCCAAAATTATCTGGTCCCTTTTAACTTTGTATTTCAGCTGGTTGACTAAAAGCCCTTATTTTGGCTGCTGATCCCTATTTGAGGCTGGTCCCTTATTTTCAAATCTGTAAGTTGACACGTATAGGACAGGGAAGTGGCTGGGGACCTCAGGAATGAACGAGAGATAATAACCTGGTAGCCTCAGAGGCAAAAACAGTGGTCAGCAAACTTTTTCAGCAGGGGGCAGTCTGCGCACGCGCGGGTTGCGATTCGGTGCTTATGCGCAAAGCGCGATTTAGCGCTTCTGCGCATGCGCAACCGCAGAAACCCGGAAGTAACCCATTCCGGTACTTCCGGGTTTCGGTGGTCCATGACCCAAAAAAACGCACCCTGAAGTGTCTGTAACCCGAGGTATGACTGTATTATAATATATCCAGCTGCGTCCTCCTTGCACGAGGCCGGTTGAAACGAAGGAGTCATCATCAATGTACCGTATTTTTCGCTCTATAGGACACACTTTTCCCTCTCCAAAAATTAAGGGGAAATGTGTGTGCATCCTTTGGAGCGAATGCAGGCTCCTTGGCTTCAGCGATAGCAATGCGAAGCCTCCGAAGCGCAGAGGGAGCGCTCCCTCCGTGCTCCAGAGGCTATGCGTTACTTTCGCTGAAGCCTGGAGAGCAAGAGGGGTCAGTGCGCACCGACCCCCCTCGCTCTCCAGGCTTCAGGGATAGCCGCCTGAAGCCTTTGGAGTGCAGTGGGACCTCGTGCTGCGCTCCAAAGTCTTCGGGTTCCTTTAGCTGAAGCCGGGAGAGCAAGACTCTCCCGGCTTCAGCAGAGAGGGAGAGCTGCGCAGCACCCCTTCCGCTAAGCGGGAGGAGAAACGGAAGGGGCTCCATTTCTCCTGCCGCTTCGCTGAAGGGGCGCTGAGCAGAGAGGGGGAGAATTTTTTCCCCTTGTTCTCCCCCTCTAAAACAAGGTGGTTCCTATGGTCCGGTGCGTCCTATAGAGCGACAAATACGGTAATAACATTATTGTTATTCTCTCTTGCACACCAATCCCCTCCCTGTCTCTCTCTCTCTCTCTCTCTCTCATACAACCCCCCCCTATTTCTCTTTCTCTCCCCCCCCCCCCGATCCAGGACACTTTCCAAGACTACCAGGAGATGTTCATCCAGTTTGGCTACGTGGTCCTCTTCTCGTCCGCCTTCCCTCTGGCTGCCACATGTGCCCTGATCAACAACATCATTGAGATACGGAGCGATGCCTTCAAACTCTGCACGGGCCTCCAACGTCCCTTTGGCCAGCGGGTGGAAAGCATCGGGGAGTGGCAGGTAAGGTAAAGGTAAAGGGACCCCTGACCGTTAGGTCCAGTCATAGCCGACTCTGAGGTTGCGGCGCTCATCTCGCTTTATTGGCTGAGGGAGCCGGCGTACAGCTTCCGGGTCATGTGGCCAGCATGACTAAGCCGCTTCTGGCGAACCAGAGCAGCACACAGAAACGCCATTTACCTTCCCGCCAGAGTGGTACCTATTTATCTACTTGCACTTGACATGCTTTCGAACTGCTAGGTTGGCAGGAGCAGGGACCAAGCAACGGGAGCTCACCCCGTCATTGCGGGGATTCGAACCGCCGACCTTCTGATCGGCAAGTCCTAGGCTCTGTGGTTTAACCCACAGCGCCAGATGGCCTCTATACCTGGAGGCTCCATTTAACTGTCATAGCCATCCATTAGGGCCTCACCTCACTCCCTGTGACTTCGCATTCACCTGCCGAACCCAAGGCTGTGTCCTGAGGCAGCAGTTTCTGTAAATTTATTCTTCTTCCATGAAGCAAGTTGTTCGTTCCGTCTGTCCCAAATCTCCAGGCAAGTCCGTTACAATGGATGACCCTGACTTCCAGTATTATTGGTGATCTCTCCCTCCCTCCCTCCCTCCCTCTCTCTCTCTCTCTGTCCCCTTCTTCCACACCGGCCAATGTTTTATAAAACCATTTTTCTAAAAAAGGTGAATTGCTTAGAATTCATGCTTTAACTTCCTTCCGATACTGTTCATGGGCCTCGGCCCCATCGTCCAGCCCGGACACAGAGGTCCAGCTCTGAGCGCCTTCTGGCGGTTCCCTCCCTGAGAGAAGTGAGGTTACAAGGAACCAGGCAGAGGGCCTTCTCGGTGGTGGCACCCACCCAGTGGAACGCCCTCCCACCAGATGTCAAGGAAATAAACAGCTACCTGACTTTTAGAAGACATCTGAAGGCAGCCCTGTTTAGGGAAGTTTTTAATGTCATATGTTTTATCGTGTTTTTAATATCCTGTTGGGAGCCGCCCAGAGTGGCTGGGGAGGCCCAGCCAGATGGGCGGGGTATAAATTAAAATAATAACAATAAAAATCCCCACAAACGAAACAGTCCCTGACTTCAGGTTTATAACTCTTACGAAGCCACGACACAAAAGGAAGACGGGTTGGTTGGGAGGAGGAAATAAGCAATCTCAGCAGCAAGTTCTTAGCTACGTAGCTGTTCTGGTAACCAGCAGGGGTTCTGCCAAAAATTGCTAGTCTCTTTTAGAAAAAATGTCCTTCTTTTCCCTTCTGCAGAAGGTGATGGAAGCCATGGGTGTCCTAGCCATCGTGGTGAACTGCTACTTGATCGGTCAGTGTGGGCAACTTCAACGCCTCTTCCCCTGGCTCAGCCCAGAGGGGGCCATTATATCCGTGGTGGTGCTGGAGGTAACACCCTTTTCTGCCGTACACACACATACCCAACTCGGTTCTCCCCCTTCGGACCGCGATCCCAAGCTGAAATACCCCAGTTCCATAACTGGGAAGTCCCAGGTCCGCCCACTAAGATCTGCCTTTCTGCTTGGGCTCCATTTGAGCTAGAACACCAAAGTCGTGGTTTGGTGCTAACCATGGTTTGCTGAGCAAATCACAGGTCGAGCAAAGAAACCAACGGTTTGCTCCTTGTGTGGCTCTTGCCTTTGCACCCCAGCTCAGCGAACATCATGGGTCGGGTTGTCGAACAAACGACCATTCAGCAAGGCCACCGGGTTCTGACATGGCAGCAAACCATAGCTGTCAACCGTCCCTTATTTGGCGGGAAAGTCCCTTATCCCAGCGCTGTGTCCCGCTGCTGTCCCTTATTGATGATGTCCCTTAAATTTCCCGGGTTTCAAAGGAAGCAGCTCCTCTCCCTCCCTCCCTGCCGGCCAGGGAGGAGGGAGGCTCCAATGTGTTGCTTGGCTGCGTTGCTCACCCAATAAGGAGTCTAAGAACGACTGGGGGGTGGAGCTTGCATGCCTTGTGCTGATCAAATCGCCTTTGCTCAGCGCTTCCCAGCGGAGAGGTGATGGTGGTTTTCCTTGCTGCATCCCCTTTGCTGGGTTGCTGCGCTGTGGGAACCACCGCTTGAGGCTTCGTTTGGCTGCTGGCTGGGCTTTCTGCCTTTGGCTCGGAGGGGCTCAGAAGTTGAACATACCTGTGCCCTGAAAATCCCTTATTTTGGCTGCTGATCCCTTATTTTCGAGGCTGCTGCCCCCTTATTTTCAAATCTGTAAGTTGACAGCTATGCAGCAAACCATGGTTCTAAAAAGCCATGATTCGCAAGACTCCGGCAAACCATGGTTTCGCATGGGGAGGTGTTGGAAAGCAAGACAATAGCAGCAATGGCAATGTCTTATGCCCAGGGAGCTGTAGACCTCAGCCCTTCTCACCCCACTGTTTTCTCCCCATAGCATTTTGCCCTCCTGCTCAAGTACGTCATCCAAGTGGCTATCCCAGACATCCCCGGCTGGGTGGCAGAGGAAATGGCAAAACTGGAGTACCAGCGGCGAGAGGCTTTTAAGGTGAGTCTGGCCCAGTCACACGCGGTTACTCAGGAACAAGCTCTGTTGACCCCGGGGATGGCTTTGAACGTGCTGCAAGGGTAAACTCAGAATCCTGACAAACAGAAGTACTGTTTTTGGGGGCAGGGGTGGGGGGGCGTGGAGGACTCCCTGGTCCTGAATGGGGCAACTGTGCCCCTAAAGGACCAGGTGTGCAGCCTGGGGCTCATTTTGGACTCAGCGCCGTCCATGGAGGTGCAGGTCAATTCTGTGTCCAGGGCGCCTGTCTACCAGCTCCATCTGGTACGCAGGATGAGACCCTCCCTGCCCGCAGACTGTCTGGCCAGAGTGGCGCATGCTCTGCATTTAGGTTAAACACCTCCCCTCCGAAAAAGAGAAACAACAACAACAATAATAATAATAATAATAATATTTTACTATTTATACCCCACCCATCTGGCTGGGTTTCCCCAGCCACTCTGATGGCTCCCAACAGAATATTAAAAACACAAGAAAACATCAAACCCTAAAAACTTCCCTAAACAGGGCTGCCTTCAGATGTCTTCTAAAAGTCAGATAGTTGTTTATTCCCTTGACATCTGATGGGAGGGCGTTCCTCTAATTGATGCTGTTAATTTTGCCATCGCCGCAAATTCAAGAAATTTGGTTCTGCATTCTAATCATTCTAGTATCTCACGCGGTTAGAGGGAACTGCTGGGTTGTGGGGGGAGGGATTGGAAGTGATTAATTGAAATTGTTAAAGACTGGTTTAGTATTTAAGAGATTTAAATTTCTATAAAGATTCTATAAGTAAAGCAGAAAGCGGCAAGAAATATTAAGTAAAGGTATCAGAGAGGAGACCAGTGTAAATGAAAACATGAGCCTTACGGTTTTGTTACATATGATTTTATTTTGGAGTTGTCTGCTTATTTTGTAGTTGTTTGTTGTAAAGAATGTATATTAGGTAAAGGTAAAGGGACCCCTGACCATTAGGTCCTGTCGTGACCAACTCTGGGGTTGCGGCGCTCATTTCGCTTTACTGGCCGAGGGAGCCGGCGTACAGCTTCCGGGTCATGTGGCCAGCCGGACTAAGCCGCTTCTGGCAAACCAGAGCAGCGCACGGAAACACCGTTTACCTTCCCACCGGAGCAGTACCTATTTATCTGCTTGCACTTTGACGTGGTTTCAAACTGCTAGGTTGGCAGGTGCAGGGACCGAGCAATGGGAGCTCACCCCATCGCGGGGATTCGAACCGCCGACCTTCTGATCGGCAAGTCCTAGGCTCTGTGGTCTAACACACAGCGCCACCCGCGTCCCTCAAATAGGAGATCATTCATCTCTAATTCAAGAGCCCGCAAGAGTTTATGATGAGGACTAGCGACATGCCTGGTTTTGCACACACCTTCCCGCTGGAGCGGTACCTATTTATCTACTTGCGCTTTGACATGCTTTCGAACTGCTAGGTTGGCAGGAGCAGGGACCGAGCAACGGGAGCTCACCCCGTCATCGCGGGGCTTCGAACCGCCGACCTTCTGATCGGCAAGCCCTAGGCTCTGTGGTTTAACCCACAGCGCCACCCGCTTCCCTGAATGTATATTATGTGAATTAAAAACATGAAACATGACCCTGTGGTCTTCCTTCCTCAGAAACACGAGCGCCAGGCGCAGCACCACTTCCAACAGCAACAGCGCCGCAAGCGAGAGGAGGAGGAACGCCAGCGCCACGCCGAATATCACGCCCGCAAGGAACGGGAGAGCGGGGCGGGAGGAGGGCAAGTCGGACGGAGGGGGCCCCGAGACCGGCCACGAGAAGAGCCAGCCCAAAGGGAAGGGACCGGGGGGCTCGGGCCACGGCTCAGAGAAGCCCAAAAGGCCCAGCTCCCTGCTGGCCACCAACAACGTCATGAAACTGAAGCAAATCATCCCGTTGCAGGGGAAGTTCCTATCTGGGGGGGCGGGGGGCGGCGGCGGCACGTCGGGGGCGCGCTCCCCGCAGTCCCCCACCGGCACCGACAACAAACTGCCCGGCTTCCTCAGCTTCAAGTTCCTCAAATCCCCGGAGACCAAGCGGGAGGCCACCACCGAGAAGGTCCAGTCGCCCACGAAGCCTTTCAACCCAAGCAAACTGTTCAACTTCAGCAAGTCGGAAGGGGGGAACGGCGCAGCCCCTCTTCCGCAACAGCAGCCACGGCCCGGGACTTCGGCGGACGAGAAACCCGCTGCTCAGAGATCGCACCTCAACGGGCTGGTGGACGATGAGGCCGAGGAGGAACCGGAGATCCGAACGGCGGCGGAGGACGAGGGTCCGGGGCACAAACTCCTAACCGTCCCCCTACCTCCGGGCGAGGGCTGGGGAGAGAGAGAGAGAGAGAGGACAGGGAGGGAGAGAAAGGAGGAATTGGGTCGCCGGTCGGTTCTTCAAGCAGATTTGGGGCAGGCGAGGGGCTTCCAGCGGGTCCACCATTTGGCCATGATGGTGGCACTTGGGGCAGTCAGGGAGATTCGATTTGGCAGCTTGCTGAGGTCGCAACCTGAAAAGGAGAGGTGAAAGTTTTCCCCTTCCCCAAATATCTCTGATGTTCCGGATGGGTCAAGTTTGGTACCTGGTTTGGGCTACTGCTGGCGGCCAACATGTTTGAGGCACGGTCCAGCTCAGGAACGCCAGAGGCAGAAGAACCTCAAAATGGAGGGGGTGTCTGCAGATTTTTGGGGTGCGATATCCACAGGTTTTTGGGGTGCGGCTGTTGACTGGCAGCACATGGCTTCCTCCTCAACCCCATCAGTTCCCTTATCAGAGCTGTTCCTGCAGTCTTTCTGAAGGGCTTTTTGTTGCATTTCGGAGGAGAGGGCCCCCTTCCACCACCCCCCTTTGGGCAAAAATCTGTGGGGTCTCAGCCAACCCCCTATTTTAGGCTAGAGAGGAGAGCCCACAAACAGTGAGTTTGGGGAATTCTATGAGGAGAACAAGGTCTGCTTGACTCTCAAGAGTCCTGTCGGATTGTGTCCCCTCCTTCCAGGTAACCCCCCCTTTGTGTTTTGAGGGGCTGTTGAGCCCCCACTTCTTAGTCTTGCAGCTACTCTACATCCGCCCCAAAGCAGATTTGGAGAGGATGGAAAACCTCAGCACAGATTTGCTCCTCAAATCCCTCCGCTCAACATGAGGAATGATGGGTAATGTTAAATCTCGGGTCTGTGTTTCCTTCCCCCACCTCGCTCTAACAGCAAAAAGTATATTATATTTGGCAAAGTAAATCACTGCCTTAAAACAGAGAGGTTGCTCTAAGTACCTCCCCTGCGTTTGAAAATCTGGAAAGAGGCAGCCTTCGCAGCAAATTCATAGCCTCAGCTTTGCCTCATGTTGCATTAGCCAAATTTTATTCCAATGATTTCCGAACAGGCTGTGTGCAAAACCAGCCATGTCGCTAGTCCTCATCGTAAATGCTTGTGGGCCCTTGAATTAGAGATGAATAATCTCCTATTTGAGGGACGCGGGTGGCGCTGTGGGTTAAGCCACAGAGCCTAGGACTTGCCAATCAGAAGGTCGGCGGTTCGAATCCCCGCAATGACGGGGTGAGCTCCCGTTGCTCGGTCCCTGCTCCTAACAACCTAGCAGTTCGAAAGCACATCAAAGTGCAAGTAGATAAATAGGTACTGCTCTGGCGGGAAGGTAAACAGCGTTTCTGTGCGCTGCTCTGGTTCGCCAGAAGCGGCTTAGTCCTGCTGGCCACATGACCCGGAAGCTGTACGCCGGCTCCCTCGGCCAGTAAAGCAAGATGAGCGCCACAACCCCAGAGTCGGCCACGACTGGACCTAACGGTCAGGGGTCCCTTTACCATTTTTAATCTCCTATTTGCCTCTCACCTCTTCCCGCCGGTAAAATCTGCCCAGTAAAACAGAACAAGCCCCGCCCTTTCCCTTTTTCTGCTTGAAGAACAGAGGTGGAATTTGAAGTACCAGGAAGCGGTTGGGAGCAGACGAGACACTGTTTTGAACCAACGTCCATGCATGGTCAACATATCTTGCACTAAACAAAATGAAAACAAGGGGATTATTTTTTGGTTTTGCTTTTCCTGACGGTGCTCGTAAAAAAGCAGGCGGGGGATGGGTGGGGGCGAGAAGGGATGGTTCTGGAAAATCCATGATTTTTTATTTATTTTTTTATAATTTTCAGTGGCAGGGAAAACAAAGGCCGAGGAGACATCGCCTCGCCTTTGCAACATGTGAAAGAGACCGGTGCGTGCTTTTTCTCTCTCAAAAAAGGACAAAATTATTGCAATAAGGACTTCAGACCGCAGTAGCAGTGCCAAGGATGGAATTTAAACAGCCTGCTGCTGCCTTTTCTTAATTTGCTGTGTGAATAGGATAGAAGCAGGGAGAGTTTAGGCCAGATTTTTTTTTTTGGGGGGGGAGGGAAATTCACAATTAATTGCAGGTATTCTGCCGTTTTTAATTTGGCGCAAGCTGGAAAATCGGTCACCGTAGCTTAGAGAGGTAGTCACAGGTAGAACTTTTAGCCATTGGGGGAAATGGGCAGGGCGTGTGCCTGGCAAGGCTTTGTGTGGGGTTGGTTTCTGCCCCCCCTTCTTTTCCCACAGTCGTGAAACTCTATGTCCTACGGAGGGGAAAACCCCCAGCCCTTTGCGCCCAACCACAGCTACTTAAAGAGTACACAGGTCTCCCTGCTCCAGCTGTTTCGAAATCGCATCACCATCACACGCGCCGACTCCCAGCTTGCAAAATGCTGCGGTTAGTGCTTCGCTCACCTTAGAAGGGATGGAGTTAGGGCCACCTTTCCCCTCCGTCCGTCGCGGGCCCCCCAAATGGATTACGCCGCAAGCCCAGAGACAGAATCTCAGGTCAGATCCCGAGGAAACGGCATCTTTTGTCTTTCCCCCCCATTCGCCATCTGACTTACGGGAGGGCCGCTTTGCAGAAACAAACAAACAAATAAGGGAAAGAAATCGCCCCGCTCTCCAGATCTCTAGCTGTGTTTCCCTCGACTTCGCTGGATTCGATGCACCATTGGCCAATAGTGCAATTCCACCCCCCGCTAAAAAAGCCATTGAAAGCAGTCATGTGCTGCGAGGAACTTAGACATGACGGCCGTTTCCGTCGCTGACCCTTTGAGGTGGCAAGGCAAGGAAGAGTGGTACCCACACGTCTACAACTGCAAACCGCTCTCTGAAAAACATCAGCCGTGGCGGACGAAAGAATGGACTGCATTTGCTTATATCGTTCTTCCACGGCGGAAGCGCTATGTTATTATTATTTTTTTTGCAACGGGCGACGAGCTTTTTTCCTTTCTTTTCGGTAACAGCAATAATGCGACGATAGCAGGTGGGGATTGGTGCTGACGACCCTTACGGATTTCTTGCAGATTGCCGTATTATTTGCTCTATAAGACTCACTTTCCCCCTCCTAAAAAGTAAGGGGCAATGTGTGTGCGTCTTACGGAGCGAATGCAGGCTGCGCAGCTATCCCAGAAGCCAGAACAGCAAGAGGGATTGCTGCTTTCGCTGCGCAGCGATCCCTCTTGCTGTTCTGGCTTCTGAGATTCAGAATATTTCTTTTCTTGTTTTCCTCCTCCAAAAACTAGGTGCGTCTTGTGGTCTGGTGCGTCTTATAGAGCGAAAAATACGGTATGCATTAACGCCAGAAAAGGCTTGCGGGGTTCTTGACACCCGCTGCCAAGGCGATGGGGCGATGGTCCAGCTAGGAGTTGAGGAGGGTCCCTTCGCCAGGTGGACTGCAGGCACCTGAACCCCATCGTTGTACCCCCGAGAACAGGACACAATTTAGCCAAAGTGGGCGAGCGCTTAACCCACTGTAGAAAAAGCGAGCACTTGCGACAGGTTATAGACGCTGTCTTCGCATTGCCTTTATTGTAGAAGGTGCTTCGACGGTGGCCCACTAATTCATCGACCTTCATGATGTCAGCCTACCAAAGCTTCAAACCCGGCAGGGGGGAATTTGGGGGAGTGCCTCTCGGATGCAAGGGACGCAGGTGGCGCTGTGGGTTAAACCACAGAGCCTAGGACTTGCCGATCAGAAGGTCAGCAGTTCGAATCCCCGCAATGACGGGGTAAGCTCCCGTTGCTCGGTCCCTGCTCCTGCCAACCTAGCAGTTCAAAAGCACGTCAAAGTGCAAGTAGATCAATAGGTACCACTCCAGCGGGAAGGTAAACGGCGTTTCCGTGCGCTGCTCTGGTTCGCCAGAAGCGGCTTAGTCATGCTGGCCACATGACCCGGAAGCTGTACGCCGGCTCCCTCGGCCAATAAAGCGAGATGAGCGCCGCAACCCCAGAGTCGGCCACCACTGGACCTAGTAAGTCAGGGGTCCCTTTAGCTTTTACTCTCGGATGCAACAGAGATAATTGAAGGTGATAGGGAGGTGTGGTGAGAATGCAGTTTGTAGACCCCCCAAAAAACCCAGCACCCCCCCCCCACCAATGGCAAAGCCCGAACACAGATCCCTGCGAGCAATTTATACATGCACCTGTGTCAATGTCTTACTCTTCCAAGCAATGAACTGTCCAAAATGGGGGGGGGGTGGTTGTCGTCGGGGCGGGACAAGAAAAAGGGAGTAGTACTACTATTATTTATTAACTTGCTGCATTTTAATTTATTTTTGGCGTCTCGGACAAAGGGAGGAAACAAAAGAAAAAAAGCGTTGGGGCGGGTTTTCAATTTCTTTTAAGTTATTTTTTTGTCATATTTTTGTAATATCAGCAGAAATGCAATAAAAAAAAAGATATATTTCAACAAGAGGGGAGCGAGACCCCCAGGGAGGAATTATTGCACGCACCTCGCAAACGATCTCTTCTCCATTGCTAGAAGATACACAGGGTCCCTTCTCCCAAACTCTTGGATTTGAAAGCAGTTTTAAGAATCAAATGGGCAAAATATGCAAAAATCACAATTGTGGGGGAAACCGAGAAGCCAGTCAACGCTTCAACATAGCTCCATCCTTTTACAGTGGTACCTTGGTTCTCAAACTTAATCCGTTCCGGAAGTCTGTTCCAAAACCAAAGCGTTCCAAAACCAAGGCGTGCTTTCCCATAGAAAGTAATGCAAAGTGGATTAATCCGTTCCAGACTTTTAAAAACAACCCCTAAAATGGCAATTTAACATGAATTTTACTATCTAAAGAGACCGTTGATCCATAAAATGAAAGCAATAATCAACGTACAGTGGTACCTCAGGTTACATACCTCAGCTTCAGGTTACAGACTCTGCTAACCCAGAAATAGTGCTTCAGGTTAAGAACTTTGCTTCAGGATGAGAACAGAAATTGTGCTTCGGCAGCGCAGCAGCAGGAGGAGGCCCCATTAGCTAAAGTGGTGCTTCAGGTTAAGAACGGATCTCTGGAACGAATTAAGTACTTAACCCGAGGTACCACTGTACTGTACTATAAAATAAATAAGACAGTATAGTAGATGATTAAAAAAAAAAAAATTCTTACTTGCACCGATGATAGTCATTGTTTAGACGAGGGGCTTTTATCCATTTCCGCAATCGCACAATCCATCAATCAGTAGCTGAACTGGGTTCCACACAGTCACAAAAACAAATGAACCGAAAAAGCATCCAAAACAAAAGGCAAAATAAATAGCAAAAACAAAAGCACCAAGCTTAATGCATTCCGGAAGTCATGTTTGACTTCCAAAATGTTTGAAAACCAAGGCACAGCTTCTGATTGGTGCAGGCGCCCCGGAAACAATAGCCAATAGCCGCATTAGACGTCCTGCTTCCGAAAAACGTTCGAAAACCGGAACGCTTACTTCCGGGTTTTTTGGCGTTTGGAAACCAAGGTGCCACTGTACCAGACACTGGGATATATCAGTATATCACGACGTTTAGCTAGCGATGTATCACGATGTCGAAAACCGGGTATCGCCCAGCCCTACTCCTCACGGTCCACTCTTTCCCGCATGACCTCTAAATCTAAGTCCTGGGGGGGGGGGGTTCCCCTAACGTAGAGCAGATTTATGGGGTGCCTGGGAGGAAAAGTCCCATTGCACAGCTAAACGTCTAGCGGAACTGTTGGGTTGGATTCCATGGCTGTGGTTCCTGTGCATTCCGAGGGTTGGACTCATAGCTGTCAACGTATCCCTTTTTTACAGGGAAATTCCCTTATTCCGAATAGGATTCCTCGCAAGAAAAGGGAAATAGTTGACAGCTATGGTTGGACTAGGGACGCGAGTGGCGCTGTGGGTTAAACCACAGAGCCTAGGACTTGCTGATCAGAAGGTCGGCGGTTAGAATACCAATGATGGGGTGAGCTCCCGTTGATTGTTCCCTGCTCCTGCCAATCTAGCAGTTCGAAAGCACGTCAAAGTGCAAGTAGATCAATAGGCACCGCTCCGGCGGGAAGGTAAACGCCGTTTCCATGCGCTGCTCTGGCTCACCAGAAGCGGCTTAGTCATGCTGGCCACATGACCCGGAAGCTGTACGCCGGCTCCCTCGGCCAGTAAAGCGAGATGAGCACCGCAACCCCAGAGTCGGCCACGACTGGACCTAATGGTCAGGGGTCCCTTTACCTTTTTATGGTTGGACTGCAAGGCCCTTGGGGGGTCCCTCACAACTCTGTATGATACAGCGGCCGTTGAAAAGGACGGCTTTTACTTAACTCAGGTCTGTTCAGTTCAGAAGAAGAGGAGGAGTTTGGATTTGATCTCCCACTTTATCACTACCCTAAGGAGTCTCAAAGCGGCTAACATTCTCCTTTCCCTTCCTCCCCCACAACAAACACTCTGTGAGGTGAGTGGGGCTGAGAGACTTCAAAGAAGTGTGACTAGCCCAAAGTCACCCAGCAGCTGTGTGTGGAGGAGTGGAGACGTGAACCCGGTTCACCAGATTACGAGTCTACCACTCCTAACCACTACACCACGCTGGCTCTCAACGGGTTTCCTGCTAAATCGGGAGTCAACCCGGCACAGCTCACGGCGCAGAACCCCGAAATAAACCCAGACAAATTGGTGAGAAAGATCCTTCTTTATTCTACTGCAAAAGTTGCACAGAACTGGTCCATTCCTAGAGTGATCTGAGAGAGAGAGAGAGATTTGCGGGGGGTGGGTCAGGGGATGGAGGAAGGGGTCGGTGACAAGCAGAAATGTTTTCCTTTCCTCTTCACAACCTACGGCTGACATGCTAACAAAACTCCCCAGAACAGAAAGCTAAAGATGGGTGTGTTTTTTTAATAATAAAAATAAAAACAATACAGCAGTTATCAGCTAAAGAGGACACGACACGTCTGGTGAAGAGAATCCATCGAAGAAGGACCGTCGACGATATTTTTTTTAATTAAAAAAAAAAAAAAAAGCTTTTCCAGAAAACGAAAACATCGAAATGAAAGGGGAGAGGGAGGTCAGGATACGGCCTCCTCGCCTCAGATCACACTTAGATTAGGAGGTGCAAAGGAAGAATTTGAAAACCACACCCCCTCTTTTACGCACACCAGTAATTGTACAGATGGAAGGTTTGATTCCACAAAAAAGTCAGGGGGGTGTTTCAGCATGAGCTTGGATACAGTTCACGTTAGTACAAAGATATTTTTCTTTTTTGGGGGAGAGATTAGCCGCAAAAGTGGGGGGGTGTCTTTTTTTTTTGCCTTTTCCCCCAAACAGAAAGGGAATGGATCACAGTTTAAACATCATTTTGTATTCCCGACTTGTTGCAACAGAGAGAGCGAGAGAGCACATAAATAATAATGGAGAGAAAAAATGGAAGAAGAAACCCCTCTCTCTCTCTCTCTTCTGCCCCACGACACCCCCCCCCCCGCCGTGCCTCTTTCGCCCCCGCTTTCGCCAACACACACACAAATAAACAGAAATAAATACATTGGCTGCTACAGATCTGAAGTGGCTGCATAGTGAAGGGTGAACCAGGAGAGGAGGAAAGGCAAGCTGATTGTAGAAATGTGTGTGTTGGTGTGCGTACATGGTCAACAGACACTCCCCCCCACCACCACAAAAAAAATACCACACAGGAAGCCCCTGTAAATTTTAACACAGAAGACAAGCAAAAAAAAGAAAAAAGTTTGTTTTAGTTTTTAAGTGTCGTCGTTCATATCCTGGCTGTCCGTCCGGGCGATTTTCCGGGGTGGGGCTGAATTCTCCCCTTCTATTTCCACCTGTTCGGGGTCTCTTTTCTTCGCTGCGTTCTGAGGGGAGCAAGCAGAGGAGAGAGAGATGGAAGGTAGGTTAAGAGAAACCGGGGCGAGATTGTTCGCTGATCGGGTTCGGAGCGATTCGTATACAGTGGTGCCTTGCAAGACGAAAAGAATCCGTTCCGCGAGTCTCTTCGTCTTGCGGGTTTTTTCGTCTTGCGAAGCAAGCCCGTTAGCGGTTTAGCGGATTAGCGCTACAGTATTAGCGGCTTAGCGGGCTTAGCGGATCAGCTGATAAGCGCCTTAGCGATCAGCTGTTAAGCGGCTTAACGATCAGCTGATAAGCGGTTTAGCGGCTTGGGAAAAAGGGGGGGAAAAGGAAAAAAACCCCGCAGGAACTCGCAAGACATTTTCGTCTTGCGAAGCAAGCACATAGGAAATTCGTTTTGCGAAGCACCTCCAAAACGGAAAATCCTTTCGTCTAGCGGGTTTTCCGTCTTGCGAGGCATTCGTCTTGCGGGGCACCACTGTACACAGGTTTTCGCCCGCCGAAGTAAAGGAACGAGGCGGTTCCCCCGCAAACAAGAACGGCAAAGAGGCAAGTTAAACTGGCAGAGTACGCCTCCAACATCCTTAGGGGTCGACCCAAAGAAATGAACCGGGAGGGGTCTGTTTGCTTTGACGGGAGGCGAATGTTACCACTCCAGGCAGACCCACCAAAATGAATGGACACAAGAGACTCGGTTCTGTTGGTTTCAGTGGGTCTACTCTGGGTGTAACAGGGACGCGGGTGGCGCTGTGGGTTAAACCACAGAGCCTAGGGCTTGCCGATCAGAAGGTCGGTGGTTCGAATCCCCGTAACGGGGTGAGCTCCCGTTGCTCGGTCCCTGCTCCTGCCAACCTAGCAGTTCGAAAGCACGTCAGAGTGCAAGTAGATAAACAGGTACCACTCCGGCGGGAAGGTAAACGGCGTTTCCGTGCGCTGCTCTGGTTCGCCAGAAGCGGCTCAGTCATGCTGGCCACATGACCCGGAAGCTGTACGCCGGCTCCCTCGACCAATAAAGCGAGATGAGCGCCGCAACCCCAGAGTCGGTCACGACTGGACCTAATGGTCAGGGTCCCTTTACCTTTACTCGGGGTGTAACACAGCTGGATACAATTTCAAAGGGTTGTGTGCATGTTTTGGGGCTTACGTGCATAATTCATTATTATTATCATCGATTTTGTTTACTGAGAGCTTCCCAGAGCACTTTGCGATGTAACAATTCAACTGTTTATATACACAGTCGTACCTTGGATCCTGAACGCCTTGCGAGTCGAACGTTTTGGCTCCTGAACGCCGCAAAGCTGGAAGTGAGTGTTCCAGTTTGCGAACGTTCTTTGGAACCTGAACGTCCGGTGCGGCTTCTGATTGGCTGCAGGAGCTTCCTAAAGCCAATCGGAAGCCGTGCCTTGGTTTGCGAACGTTTTCGGAAGTTGGACGGCATTCCGGAACGGATTCCGTTCGACTTCCGAGGTACCACTGTATATGTGTGTGTGTGTGAGTGTGTGTGTGTGTGTGTGTGTGTGTGTGTGTGTATATATATATATAATCAATTGCTTTTAAAACAACGGTATGTACAAAAGAATTGTAATATAAAGAGAGCAGAGAAAACGACAGCCCACATATAGAAATCAATTCAGAACCAACAGGAATAAAGTTCTCATAAGGTTTATGGAAAGAAGGGCAGCTTTAGCAAGAGCCCCAAACTGATCAGATGTGGTCCAGGAGCGTAAGGCCAGGGTAGGCAGGTGGCGGCGTACGAAAAGAGGCTCTGTAGCCGTTTCCTACCACCCACCTTGCAGGGGACCTGAACGAAACTTTGAAGGCCTCCCTCCCTCGCCGGGAGATGCTTTTGAAATTAGACAAGATTGCGCAAATTGCTAACAGAGCGCGTTCCGTACCTTTTTGTCCCACTGCTGATGTAGGTAACGCAAAAGTATGTTCGTCTTTTCTGTTACTATAACTGTTGGAAGAAAGAACCGGGGAAGGGGGGAGATAAAGGACATTATCACAATAAATTTCTTTGTTTTAAATGGCCGTATAGTTTTACACATCACTTGGGAAGACGGGAGAACTAGGGCCAGCGTACTGGAAGAAGCAAAGATCACCGGCGTTGAAGCAATGATTCTTCAACATCAACTTTGTTGAACTGGTCATGTTTGTGGATGTCTGATTATCGTCTTCCAAAGCAACTCCTCTATTCCAAACTTGTAAATGGTAAGCGTAATGATGGACGACAAAATAAGCATAAAGACTCTCTCAAGGCAAATCTTTTAAAATGTGGGATAAACACTGACAACCGGGAATCACTGGACTGCGAGCGCTCCAGTTGGAGAACAGCCTTTACCAAAGGTGTCATGGGCTTTGAAGACACTCGAACTCAGGACGCAAGGGAGAAATGTGCTAAGAGGAAAGCACGCTTGGCAAACCCTCACCGGGATCGACTCCCGCCTGGAAACCTATGTCCCCACCGTGGAAGGACGCGTGGATCCAGAATTGGCCTCCACAATCACTTATGGACTCACTGTTAAAACCGTGTTTATGGAAGACAATCTTACTCGGCTATGAGGGATCACCAAAGACGAAGATATGGGGAAGGGTGTGCAGTTTTTTAAATCTATTTATAAAGACATTTATATATGCTGCTATTATTCACAACTGCCTTGCGACAATAAACCACATAATAAAAGCCGTGCAGAAAGTTAAGATCAGGTAACTATTGCGGAAAGATATACTTTGCTGCCTGCATAAGGCTAACAGAAATGGAAAGTTTACAGCAGGCACTAGCTGAGAAGCTGCCCGCAGGACCTTGTGGCAGAGAGTTCCATAGGGGGCCAACGACACTAAAGGCTCAGTTTCTTATAGCCAAATGAACCTCATCGGCTTGGGGAACGACCGGCGGCGTTCCTGCAGGTGATCTCAGGTGATCGAGCGGCAAGGCAAGCGCTCGCCGCCTTCTCAAAAATTGCATAGCCCAGTTCTCTTTTACACTGCCTGTGTCCCTGCCGGAGTTCCTGGACCCTGTCTCCCAGCAACCCCGATGGCCAGCATGACCAATGGTCAAGGGCGACGGTGGAAGGGGATGCCCAGCAAGATCCGGAGGGCCACAGATATTTCCCAAGTGGAAAGCTCAAGAAAAAAGGAGGAGAGAAAAAGCCAGTGCTTACTTTGTTCTGACGGATATTCCCGCGTAGGGAGGTATACTGATGGCCTTCTGTTCTGTAAATTGAAAAAGAAGGAGAGAATGAGATTTTTTTGCATCAGAGAGAGATCTTTGCGGTTCAACCATCATCTTGCTGATTACCCACATTGTCCCGGTAACTTGTTTTTTCTTGAAGTTACTTGCCCACAAGGGCAAAAACAAAACTACAAACAAACCTCTGCCTGCAAAGAGCTTACAGATTAAAAAAATAAAAGGTCATAGGGGTCACTGTGCCACTGAAGGACCAGGTGCACAGCCTGGGAGGCATTTTGGACTCACTGCTGCCCATGGAGGCGCAGGTCAATTCTGTGTCCAGGGCGGCTGTCTACCAGCTCCACCTGGTATGCAGGATGAGACCCTCCCTGCCCGCAGACTGTCTGGCCAGAGTGGTGCATGCTCTGGTTATCTCCCGCTTGGACTACTGCCATGCGCTCTACGTGAGGCTACCTTTGAAGGTGACCCGGAAACGACAAATAATCCAGAATACGGCAGCTAGACTGGGGACTGGGAGTGGCCGTCGAAACCACATAACACTGGTCCTGAAATACCTACATTGGCTCCCAGGATGTTTCTGAGCACAATTCAAAGTGTTGGTGCTGACCTTCAAAGCCCTAAACAGCCTCACCTCAGTAGATCTGAAGGAGCGTCTCCACCCCCATCGTCCAGCCTGGACACTGAGGTCCAGCTCCGAGGGCCTTCTGGTGGTTCCCTCCCTGCGAGAATTGAGGTTACAGGGAACCAGGCAGAGGGCCTTCTCGGTGGTGGCGCCCGCCCTGTGGAATGCCCTCCCATCAGATGTCAAGGAAATAAACTATCTGACTTTTAGAAGACATCTGAAGGCAGCCCTGTTTAGGGACGTTTTTAATGTTTGACCTTTTATCGTGTTTTTAATATTCTGTTGGGAGCCACCCAGAGTGATTGGGGAAACCCAGCCAGATGGGCGGGGTACTACTACTACTACTACTAATATCATTGTTATTATTCTAAGTCCAAAGATCCCAAAGTCAGGGCTGTAACCAAGCTCTGGTTAGGGAAGACCTGTTGAAATTGACAGGCCCAAGTTAGCCACGCTCCTTAATTCCAACAGGTTTACTCCTGAGTATGGGATACGATCCTCACAGTGCTATTATTGCTTTAGTTTGCATTCTCCTTTCTCCAAAGGAGCCTTGCTGCACAACAGCAAAAAAAAAAAGGCAGGAAAAGAAAACCAGGACAGACTTGTTTCAAAATGTCAGCAATCCAAATAAGTTAATTTTTTCAGTATCACAGGCGTTATACCATTTTGAATTCATCTTAAGCTACCAATCGATACCAGCTAGTTAAATTTCAGAAATGATAATTAATGGTTTAATGCGGATCGATGAATGGAGTAGTAATCCTCACTTAACACTATTGGGAATGTTATCTAACGTACGAGGAGGAGGTAACAAATGAGATTGCTATGAAATTATAAGCAGCAATTAGGGGTAATTCTGGACACATCTAAGAAGGGGACAGGAAGTCAATTTTTTGGAAACAGTTGTATAAAATTTGTTATGGGTTTGTTAAAAATGTGGAAAGTCGTTAAAAATTAACCTGGCAAGAGATAAAAACAGTTGGTTGTGATAATTAAAAAATGGAGTCAGATATGATAAGCACCCCCAGATATTAACAATAACATAACCAGCGGTACTATCCGAAGTGGTATAAAAACCGACAAATTACCGTATTTCTTGCTCTATAAGACTCACTTTTTACCTCCTAAAAAGTAAGGGGAAATGCGTGTGCGTCTTATGGAGCGAATGCAGGCTGCGCAGCTATCACAGAAGCCAGAACAGCAAGAGGGATTGCTGCTTTCACTGCGCAGCGATCCCTCTTGCTGTTCTGGCTTCTGAGATTCAGAACATTTTTTTTCTTGTTTTCCTCCTCCAAAAACTAGGTGCGCCTTGTGGTCTGATGCGTCTTAGAGAGCGAAGAATACAGTAATCACATAATTCTGCCTTCCCCGAAAACTGGCAGCAGCTGGGTTGCATGCTACGAAGAGCTCAAAAACCACATCGCATGAATCCTAGAAGGGAGGATAGACTGCAGTTTCATTAACACATTTTCTGACGACAGGCTTATTTACTTTGCTTCTGATTTTCAAAGATTTCACCCCACTTTCCCACTAAAAACCACACAGGCCTGTTTCTCCAGGGAACGGGAGCTTGCAGACAGCTTGAAAGCTGTGCCGTATTTTTCGCTCTTTAAGACGCACCGGACCACAAGATGCACTTTGAGAATACGTGGCATGGGTTTCTCAAAAACAAGTCATGCCAGACAAATCTTAGATAGATAGATAGATAGATAGATAGATAGATAGATAGATGATAGATAGATACAAGCTTGGTGGATCAGGGGAACGCTATGGACATAATATATCTTGATTTCAGTATGGCTTTTGACAAAGTCGACCATGATATCCTTGCAGAGAAGATAGTAAAATGAGGGCCGGACGAGGTAACTGTTAGGTGGTTTTGTAGCTGGTTGACAGACCCAACCCAAAGAGTCCTCACTAACAGTTCCTTGAAATATCTAAAGTACTACCACACAAACGACAGAGCAAGCTTGTTTTCTAGTGCATCCGAGGGACCCAAACCAATGGATTCAAGTTGCAAGGAAGGAGATTCCGACTAAACACCAGGAAGAAATTTCTGAGGGTAAGAGCTCTTCACCAGTGGAACTGACTCCCTCCGGAGATGGGGGACTCTATAATTCCTTGGGGGTCTCTAAACAAAGGTTGGATGGTCTCCACCCCCATCGTTCTACCCGGACACTGAGGTCCAGCACCGAGGGCCTTCTGGCGGTTCCCTCACTGCGAGAAGCCAAGTTACAGGGAACCAAGCAGAGGGCCTTCTCGGTAGTGGCACCCTCCCTATGGAACGCCCTCCCACCAGATGTCAAAGAGAACAACAACTACCAGACTTTTAGAAGACATCTGAAGGCAGTCCTGTTTAGGGAAGCTTTTAACATTTGATGTATTACAGTATTTTCATATTTTTTTGGAAGTCGCCCAGAGTGGCTGGGGAAGCCCAGCCAGATGGGGGGGGTATAAATAATAAATCATTATTATTAATTGTCATGCATGATTTAGTTGAGATTCCTGCACTGCAAGGGGTTGGACTAGAAGACCCACAGGATCCCTTCCAACTTGACAATACTACGATTCTATGAAATCGTGCACAAATGGAGTGTCTTGGTGGGAGATCAATTCTGGGTTCACCCCCCCAAAAAACCCTGAAATAACCAGGACCCTCAACCCTCGAAAAGACTCTCTGAAGGGACCTCAAGTGCGACTCTTTGTTGGATCTCAAGCCAAGAGTTGGTACTCACCGATGCTTTACATACAGAATCTGCGTGGAAACGGCTGAAATTGCTTTTATTGTAGACAGGCAACCCTTTCAGAAAATCAGCCTGGAATGAAGCAAAACAGAAAGGAAAGTGAAACCACAGACAGGCTTTTAAGCAGCAAGCATCTTTTGGGGCGGACGCTCCCCCTTTGCTTTTCTCTTGCTCTCATCAGCTCCATTCAGCGTGCCACAAATTCAGGAAGCTGCCTGACCCTTCGCAGCCCTTAAGGACTAGAAACTTGATCCCTCCCCTCCTGCAAAAAACCCTTAATTTTAGCAAAGTATTTTTATTATCATTATATATATAGGTAAAGGTAAAGGGACCCCTGACCATTAGGTCCAGTCGTGACCGACTCTGGGGTTGCGGCGCTCATCTCACTTCATTGGCCGAGGGAGCCGGCGTACAGCTTCCGGGTCATGTGGCCAGCAGGACTAAGCCGCTTCTGGAGAACCAGAGCAGCGCACGGAAACGCCGTTTACCTTCCCGCCGGAGTGGTACCTATTGATCTACTTGCACTTTGACGTGCTTTCGAACTGCTAGGTTGGCAGGAGCAGGGACCGAGCAACGGGAGCTCACCCTGTACCGGGGATTCGAACCGCCGACCTTCTGATCAGCAAGTCCTAGGCTCTGTGGTTTAACCCACAGCACCACCCGCGTCCCTCTTGTTATATATATATATGTTGCCCCTAAAAAGTAAGTTACTAGTCTTCGTGGTTCCAAATATTGTCAATTCAAAATAGGAAGATGCCCTATATAAAGCCCTAGACTCAAATTGCCACATCTGCAATCCACTGGGTAGCTTAATAATAATAATAATAATAATAATAATAATAATAAATTATTATTTATACCCCGCCCTCCCCAGCCAAGACCGGGCTCAGGGCGGCTTAGTTGGTTAGAGTGCAGTGCTGATAACGCCAAGGTTCGATTCCTGTCAGGGACAGCTGCAAATTCTTACATTGCAAGGGGGTTGGACTAGATGGTCGCCAGGGTCCCTTCCAACTGTACAATCCTGTGATTTCTTCTATGATCTAGGCAGGCCTCACCACAACCTATAAGCACCCCTGAAACGGGCAGCCGACTCACCCCAACGCAGAATCCGCTAACCTCTCTCAGAGGCATATTCTTGCTGCACAGAAACCATCCAGACCAACAACAAAAAGTGTGGCACAACGGTTGGGGCGTCAGGCTACAGCCTGGCAGAGACCTGAGTTCGAATCCCCACTCAGCAACACAAAGCTCACTGCGGCGACTTTGCAGCCAGTGGCTGCCTCTCTTAAATTAGCCTACTTTTCACGGCTGTTGTGAGGCGGAAGCAGGGAGAATTGCATAAAACGCCTGGAATGACACCCCCTGACAACAAAGCTTGCTCTCTGAGCAAAGCCAACACCCCCAGCAGGAAACCTACTCAACGGTCCCCCCGAACCCCCGTGGGTCCCCCATTCCGACAGCAAAGCCCGAACCTTTGGAAAAGCAAGGTTTTCCAGACACCCCACATGCAGGTCTGGGGTCTTCCCAAGTCACCCCAGCCTCACTGACGGATGCTTTTCCTGTCCCCCCAAATTTGCACCTCCTGCCCTATAAGCTCACTAAGACACCCCCTAGCCCCCACCCCGGCTTTCTTCACACAGCAACCCAACAGGGGTGCTTCTCCCCGCCAGCGCCAGTCGTAAGAAAGCCCCTCCCTGATGGAAGGGGGATGGGATGGGGGGAGAAGCCCCATAAAGCTCCCAAACAGCTCCCCCCATTCACTTGGGGGGGGGTTTAGAGGCAGAAACAAGGACCACACCGATGGCCCCACTCTTTTCCTCATCAGGCTTCCCCCTCCGCCGCCGACCTGAAAGCACCCCAGACCCCAGTCGGCCTCCCCGCCCCACAGATGAGACCCCCCCCGCTTAGCCCCACGTTGCCACCAGTTCGTAATGCACAGCACCCCAACCCCTCCCCACCCCACAGATGAGACCCCCCACTTAGCCCCACATCGCCACCAGTTCGTAATACACAGCACCCCAACCCCACTGGACCCCCCTAAAAGCTGCCCCCTAAAAGCACATCCTCCCCCCCCCAAAAAAGAGAGACCCAGGCCTTCCCCCCCTTGCAAGTCTGTGCACAGGACCCCCCCCAGCCTCACTGGACACCCCCCCAGTCTCAGTGCTGCCCCCTAAAAGAACATCCTCCCCCCCCAAAAAAAAGAGAGACCCAGGCCTTCCCCCCCTTGCAAGCCTGTGCACAGGAGCCACCCCCAGCCTCACTGGACCCCCCCTCCATCCTCAGTGCTGCCCCCTCAAAGCACATCCTCCCACCCCCCAAAAAAACAAAGACCCAGGCCTCCTCCCCTTGCAACTCTGTGCACAGGACCCCCCCAAGCCTCACTGGACCCCCCTCCATCCTCAGTGCTGCCCCCTCAAAGCACATCCTCCCACCCCCACCCCAAAAACAGAGACCCAGGCCTTCCCCCCCTTGCAAGCCTGTGCACAGGACCCCCCCCCCATCCTCAATGCCTCCCCCTAAAAGCACATTCTCCCCCCGCAAAAAAAACAGAGCCTGGCCTCCTCCCCTTGCACGCCTGTGCACAGGACCGCCCCCCCAGCCTCACTGGACCCCCCTTCCATCCTCAGTGCTGCCCCCTCAAAGCACATTCTGCCCCCCCAAAAAAAAACAGAGACCCAGGCCTCCCCCCTTTGAAGCCTATGCACAACCCCCCCCAAATAATAATCACCATGCTCCCCCAGGCCCCTTTCCAGAGCCCCCTGCCCCACCTCCCCCAATGGGACCCCCCCACCCAATGGAGCCTCCCCTCCCCCCCCCTCAGTGAGCCACCCCTCCGCCCCGCCCCCCAAGGAGGCCCCCCACCCGTTGGGGGGGCTCCTTCCCCCGGGGGAGGGGCCTGCGCGGGGCGGGCGGCCGCCCACCTACCATCTTCCCCCTCCAGGCGCCTCCTCAGCAACTTCTCGCCCCCCCTCCGGCCGCCGCCGCCTCCCCGGCCCCCCCTCCCACAGCCAGGCCACGCCCTCCGCCGGCGCCCATTGGCTGCCCCCTGGCGGAAGCGGCGTCGCCATTGGCCCGCGCGGCTGCCGCTCCGAGGGCCACGCCCCTTCTCCACCCTCACTCCCTCCCTCGCGCGCGCGCGCCGCCCTTTCGCTCTCGCCGCCGCCGCCGCGGAAAAGGGAAGGCGAGTCAGAGGGAGGGAAGGCCGGATGTCGGTGGGCGGGGCTTCCGGGAGGGCATGCCGGGAAATGGAGTTTCTCCAAGAGGCCTGGGTTTTTAAAGGGGCCGCGGCTGCAAGAGCAAAGGGCGGGAGTCGGCGGGTGGGGAGGGGCAGGAGGAGGCTGCTGCACCTGACGGGTTCCTGCCTGCAGAAGCAGCTGCCTAAGGAGTTATCTGGGCGGGGCTGGAGGAGGCAGCTCCACCTGACGGGTTTCTGCCTGCAGAAGGGCTGCCTAAGTAGGAATCTGGGCGGGGCTGGAGGAGGCAGCTGCACCTGACGGGTTTCTGCCTGCAGAAGCGGCTGCCTAAGTAGGAATCTGGGCGGGGCTGGAGGAGGCAGCTGCACCTGACGGGTTCCTGCCTGCAGAAGCGGCTGCCTAAGCAGGGATCTGGACGGGGCTGGAGGAGGCAGCTGCACCTGACGGGTTCCTGCCTGCAGAAGCGGCTGCCTAAGCAGGAATCTGGGCGGGGCTGGAGGAGACAGCTGCACCTGACGGGTTTCTGCCTGCAGAAGCGGCTGCCTAAGTAGGGATCTGGGCGGGGCTGGAGGAGGCGGCTGCACCTGACGGGTTCCTGCCTGCAGAAGCGGCTGCCTAAGTAGGAATCTGGGCGGGGCTGGAGGAGGCAGCTGCACCTGACGGGTTCCTGCCTGCAGAAGCGGCTGCCTAAGCAGGAATCTGGGCGGGGCTGGAGGAGGCAGCTGCACCTGACGGGTTCCTGCCTGCAGAAGCGGCTGCCTAAGGAGGAATCTGGGCGGGGCTGAGGAGGCAGCTGCACCTGACGGGTTTCTGCCTGCAGAGCGGCTGCCTAGCAGGAATCTGGGCGGGGCTGGAGGAGGCAGCTGCACCTGACGGGTTCCTGCTTGCAGAAGCGGCTGCCTAAGCAGGGATCTGGGCGGGGCTGGAGGAGACAGCTGCACCTGACGGGTTCCTGCCTGCAGAAGCGGCTGCCTAAGCAGGGATCTGGGCGGGGCTGGAGGAGGCAGCTGCACCTGACGGGTTCCTGCCTGCAGAAGCGGCTGCCTAAGTAGGGATCTGGGCGGGGCTGGAGGAGGCAGCTGCACCTGACGGGTTTCTGCCTGCAGAAGGGCTGCCTAAGTAGGAATCTGGGCGGGGCTGGAGGAGGCAGCTGCACCTGACGGGTTCCTGCCTGCAGAAGCGGCTGCCTAAGTAGGGATCTGGGCGGGGCTGGAGGAGGCGGCTGCACCTGACGGGTTCCTGCCTGCAGAAGCGGCTGCCTAAGTAGGAATCTGGGCGGGGCTGGAGGAGGCACCTGCACCTGACGGGTTCTTGCCTGCAGAAGCGGCTGCCTAAGCAGGAATCTGGGCGGGGCTGGAGGAGGCGGCTGCACCTGACGGGTTTCTGCCTGCAGAAGCGGCGGCCTAAGCAGGAATCTGGGCGGGGCTGGAGGAGACGGCTGCACCTGACGGGTTCCTGCCTGCAGAAGCGGCTGCCTAAGTAGGAATCTGGGCGGGGCTGGAGGAGGCGGCTGCACCTGACGGGTTTCTGCCTGCAGAAGCGGCTGCCTAAGCAGGAATCTGGGCGGGGCTGGAGGAGGCGGCTGCACCTGACGGGTTCCTGCCTGCAGAAGCGGCTGCCTAAGCAGGAATCTGGGCGGGGCTGGAGGAGGCGGCTGCACCTGACGGGTTTCTGCCTGCAGAAGCGGCTGCCTAAGCAGGAATCTGGGCGGGGCTGGAGGAGGCGGCTGCACCTGACGGGTTTCTGCCTGCAGAAGCGGCTGCCTAAGCAGGAATCTGGGCGGGGCTGGAGGAGGCAGCTGCACCTGATGGGTTTCTGCCCGCAGAAGCGGCTGCCTAAGTAGGAATCTGGGCGGGGCTGGAGGAGGCAGCTGCACCTGACGGGTTCCTGCCTGCAGAAGGGCTGCCTAAGTAGGAATCTGGGCGGGGCTGGAGGAGGCAGCTGCACCTGACGGGTTCCTGCTTGCAGAAGCGGCTGCCTAAGCAGGGATCTGGGCGGGGCTGGAGGAGGCAGCTGCACCTGACGGGTTTCTGCCTGCAGAAGTGGCTGCCTAAGCAGGGATCTGGGTGGGGCTGGAGGAGGCAGCTGCACCTGACGGGTTCCTGCTTGCAGAAGCGGCTGCCTAAGTAGGAATCTGGGCGGGGCTGGAGGAGGCAGCTGCACCTGACGGGTTTCTGCCTGCAGAAGCGGCTGCCTAGGCAAGAATCTGGAAGGTGCTGGGGATTTTATCCAGGCATGGAGGCGCAATGCTGTGGGGCTGGAGGGTTTCTGCATAAATCACCTTCCTATGTTCCTATATGCCTGTTGTCTTTGTCCATGGAGTTTTCTTGGCAGCGATACTGGAGTGGCTTGCCGGTTTTCCCAGTACAGTGGTACCTTGGGTTACATAGACTTCAGGTTACATACGCTTCAAGTTACAGACTCCGCTAACCCAGAAATAGTGCTTCAGGTTAAGAACTTTGCTTCAGGATGAGAACAGAAATCGTGCTCCAGCGGCGCAGCAGCAGGAGGCCCCATTAGCTAAAGTGCTGCTTCAGGTTAAGAACAGTTTCAGGTTAAGAACGGACCTCCAGAACGAATTAAGTTCTTAACCTGAGGTACCACTGTAGTGATGTATGGAAGTGAGAGCTGGACCATAAAGAAGGCTGATCGCCAAAGCATTGATGCTTTTGAATTCTGGTGCTGGAAGAGACTCTTGAGAGTCCCATGGACTGCAAGAAGATCAAACCTCTCCATTCTGAAGGAAATCAGCCCTGAGTGCTCACTGGAAGGACAGATCCTGAAGCTGAGGCTCCAAGACTTTGGCCACCTCATGAGAAGAGAAGACTCCCTGGAAAAGACCCTGATGCTGGGAAAGATGGAGGGCACAAGGAGAAGGGGACGACGGAGGACAAGATGGTGGGACAGTGTTCTCGAAGCGACCAGCATGAGTTTGACCAAACTGCGGGAGGCAGTGGAAGACAGGAGGGCCTGGCGTGCTCTGGTCCAGGGGGTCACGAAGAGGCGGACACGACTAAACAACAACAACATTGTTCCTATATGGGGCGCTAGGGCAGAGGAAGGGAAGTAGCTTGTCCTTTGGTCCCCATCATGCACTCAGCTCTCACCTGCAGCTCCTAGCAGCTGTCAACACACAACAGCGGCCTGCACACCAGGAACAGCTTTGACTGGCTGGCTAAACCAGGGGAGGGGAGCCGATGGGTCTCAAACCCTGGGTGAGTTAGGGGCTTGCCCTGCATGTGAAGACAGGCTCCAGCAAGCGGAGTGGATGAGACCAAGAAAGGGTCCAAGGGTCAAGCAGGGAGTTTCTGCCCGGGCTACTAGAGGAAATTGAGGGGCAGTTGTGGTTCGTCCACCTGGGAAGGGAGACCATCCGGGAGAAGGGAGACTCTGATCCCAAACCTCTGTTGCCTTGAGGGATATATTTGGGAGAAGAAAAGGCTGAGGAGGAAACCGTGCACAAATGCGGAGCGGAGTCCCTAAGGCGATTAGATGGCGCCTCCCTGGAAAAGACTCTGGCGTTGGGAAAGATGGAGGGCACAAGGAGAAGGGGATGACAGAGGAGGAGATGGTGGGACAGTGTTCTCGAAGCTACCAGCATGAGTTTGACCAAACTGTGGGAGGCAGTGGAAGACAGGAGTGCCTGGCGTGCTCCGGTCCAGGGGGTCACAAAGAGTCAGACACAACTAAACAACAACAACAATTTATTTGCTTTGCAGAAAGGCGGGAAATAAATCTTGATTCCTGAATGGCAATGACACCTACGAAAGTTTTCGGTTTCAATTCAGCTGACAAATCCCCATAGAAAAATCATTGGCTTCCAATCCAAGTAAGGACCCACACAGACATTGCAGAAATGGAAGACCTTCTGTTCCAGTTTGTGGTGCGCAAGACTCTTTAGCGCATTCTTTAGCAAAATGAACCGGTTTGAAGCTTCTGACGCAGGGGGTGTTTTTTTAATGGGTCAGAGACTTCCTGCCTTTCAACATCCGTCGGAGGATCACCTCGATGCCGCTGCGAGTGCGGATGCGCTTGATCCAGCCGTGCTTGTGTTTCCTCTTGAGGTTGGAGGGTTGGTACTCATTGCCGCGGGCTTTTGTCCGGATCTGTTGGCAGCCCCATGGCGTCACCAGCTGAGGGAAACTCCGGCAGGCAGCTGCTGGCTCTGGAGACAGTGGCATGGAGAAAAGGGAACTGATCCCACGCCGATAAAGCACAAAAGCCGAAATCCTCTGCATGAGGAGGAGAGATCTGGGGGAGAGAGAAAAGAGAACTTTTTGCTTGCTTTGTTGAGGTTTCATTACGACAGACATTTCTGCTTTTGTGTGTGTTGAGTTTTATATTTTTATAAGCGTACAGTCATACTTCTTGTTACGTTTGCTTCAGGTTAAATGTTTTCAGGTTGCGACCTGGAAGTACCGGAAAGGGTTACTTCCAGGTTTTGCCGCTCGCGCATGCACAGACGCTCAAAATGACGTCACGCGCATGCGCAGAAGCGGCGAATCGCGACCCGTGCATATGCGGGTTGCGTTATTCTCATGTTGCGAACGGGGCTCTGGAACAGATCCCGTTCGCAACCAGAAGTACCACTGTATAAGTTTTGATGAGGACGTTCAGGTCTCAGTAGAAAGGCTTAGACCTCTCCTCTCCCGGCAACAAATACACTCTGTACATGCTCAAAAAGTACACTGTCTGCAGGGAGAAGGAAACCAGTGTGGTGTAGCGGTTAAGAGCGGTGGACTCTTAATCTGGTGAACCGGGTTCGCGTCTCCGCTCCTCCACCTGCAGCTGCTAGGTGACCTTGGGCCAGTCACACTTCTCTGAAGTCCCTCAGCCCCACTCACCTCACAGAGTGTTTGTTGTGGGGGAGGAAGGGAAAGGAGAATGTTAGCCGCTTTGAGACTCCTTCGGGTAGTGATAAAGCGGGATATCAAATCCAAACTCTTCTTCTTCTACTTGCCTGTAAGACAGAGTTGTTCCGCCTGGCCTTTGGCTTAGAATCAGTTTGATTCCCTCCCCCTCTTTCTTTTTCCTTTCTCCTCCTGTGAAGAGCCTGCACCTTAATGTTTTAATGTTGTCCTTTAATCTTTTTAAAATTGTATTTTAATCAACTTGTCTTTATTATGGGTTGTTAGCCGCCCTGAACCCGGTCTTGGCTGGGGAGGGCGAGGTATAAGTAAAAAATTATTATTATTATTATTATTATTATTATCATCATCATCATCATGTTCACAGGCATCCTGCGTATGCTCTGGTGCATATTCGCACTCTGGAAGTGGAAGAAAAAGGCCCTGCACAAGGAACACCACGTCTTGCCACATGGCTTTAATAGATAAGGTGCACTCTGTGCATGCTCAGTGGCTTCAACCCCCAGGGGCAGTTCTGCGCATGCTCAGAAGCTTCAATCACTCTGTGCATGCTCAGAGGCTCCCAGCACAATTCAGGCCTCCCCCTCTCTCTGCTGCTGCTCCGGCCGAGCCCTTACCTGCCTCCTGCCAAGCTGACCATGTTTATCCTCGTCCCTCGCCCCGTCCTCTCTCTCTCCAGAAACGGAAGCGCTCCTTTGGCCCGTGACGTCGCACCAATCAAAATCGAAAGATTCGACCGGAAGAGGCGGTGCGCGTCCGCCGCTATGCATCCCGGGTAGCGTAGTTTTTTTGTGAGGCGGAGGCGCGCTTCTCGGCTTCGACCAATAGAGGGCGGCGTCTCGCTGACGTCGCAGAGGTCGGGAAGAAGGAAAACACCTTGGCCCCGCCCCTCGTGACGCAACACGTAGGCGTCATTTGAATGGCCCCGCCCCCCTCAGCCACAGTATTATGAGTTTGGCCTCTGACGCGCCTAGCAACAAGGAGGCGGGGAGAGAGAGTTACCCAGCATTCTTTGCGCGCCTTATTTATTTATTTATTTATTTATTTATATTATTATTATTATTATTTATTTAGAGAGATACACATAGCAGGCTGCTATGGAAAACATGATTTATGTAATTATTTGGAAAAAAAGTGATAGCGACGCGGTTATCCAGAGTGAAAACAACACTCCCCAGCGTGCTTTGCGGCAAGGCGCTTGCGCACTGCGCGCCAAAGCGAACCGAAAAGAGGCTTTTTGGCCCTCTCGAGTTGCCGTACATGTAGTCTTTCTCCAGCTCTTCCTGAGAAATTAGCTTTCTATATAAAACTTCGTTAAGGCATATAAATGCCACTAAACGCATAAGTACAACCGTGTGATTCATCAATATAGACTGAAATATAATAAATAAATAATAAATAAATAAATAATATAAAAAATAATAAATAAAAGAATTGCACAACATGCAAATAGAGTTTATAACCACATGAAATATAAATTGGGGACGGTTGTTGCATCCAAGTACATAACCATAGTAGACCCATTGAAAATCACTGGGCACGGCTAACGTAAGTCCATTAATTTCACCATGCTTACTCTTTGTATATAGCTTAACTAGAAAAAACCCCATCATTTAGAAATATAAGTCCGTATTTTAAAAAGAAAGAAACAATAAAAAGGACTGCGTTGACACACACACACACACATATTATATACGTACACACACACACACAGACTGATAAATTACACAACATGATGCAAAATGTACGTCCCATAATTTATATAGCTGTTTATGCCAAATTAACTTGTTAATCAAATCTGATTTATTTATTATCTGCATCCAACGTTAGTCATAGAAAAAAAAGGCCCTTTGGAATGAATGGATTCGACTGATTTAGCCCCCTTCTTATTAATGTTTAGAAGAATCGGACACGACTAAACAACAACAACAAATATACCGTGTGTGTGTGTGTGTCTGTGTATCCTCCTTTATATATACAGTGCATATTATTATGTATATGTTTTCCTTTATATATTATATACATTACAGTATGTGTGTGCATGCACACACGTAGCTACTGTATATATATGTATATCATAGCTGTCAAGCGTCCCTTATTTGGTGGGACAGTCCCTTATCCCAGCGCCATGTCCCGCTGCTGTCCCTTATTGATGACGTCCCTTAAATAAACTACTGAAGGTAATGGGGCCCTTTCTATGTCCAGCTGTCCTTTGTCAACAACAAATTGTTGCTGTTTTTTTGTGTTGAATATATGCTATATGGTAATTTATGGACCTAATAGGTATCTAAAACCATTTGCACGCAACAAAATATGTATTTTATCAAAGTAATTGTTGATCCCTTATTTTGGCTGCTGATCCCTTATTTTCGAGGCTGCTGGTCCCTTATTTTCAAATCTGTAAGTTGACCGCTATGATGTATATATTCATTACATATTGATTACAGTATTTGTTGACCCCTTTGAGGTCCTCAGAGAGCAAAAGGTGCGGTATAAATGCAGTTATTTATTATAATCATTATTGATTATAATAAATAATCAATAATAATTGTTATCATTATTGATTATAATAAATAATCAATAATCAATAATCAATAATCAATAATAAATAATAAATAATAAATAATAAATATTATTATTTGTCACGGTCGTTGTCGTTGTTGTAGAAGACCGCATCCCCTCCCCTCCCTTAGTTTAATCCAGTGTGGGATAGAGAGAGAGGGGAGAACAGGTGGGGACTACGTTTCCCGGCGTGCTTCGCGGCAGCGCGATGACGCCACGGGGGGGCGGAGCGAGCGCCGGAGGTTCTCCGCGCGAGGGTCAGGCGGAGGGCGTGGAAGGCGTGGAAGGCGGCGCCGCATAATCTAGGCATGAGGGGGCGTGGCCGGGCGCCTGTGCCTCCGCCGCCGCCTCCTCCTCCTCCTCCCTCGGCGGAGGTTCCCAAGATGGCGGCGCTGGCGGAGGGGGGCTACGCGCTGTCGTGCGGGCGGCTCGGCCGCGGCACCCGCGTCTCCGTCTTCCACGTCAAGCTCACCGACTCGGCCCTGCGCGCCTTCGAGGCCTACCAGGGGCGCAAGGTGGGTGGTCGCGGGGGGGAGGGGGCGGGGCTTCTGTGGGGGGGGAGGGGAGGCACGACCCCCCCCTATATATATATATAGGCCTTGGAGGGGACCCCCACCACCACCACACACATTCCCTCTCCTCGTGTCATTATAATGGGCGGGGGAGGAAAAGGCCACCCCCCTCATTAATGTGGGGAGCACCCCCTTTTTTAAAAAACAGAGGACCCCCCTTTTTAAATAGAGTCCCCCCCCACCACACACTCTCCCTCTCCTCGTGTCATTATAATGGGCGGGGGAGGAAAAGGCCACCCCCCTCATTAATGTGGGGAGCACCCCCTTTTTAAAAAGAGGACCCCCTTTTTTAAATAGAGCCCCACCACCACACAGTCTTCCCTCTCCTCCTGTCATTATAATGGACGGGGGAGGAAAAGGCCACCCCCCTCATTAATATGGGGAGCACCCCCTTTAAAAAGAGGAGACACCCCTTTAAAAGAGTGTTTGATAATATGGGAGCCCCCTTTAAAGAGACCACCTACAGAGTCTCCCCACTCTCCTCGTGTCATTATAATGGACGGGGGAGGAAAAGGCCACCCCCCTCATTAATATGAGGAGACCCCCTTTTTAAAAAAGAGGTGTTCATTAATATGGGGAGCACCCCCTTTCTCATCATAACTGGGGGAGAGGGAAGCGGGACCCCCCCCTCCACACACACACCTCATTACTAGGAGAGGAGGACTCCTACCTCGTGTGTTGTGGGGGACCCCCACTTTGTCGCTAGAGAGGATACCTCCTTTTTTACAAAAAAGGATCCCCCTATTTAATAGACAGATTCCCCTTCCTCATTATAATTTGGGGGAGGAGGAAGCGGGACCCCCCCTCCACGCACACTCCTCATTAACAGGAGAGGAGGACCCCTACTTCATGTATAGTGGGGGACCCCTGTTAAGGTAGGGCAGGAAAGGGGGACCCCCACTTCCTCACTAGAGAGGAGCATCTCCTTTAAAAAAAACAAAACTGGACTCCCCTTTTTAATAGAGATCCCTTCCTCATCATAATTGGGGGAGAGGGAAGTGGGACCCCCCCACACACATATTAATAGAAGAGAAGGACCCCCGCTTCATGTATAGTGGGGAACCCCCATTAAGGTAGGGAGGAAGGTACCCCCTCAATTCATCACTGGAGAGTTGCCTTCCCCCTCCTTGATGTGGGGGAGAGGAAAGGAGCCCCCGCTTATCAGTAGAGTGGGGGGCATTGTAATGGGGGGGGAGGGAAGGAGAACCCTCCCCTCATTAGAGAAGGGCGTGGGGACAGACACCCCTATATGTTTACGGAGGGAGGACTGTCTCTTATCACCTATGGAGACACCCCCTCTTCTTACAATGGAGGAAGGAAAAGGGGACAGCCCCCCATCTTATGAACAGGCAGAGAGGACTCAGTCCCTTACTAGTATGGGAAAAGGGGGGAAGAGGGACCCCCCCATCAATAAACGCTCCTTTTCTTATAATAAGGGGGTGGAAAAGAGGAGAGAAGTATAATGAGGAAAAGAAAGGTGGTCCCCCTCATTGTTTAGATAGGGAGGGGACAGTGAACCCCCCTTTTTTAAATGGGGTCATCAGAGGTGGGAGCCCTCCTTTATTTCATAAATATGGGGGGAGGAGGAAGATGAGAAGTGGCTCCCCCCCCCAAACCATGTAGGCACAAGATCCCCTACACTGAATGAGATGGACCCCCCCTTCAAATATATTATGGGTTAGAGGGGGTGGCTACGGGATTGGGGAGACCGATCCTTCCCCTCCAAAAAGGTGAGTCTGAGAAGTGGATTTTGTCCCCCTCCCTCTGTCGGCTCTTCCAAAATTAGTCTGAATAAGCGTGGAACACCCCCCCTTTCATAATTGCATTGGGGGGGGGTCTTGGATGAATTGGGGGTCCCTTTTTCTCCCCTTCCCCAGAAGGGCCATTTTGTAGTGTGATTTCTTCTTTTTCTCCCCCACCCCCTCCGGAAAAAGTAACCTGGAAAAGGAGGAAGTTGATGGAGGAGAGTTTGGGGAGGGGGGGAGGAGGAGGTGTGTCCTTAGGGTGTGATGAAATGAGGAAAGACAGAACTCCCCCTCCTTAAAAAAAAAAAAGGCTACTATTGTGAGAAGCGCCCCACCCCCCAATACACAATGAAAGAGGCCTGGATACAAACAGATCCATGTTTTTATAATTATGAATGGAGGTGCCTTGGTTTTGGGGGGGGGAGAGATGTGACTGTTACAGGACTAAGGAAACAGAGACAGAACTGCCCCCCCCACTAAGCACCTGTCTCTAAAGATTCCTCCCCCCCCCCAAAAAAATGGGGACCTGGAAAAAGAAGGGAACCCCCCTCCCCATTTTCATAGGGGAGCTGTGTATTATTAGAGCATGATGTGGAAAGGCAGATTTACAAACCCGCCCCCCAATGTCCCAGCAGAAAATTGGGAGGGTGAGCCCATAGACTGGGTATACCTCTCTCCCCCCCCCCCCCACTTTAAATATACCAGTTTGGGTGTTGAGTTATGGGCCTGACTTTGCAATGTCTCAGGATACAAGGAGTTCTCTGTTCTCGCCCGAAAAAGACCAGTGAGCCTGTCCCAGACAGATATTGGGATGGGGGAAGATGGACAGGGCAAACCCCCCCCCCCCAGTTTATAGTACAATCCTAGGCCTGCCTACTCCAAAGTAACCCCCACAGAGTTCTATGGCTCTTCCTCCAGGAAAACAGGTCAAGCATTGGCAAGTTTTGAGTGTCTATTTGTGCCTCCTCCTTCTTCCCGCCCCCCCACCCAAAAAAAGTCTGCCTTCTGAATGAGAGAAGCCCACTAGTAAGTATTGTACTGGAAAGACTTAAGGTGGAGGTTTTAAATCAATACCCCCCCCCCCAATAATAATAATAAGAAGGCACAGCTGAGTGGGGTTCGGACTAAAGACAGGCCCCTCAAATTTATGGAGAATCCCTTATATGTGGGGAGGGGAGTTTAAAGGAGGTTTAATGCCTCCTTCCAAAAAAACCCAGTGCTCAAACCCCCGCCCCCCCCAAGAATGCCATGTCAATCAAAGAGTGGGTCAATTTGGAAAGGAGAGAGTCTTTCGGAGATGTTTTGTAACGACTGACCCCTCCAACAGCTTTTAAGAAATAAGTGCTTTTTCCCAAACCCCAGAGCTCTTTACTTTTAATCCATTGTTCGCCACCAATTGCGGCATCCATTTGAGTAACCCGCGCGAAGAGACCCGTTTCTCAGTGGCAGGAAAATCGGGGTGCGTGCTCGCTGGACCCCTCAGTCTTCTTGCTGAGTGGGGGGGGCACCTCGCTTTCTTTGACACGTGGGGCTAGGCTTGGGAAATGAGGGGCTTGGGGAATGGGGCGGGTGCTCTGTGTGGGGTGCCCCATGCTTAGGGGGAAGCTTAGAGCTTTGTGTCCTTAGCTATGTTGTATTGCAGGCATCTGTATCACACAAGACTCTTAGGCTGGATAGCGGAACACAGCCAGCAGGTTCTTGCCCCATATTTCCAGCCCCTCTCTCTCCCCCCCCCCGCCCCCAAAATCTGGAGTTTTGGAGAGAGAGGAAGTCGATACTCTGCCTCAGTTACAGAACCAGCTCACCACCCACCTAATCTCTCCTTCCCACCTCCAGCCTGAGAGTCCTGTGTAGCCCAGAAGCTTGCATCCTGCCTTTTTGACCCCCAGCCCCTATCCCCAAGCTGTGCGACAGGTTGAGGCCTGTTCGGGGCTTGCTTTCCAGGCTTTCTCAGGGCGGCGGGGGCAGCCAGTCCCCTTCCCACCCCCCTGGCGAATACCCTTGGCCCCCAGCTGCTTGAGTCTGAATGTTTGTGCTCATTCTAGGGCGCCACCTCTGAATTGACTTCAAAGGCGCAGGAGGGAGGGCTTGTCTCTTGCTTGCGTCGTGGGGCGAAGGATGGGGCGAGTCTGGCTTGTTGGGCGACCTCCTGGTGACGGAGATCCCAAGACTGGATTTCCTGGAGGGTTGCCAAACAATCCTCCGGATGTGCTCTTGTGGCGGCTCGGCGGGTGTGTGAATGTTTTGAAACACTCCCTGGCCTCTTAAGACGGACTCAAGTTTTTCAGCGAGAAATAATAAGTTTCCGCTCAGCAGGGACTCCTGAAAAATCTAATATTCTGGGTTTTTTTACCTTTTTAAGGGCACATTTCCCCCTGCCCTATCCGAGGCTGCCTGCCTTCCCTCCCTCCGAGACGGGCCGGCAGGAACCAGGAGAGGCAAACCTGTTTATCGTTGGCAACCTCAGCCTCCGGTGAGGGCAAATTGGGACTGCGTCCCGGACTCTATTTTTAACGTAGGGTGTTGGTTACACGGCAAGGGCCTCAGCCGAGGGCAGGAGGAGGGTTTGTGCTAATTACACACTGGATGGCATGGCTTCTTCTTCTTCTTCGTTACAGCAATTGCTTGCTAATGAGTGTTTATCAGCTGCAAGAGGAGGCAGAGCGAGGTTGCGGAAGGCTGCTTTCCTCTGCAACCCCGTAACGTGACTTGCTTGCCCGTGCAATTTATTTTTCGGTGGGGTCAGTGGAACAAACAGGCCTGTTTTCGTAATGGGGACAAGTGTGGGATCCCACCCACTCCGGCACACAAGCCTTAAAATGAAATCGCAGGTGTGTATTGAACAAGTGGGTGCATAACCAAGGAAATGGGGCCGTTCTGCTGTTCTCAGCCTGTTTTGAGCCCCCCTGGGTGGCTGGGGGAGCCAGATTGTTGCTTGGGCATCAGCACTGTCCAGCAAGTCCAGTGTTAGAAATTAGCCAGGAGCCAGGCGCGCTTTGCTACTGGTGAGGGTTCTATTTGCGACCGAGTGGCGAGCACAGTTTAAAAACCTCTGCCTTAGTCCATAGTTAATGCCATTTCCACTGTGTGTGTTTCTCCTTCTTGCTAGCGAATTGTTGCAAAATAGGGTTGCCGTACGTCCGAAATTCCCCGGACATACCCGAAATACTGCAGCCGGAAGTAGCGTCTGGGCGAAAATCGGCGAAAATAGCTCAAAAACGGCATTTATTATTTTATTCCAACCCCCTGGCAAACAGACATTCTGTGGTAGCGACCGTAACCTAGATTTAACCTAGATTTTTTCTGAGTTTCTAACGCTGGAAGGGACTTTATAACCTCTCAAACCTCTGGCCCCACTGGCCCAGTATCACACAGATTTTGCAGGGTCTCGAATCCACACCCTTGCTCCTGGGGTTTGAGGAATCAGGCCTGTCCAGCCCAGCACCCTTCCTGTCTTCGCAGTGGCCCACTGCGATGCCCGCAATGGGAAGCCCACTGGCAGGATTCAAGAGCAGCCTTCTCCTGCTCTTGTTCGCCACCAAGGTAGACTGGCTCTGTCCATGGAGGCTCTGTTGGAAATCCACACTCCCACTGTGAAGCTCACTGGGTGACCTTGGAGTCAGTCACAACCTCTTGATCTACCTTGCAGGTTCGTTGCAGGGATGAACTGAGGAGGGGGCTGAACCATGGAGAAAATGGTAGGAGATTAGGTCAAATAAGCTCTTCTGCTGACCTGCTTAAGAAAGCTGGAGGGGCCAGCCAGATGAAGATGTCAGTCGCCAGCCTTGGCACCCAGAGATCCCCACGTAGTCGCAACTGCACCTGCGCCAGTCACAAAACGCGCCTTGGCGCCCGGCTAATTTCTAACACCGGGAGAAAGCTACTGCTGCCACCTCCTACTCGAGGGTTTGTCTTTGGAGCACTGCGAGGACAGGAGGCTGGGCTTAGATAGGCCTCCTTTGGGTCGGATCCAGCAGCCGAGCTCTTATATGAACATGTGGTCTCCGTTGGACCCGTGCCCATTGCAAAACGCGCCTGGCTAACCACAAGCCTGCGAGGCAGGGCAGGCTGAGAGCGAGTGGCCAGGGAACTCCCGTGTCCGAGTGCGGGGACTCAAACCCTGGTCTCCCACAGGTCCCGAGTGCAGCACCCTTGCCAGTCGGCCACACTCCCTTGCGCCAAAAAGCCTGTCGCAACCCAAGGCCCGCTGTTGGGTTGGTTGTGACACTCCAAAGTGAGTTGGCCCACATACACCCAGCTAGGCCTCTTTTCCTGGGGACGGCCATCCCAGGATGACTAGCAGATGGGCGGAGAGGAGATCTGGTTAGGAAATCCCGGCACCTGATTTTGCTTTGTGAGAGAGAGAGAAAGAGCACAGCTCATAATAATAATAAAAATAAATTTTTATTTATACCCCTGCCCTTCCCGGTTCAAAAACCGGGGTCAGCGCGGCTAACAACAAATTTAAAACAATTATAAAAGCAGCAAAAAATACAATATTAAAACCTGAATAACAATAAAAATCAAAAATCAATTTAGGGGAAATATGCATAAGATGATCCCCAGGGCTAGCTGGCTGAATTGGTCCTACTTGGGCCAGCGAGGAGGTCAGGGGAGAATTAGCTGTGGGGTCTCAGAGCGGGTGATCTTCATAAAAGGGGAGGGGAAGGGAAATAAAAGATCAGGCTGGATTCAAATGAAAGGCCAGGCGGAATAGCTCTGTCTTACAGGCCCGACGGAAGGAGGTTAAATCCTGAAGGGCCCTGGTCTCGAGGGACAGAGCATTCCACCAGGTCGGAGCCATCACTGAAAAGGCCCCGGCTCTGGTGAAGGAGTCTGACTTCCTTAGGGCCTGGGACCTCTAAACTATGGTTATTCATGGACCTCCTCTGCGGGGCATACCAGGAGAGACGGTCCCGTAGATACGAGGGCCCTAAGCCACAGCTCAGCAGTCTTTCTCTGTGCAGCAGCAACTGGCCCTGAGCTGGGTTCAGGGAAAGGCGGTCCTGTGAACGTCCCTGAGACCTGCAGGTATAGGGCAGGATATAGATTCACTAAATAATAATAGCTCACTAGGGGGATGGAGCACACTTACAGGCTGCAGTATTTGTGGGTTGTTGTTTTTTTATTTCCAGATAAAACTGAATAATGGGAGCATATAAAATAATGCATGGCATAAAGAAAATGAGTTGAGATTATTTCCCTCCCTCCGTCCTAATGCTAGAACTCAGTGAATTTCTCTGGAGCCTTTTCCTTGCTGGAGTCATGGAATTGTTGTGTTGGAATTGACCGCGAGGGTCATTTAGTTCTTCCAGTGCAGGAATATGAGGTCAGGCCCCTGCCGGCTCCTCTGACGGCTCTCTCAGGTGCAAATTGCCGTCTCGTATTTTTCCATGGGCATTGCCAGGATTGAACCAGGAGCTCTCTGCGTGTGAAACACGTGGTCCGCCCTGTATTTTAAAAAAACGAACAAACAAAAACCCCTGTCTCTTGTCCTGCTTTGCAAATCTGCTCCTCTTAAGTTACTAGGTAAAGGTAAAGGGACCCTGACCATTAAGCCCAGTCGTGGCCGACTCTGGGGTTGCGGCGCTCATCTCGCTTTATTGGCCGAGGGAGCCGGCGTACAGCTTCCGGGTCATGTGGCCAGCAGGACTAAGCCGCTTCTGGCGAACCAGAGCAGCGCACGGAAACGCCGTTTACCTTCCCGCCGGAGCGGTACCTACTTATCTACTTGCACTTTGACATGCTTTTGAACTGCTAGGTTGGCAGGAGCAGGGACGAAACAATGGGAGCTCACCCCGTTGCAGGGATTCAAACTGCTGACCTTCTGATCTGCAAGTCCTAGGCTCTGTGGTTGAACCCAGAGCACCACCCGCGTTAAGTTACTAGTCCACAGTAAAAGAAGAAGAAAAAAACCACTTCCTGCTCGCACCCTCCTCCACACCTGTTAGTTAATTACTACTTACCGTCAGCTTGAACAGTGACACAACTCTTCCTTCTCTTCGCCCGGCGATTGCTATGTCGCCATAGGCGAGCAGGTGCAAGGTGACTGGAACTGTGACCAGTTTTTACCTCCAGTTACTTTCAGACCCCTTCCAGCGCTGTTGGGAGGGAATAAGGATGTGTGCCTGAAATTCATATGTGTGCATAAGGGACGCGGGTAGCGCTGTGGGTTAAACCACAGAGCCTAGGACTTGCCGATCAGAAGGTCAGCAGTTCGAATCCCCACGATGACGGGGTGAGCTCCCGTTGCTTGGTCCCTGCTCCTGCCAACCTTGCAGTTCGAAAGCACATCAAAGTGCAAGTAGATAAATAGGTACTGCTCCGGCGGGAAGGTAAACGGTGTTTCCGTGCGCTGCTCTGGTTCGCCAGAAGCTGCTTAGTCATGCTGGCCACATGACCCGGAAGCTGTATGCTAGCTCCCTCGGCCAGTAAAGCGAGATGAGCGCCGCAACCCCAGAGTCGTCCGCGACTGGACCTAATGGTCAGGTGGCCCAGCTGCTACGCCCGTATCTGAACAGGGATAGCCTAACTACTGTTGTCTATGCTCTGGTAACCTCAAGGTTAGATTACTGCATTGCGTTCTACGTAGGGCTGCCTCTGAAGACGTTTCGGAAACTTCAGCCTGTGCAGAATTCAGCGGCCGGGTTGCTCACCGGAGCAAGACGGTCTGAGCATCTTACATCAATCCTGGTCTGACTTTACTGGCTACCAATTAGGGTTTGGAAACTTCAGCCGGTGCAGAATTCAAGCGGCCGTGGCACTCGCCGGGCGGCAAGACAGTTTGAGCACATTGAACCGATCCTGGGCCGCCGGTTCATTTCTGGGCCCGATTCAAAGTGCTGGTGTTGACCTATAAAACTAACCCGATATTTAACTGATAATCAGTCATGGTCAGTCTGTCATTTGGAAAAAAAAAGGCTTTACAGCCGTCTTGCCCCAAAAACGATATTTTGCTTTGGCGACGGAAACCTGGCTCTCAGGAGCCATTGGGCGCCTAGCTTATATATCTTTGGGTATGTCTTTAAGTTAACATCTTACATTTTAAACCTGACAGTACGAAACTATCAAAGGCTTTTCACCAAAGCCAGACTAAACGTCTTTCCTTCTGCAGTGTTGGATGGCAGGTTGAGAGGAGTTCCCTACCAGGACAGACTTTGCTCATGTGCTCAAGACCTCGATTCCATAAAACATATGTTGCACTGTGCAAAATATGAGCAAGCCAGGGCTGAACTGATACTACCCTTGCTGGTACCTTTCCCGGGAAAATCAGAGGCTCACTATGTCAGGTTCCTATTGGAAGACCGGACAAACGCTAGAACATTAGCAGTGGCAAAGTTTTTATCAGTGGTTGCAAGAACCAATGATCCCTATATTCTGAACAAAATGCTTGTTTAACCTGGAGGTAGGCTGTATGAACTGTGTATTGCTTTGTAACGATTTGTTGGGTCTCTGGACCGTAATAAAGATTGATGATGATATATCTTTGAGTTTCAAACTCTGGCAGCAGTGCTTCTGAATACCAGTCGCTGGAAGCCGCGGGAGGGGAGGCTGTTCTTGCATTCGAATCCTGCTCACGGGTTTCCCATTGGGAGATCTGGCTGGCCGCTGTGAGACTAGGACAGGGGTCAGCAACCTGCGGCTCCGGAGCCGCATGTGGCTCTTTTACACCTTTGCCGCGGCTCCGGGGTGGATACTAGCGAGGGGAGGAGGCGCATTGTGCGCCCCGACACTCCCCACTGTGGCGGGCGCTGTACTGGCTGTGACGTCGCGTGGGGGCGATGCGTGCATTAGTCTCCTTCCCACCCGCCCGCCACATTGTAAGGGGCATGTATGCTGGTCACTGTTTTGAAGGGGAGTGAAGAACACACACACACAAAAAGGTAACTTGTTAATTTAACGTTTATTTCTATGAGGAGGAGTAATTCTGAGGGGTCAAACAAAGAAATAATAAAAAGTCACAAAAAAGTTATTTTTATAATGACGAGTTTTGCGGCGTCCAGTGTTTTTTTTCTTCGGAAACGGTTCCAAGTGGTTTTTTCGTCTTAAAGGTTGCAGACCCCTGGACTAGGATGTGAGGGCTTGATGGACCAGTGGCCTGTATTTGTGTATTTCAGCATTCGGGGTGGAGTTGGGGGACCAGAATATAAACGCCAAGTATTACTAGAAGGGAAGGTTGAATCTTGCGTTCGAAGAACGCTGAGCCTCCCTCCCTACCCTCCAAGACCCCTCCAACCCAGTCGGAACCTGAGCATTTCTCCCCGAAGCTCTTTGGAATTATTGCCTGTGAAATTTACCTCTGAAATGAATACAGTTGCTATGGGATTCAGCAGCAAATCGGAAGGCTCTTTTGTTATCTCTCCCTTCCTCACCCTGAGCACACATTGCAGGTGGCGGTTGGAAGAGAGGTAAGTGAAAGATGCGGATATTTTGGGTAGGTCGGGTTGTAAGCTACTTAAATTTTATTTTGGGGAGCAGTGAGAAGGCTTGACTTGTAAGGGTTTCCTGGAAAGTGGTTCTCAACTACATTTGTCCCGCCGCTTGTGTTTTGCAGCCCTGTAGCAAAACCCTTGAAGGGAAGCGGGTGGCGCTGTGGGTTAAACCACAGAGCCTAGGACTTGCCCATCAGAAGGTCGGCGAATCCCCGCAATGACGGGGTGAGCTCCCGTTGCTCGGTCCCTGCTCCTGCCAACCTAGCAGTTCGAAAGCGCACCAGTCCAAGTAGATAAATAGGTACTGCTCCGGCGGGAAGATAAACGGCGTTTCTGTGTGCTGTTCTGTTTCGCCAGAAGTGGCTTCATCATGCTGGCCACATGACCCGGAAGCTGTACGCCGGCTCCCTCGGCCAGTAAAGCGAGATGAGCGCCGCAACCCCAGAGTCGGCCACTACAGGACCTGATGGTCAGGGGTCCCTTTACCTTTTAGCAAAAGTCTTAATCCACTTCTGACACCCTGTTGCACTAGGGGAGTTGATGTTGCGGCGATGGTCCCTGACATGGGTGACTTTGCCCGTGTTTGAAATTAGCCAGGCGCCAGGCGCGCTTTGTGTACTGTGTGAATGCAGTCAGGGGCTGAATCCCCACCTAGGTCACACCCTGGCCTCTCCTGGGGTCCAGCACTCTAACCATTGCCTCTCACTGCCTTGCATGCACGCAGCACACCTCAGCAGGACCAATGGAGCGGCTTAAAATGCCCAAGTAAAGTTTCAACCTGTCCTGGGAAGCATCTCTCGGGAACCTTTTATTGTTGGACTAGGCACCTGCCTCATAGGAAAACCAAAAAAGCTCGCTCCTATGGAATCGCATGCAACACAAAAAAATGTGTCGCTTGGTCATACAGGTGAAACTCGAAAAATGTGAATATCGTGGAAAAGTTCATTGATTTCAGGAATTCAACTTGAATGGTGGAACTATGAGATCGACTCGTGACATGCAAAGCGAGATGTGCTTCTACTTCTCAGAGGTCCAATCTTGCTCGCTTTGCAATCCTTGTTTTGCTGATTTCCTTGAATATTCTAATTTTCTGAGATGGTTAATTTGGGGTTTTCACCAGCTATACGCCATGATTATCACAATTATCACAAATCAAGGCTTGACATATCTCGCTTTGCATGTCACGAGTCGATCTCATATATTAGTTTCACCTTTTAAGTTGAATTACTGAAATCAAGGAACTTTCTCATGATATTCTCATTTTTCGAGTTTCACCTGTAATTAAGCCCTCCATGCTTTTTATAAGGGATATATATAGCCTGTCCAGATCTCCCTCCTTTTTCCTTTCCTTTCTTTTTTTTTTGCATTGGTCACAGGGCGGATTTGATTTAAATAAAATTGATTTAAATCACTACTCAGTAAGACTCGATTTAAATCTCTTTTTTTCCAAGAAAGACTCATTCTTGCTGGTATAATCTTAATATTTACAACCAGATGGAGGTTTCATTTTCAGAATAGCAAATTTTCAGAGCATTTTTTACAGTTATATCAAAAATTACTGATTTGTTTATACCCTTAGAAATACATAGACAGAAGATTATGAAATTATTGTGAGGTTTAACAAGTCAACTGTTTATATTTGGACAACTTTTCTGCTGTGCTTTATTGGCAGGAGAAAAATAACCATTACCTTAGTAACAATTTGAGCAACTTATTTAACTAAAACGGTAACATTATAGCATATATGTAGACCATGTTTGCTAACTGATGTGGTTAAACGATTTTTAAAAAAACCAAATTTAGACTGAGTTTTAGCACACATGAAAAACTTAAAACAATCCTTATTTCCTGATGATAGCCTTTGGACCAGGGGTCAGCAAACTTTTTCAGCAGGGGGCCAGTCCACTGTCCCTCAGACCTTGTGGGGGGCCGGACTATTTTTTTTGGGGGGGGGGTGAACGAATTCCTATGCCCCACAAATAACCTGGAGATGCATTTTAAATAAAAGGACACATTCAACTAATGTAAAAACACGCTGATTCCCGGACCGTCTGCGGGCCGGATTTAGAAGGCGATTGGGCCGGATCCGGCCCCTGGGCCTTAGTTTTCCTACCCATGCTTTGGGCTATAAGAAGGCTTCCTCAACCTCGGCCCTCCAGATGTTTTTGGCCTACAACTCCCACAATCCCTAGCTAGCAGGACCAGTGGTCGGGGATGATGGGAATTGTAGTCTCAAAACATCTGGAGGGCCGAGGTTGAGGAAGCCTGGACTATAATGTAACTTAAATAGAAAACTATCTTTAGAAAGAATTTCCCTCCAAAAGCATTTTACAGTGGTACCTCGGGTTAAGTACTTAATTCGTTCCAGAGGTCTGTACTTAACCTGAAACTGTTCTTAACCAGAAGCACCACTTTAGCTAATGGGGCCTCCTGCTGCTGCCGTGCCACCAGAGCACAATTTCTGTTCTTATCCTGAAGCAAAGTTCTTCACCTGAAGCACTGTTTCTGGGTTAGTGGAGTCTGTAACCTGAAGCGTATGTAACCCGAGGTACCACTGTATTTTAAAAATCCGATTAAAATAAAATAAAAAATCCGATTAAAATTTTTAAAAATCTGATTATTATTTTTTTAATCATTGATTTATATCCACCCTGACTGGGCAGTTGTTGAGTTTGGGGGCTCCTGCCGTGTGTAGGTTTGTGTCTTGTGTATGCATGCGTGTGTGTGTGTGTGTGTCCCGCCTCCGTTCTTTCGCAGTCTCTTTCTCGGAATTAGCCTCAAGCGCTGGGCTGCAACTCTGTCTGTGCAAATCCTGCAATAACAAGCTGGCTTTCACAGCTGAGCCTTGTAATAACAAACAGGGAGAGGTGGGGGGGGGGGGAGAAAGTTGAGCAAGGAAGTGGGTTCCTGGCTTCCAAGCCTTCCCGGAGACTTTTCTAAGCGGGAAGGCCGGCAGTGCGTATTGCAGGCCGTCGCGTTATTGCCGGTGCGGGGGGGGGGTGTGTCCCCTTCCTGCCTTGGGGTTTTAAAACCACCGCGTATCACGAACCCAGCGCCATTACGAGGTGTCCCTCGGGGCAAAGGAATAGAACCAAAGAACCGGAGTTGGATGGGATCCAGTTGTTCTCATGTTTTGCTCAGGACATCATGTGACGCAGTGGTTTAGAGTCTCGGACTGGGACCTGGCAGAGGCCAGGGTTCGAATTGCCACTCGCTGGCCGTGAAGCTCACCAGGTGAACTTGGGACACTTGCAAAACGCTCGGCCTAGTCTCCCTCGCAGGGTTGTTGCGAGGATAAAATGGGCAGGGCGGGAACTTTGTACGTCCCCTTGAGCTGCCCATGGCCAGGGAAGGTGGCATATAAACGCAGTAAACGACAAGACTATAAATGCCGTAAACGGGCAAACTTCCTTGGGTACAGTGTTAGAAACTCAGGTATATAAGGTAAAGGGACCCCTGACCATTAGGTCCAGTCGTGGCCGACTCTGGGGTTGTGGCGCTCATCTCGCTTTATTGGCCGAGGGAGCCGGCATACAGCTTCCAGGTCATGTGGCCAGCATGACTAAGCCACTTCTGGCGAACCAGAGCAGCGCACGGAAACGCCATTTACCTTCCCGCCGGAGCGGTACCTATTTATCTACTTGCACTTTGACGTGCTTTCGAACTGCTAGGTTGGCAGGAGCAGGGACTGAGCAACGGGAGCTCACCCCGTCATCGCGGGGATTCGAACCGCCAACCTTCTGATCTATTTCCATTTCCACTTTGTGTTTTTCCCTTCTTGCATACTGGGACAAGTGAATTGCTACAAGAGCGAGCTGCTGTTGAGCGATGAGATTGTAGCATTGGAGTGGGACCCCATGGGTCATCTATTCCTACCCCCTGGCGAACAGACATTCCATTGTGGTGACCGCAGCCTAGGTTTAAGGTGCCACGCACAGAGAGTCAGTATAAAACCCTCCCTGCAGCCCAGTCCTGCAGCCGGACAGCGTGCGTTCTGTATTCAGACACACGGTTTACTCTGTACGTGTGCCCATATTTTATAAAAATGTACGCACCGTTTGGTAGTAAAGAGAGAATGGGGGAAGAAAAGCTCAGGGCAGTTCACAGAACAAAACAATGAAGCGATCAGCAGAAACAACTCTTTAAAAACACTCGAAAGATAAAATAAGCCATAAACGTAAAAGCAGATTAAACCCAACACCTGAATTCTGCATGTCAGGGCAAGCTTGCTTAAACAAAAAAGCTTTTTGGCAGGTGCTGAAAAGAGTAAGGGCTTCGCCACACTAAAATGCACACTGTATTTATTACCAGTGTGGAGTGAACATTATGTGGAACCTCAGAGCAGTTGAGAGGGTGTTTATGGTAAGGCGATATTTGCAAGTGAACTGGTCCCAAGCTGTTAAAGGCTTTATATACTAATAATATACTGCTTTTTAACCTTTCTTTCGCCATTGGTGGCCAACTTTGTTTTCTATACCATAGAGTAGTGGTTCTCAACCTTGGGTCCCCAGATGGTTTTGGCCTACAACTCCCATGATCCCTAGCTCACAGGACCAGTGGTCAGGGATGATGGGAGTTGTAGGCCAACAACATCTGGGGACCCAAGGTTGAGAAAGGCTGCCATAGAGTATTAGCTTTTGCCCAGTGTTGGAAACTCAGGAATAAGAGCTAGGGGCCAAATGGCTTCTTAAACCAGGGTTAAAAAGGTAAAGGGACCCCTGATCATTAGGTCCAGTCGTGACCGACTCTGGGGTTGCGGCGCTCATCTTGCTTTATTGGCCGAGGGAGCCGGCATACAGCTTCCAGGTCATGTGGCCAGCATGACTAAGCCGCTTCTGGCAAAGCAGAGCAGCGCACGGAAACGCCGTTTACCTTCCCGCCAGAGTGGTACCTATTTATCTACTTGGGCATTGACGTGCTTTTGAACTGCTAGGTGGGCAGGAGCAGGGACCGAGCAACGGGAGCTCACCCCATCATGGGGATTCGAACCACCGACCTTCTGATCGGCAAGTCCTAGGCTCTGTGGTTTAACCCACAGCGCCACCCACGTCCCACCAGGGTTAAGTGTCACCAAAACGGTTGCCATTCTTGGGCCAGATTTTGAAAGGCATATTTTCCAGTACGACTTTTTGGTTCCTGAAATTCTTTCTGATGCTGCTGAGAAAATAGAACGGGTGGAATTCTTACAGGATGGGGTTTCAGAGTGTGAAAACAGATCCAAAGATCTCCAGGCATGCACCTCCAGATTTCGGAGACACCGGGTGCAAAAAGCGCCTGTTGAGTTTTGAATTCTGCTTTCACCCTTGCTTCTAAGAACCAGCTGTCTAAAAAGCTTTTGTTCGGGCAGGGCTGTTCCTTGCTTAAACTGTCTGGCAACCGGACGGGTGCCAGGGTGGTTTCGAGAATTGCCATCTTTTGCACGCAGAGCCTTAGGTGGTTTGGTATCAACTCGGATACGGGGAAATATATTAAAGTTACTACGCTGATGGCATTTGACACCATTACGGTGTAGCTGTGTTCATAAAACTATCCCACCATTGTTCTGCAGAGGCTGCAATAGTTATAGGTACAACATTTCACATGTGGTGGAACTGCCCTGAAACCTTGGGGGTATAGGGTGGTATATAAATTCAATCAATCAATCAATCAATCAATCAATAAAACGTGAACATATAAAGCCCTTCTGGCAGAGGGTGCTCACCGAATAACCTTTATTACGGGTCAACATGTGCAACGTACCAAAGTTTGGGATTGTTAACTATTTTTTAAGAAGAGCAATCTGACTTTAGTTATAAAACACTAATCAATTTTATTTTAGTAGCAGCTCCGAATTGGAAAGGGACCTCTGTGTATCTCTCGTTGGAAACAGAATGTACGGTCTCCCGCTGTTATAGGAAAAATTATCGAAGAGATCATATCCATTGCATAATACGAACAATGTGTAGACTGTTTTGTTGAAATGGGCTATCCTTTTGTGAAAACACTTTCCTGCTAACTTTCCTGGCAAGCTGCCAAAATTGTCACTTTTGCAAACATCCAGTTTTCAAAAAACGCAAATACCGCCTTTGACTTCCCTCCCCCTTTCTGTGCTTCCTTGCGTTCCAATTTTCACGCTACATCTCCTTTCTAATTCCAGTTATGAATAAATCTCTTAATATCGCTTGACGTAAATTTTGGCTGCGAGTTCCAAATCAGTCCTGCTGCTAATGAATTTAGTCGTTTGCAGGGCTTTATCGAATACGTAGTATACTTCCCCTTTTCTTTATTAAAAGTTGATATTTCCTGGTTTCTAGTTCTTCCTGTAAATTTTGGACTTTTCGGCGTAGTCCGTTTGGCAAACTTAACTGGATTGATCCGCCGGGGTGTGTTGGGGGTTTTGCTTCTGTATTTTTCTCTCTATTGCAATTGCTGGGTACTGGAAATTAATAAAACTATGTATATATTTCTGGCAGGATCTTCAGGTTGGTAAAGGGATCTCAGAGCAGTTTCCCTGAGTCTTATTTTTCCAGCAGTGTCTGCATGGTGAGGTACCACCCCCCAGCTAATTACCTCCCCGGCGCCTATTAGCTGTGAGCTCTCGGCTTGCCTTCTGACCTCAGCCGAGCCTGCCTTCCTTTGGGTTCTTCCTTTGGCACACCCCGCAAAGCCGCTTGGATATTTCGACTCTCTCTTTCTCTCATTAGAGCTGGCGGGAGGCAGGGAGAGACCTGCGAAGTTCTCCCAACTTCGTTTTTTCCTTCCCGATACTGTCTCTTTTCCTTCCTTCCTTCCTTCCTTCCTTCCTTCCTTCCTTCCTTCCTTCTCCGCCTTGTGGCATCAGTAGCACCTTGGAAGTGCACACGGAGGGGGAAGAGGGCCTGTTCCACCTCGCAACCCTAGTGCACAAGTTACTATTCCACAAGTAAAACCAGACTGTCACTCTCAAAGCTCTTGACCTAGCTCAAGGTTGTCCTCTGAACTGTTTGTTGTTTAGTCGTTTAGTCGTGTCTGACTCTTCGTGACCCCCTGGACCAGAGCACACCAGGCACTCCTGTCTTCCACTGCCTCCCGCAGTTTGGTCAAACTCATGCTGGTCGCTTCGAGAACACTGTCCCACCATCTCATCCTCTGTCGTCCCCTTCTCCTTGTGCCCTCTATCTTTCCCAGCGTCAGGGTCTTTTCCAGGGAGTCTTCTCTTCTCATGAGGTGGCCAAAGTCTTGGAGCCTCAGCTTCAGGATCTGTCCTTCCAGTGAGCACTCAGGGCTGATTTCCTTCAGAATGGAGAGGTTTGATCTTCTTGCAGTCCATGGGACTCTCAAGAGTCTCCTCCAGCCCCAGAATTCAAAAGCATCAATTCTTCGGCGATCAGCCTTCTTTGTGGTCCAGCTCTCACTTCCATCCTCTGAACTAGCCAGACGTTTAACTGAGAATCAACCACAGCCAGTCCATCATTTGGAAAACGAGACGTGCCCCAAAATGGCAGCTGGGCATTCTGTTTTGGCGCCTGTAACCCTGATCCAATGAGCCATTTGGCGCCAAGTTTATATATCTGAGTTTCTAACACTGGCCAGGTCCTGTAAGGGTGGGGTGGAGGGGTCTGTTTCCACGTTCTTAAGATCCCGGGCCCAGTGCATAGGATGCTGCCCGTATCCTAACATATAGCCGTTTCTGGCAACCTGACGCCCTCCATAAGTTTCGTACTACAACTCCCAACCTGGCGCTGGGATGCCGGAGCTCATCAGCTGGTTTTGCTGTGGCGGGGGCAGTGGGAGGCACGGAAAGAGGTTATTTCCGCAGGCTCCTTAGCTTTTTGAAGAAGCCGCTAGTCCTCATGTGTCTAAATTCCGCGCAGGGGCGTAGAACCTCCGGGGACCGTGCAATCGTTTTGCGTGGAGAAGCAGAGAAGGGTGCCTTGGTTCTCCCCCCCCCTCCGTTCGCCTCTCCAGCTTTTCTGCGTCTGCCGCAGTGCATCTCTCCTGGGGGAGCAGGAGAGAGTTGTGGAAACCATAGGAAACCAACCTCCCTGCAGGGACAGCCTTTTAAAAGCGTCTCCCCGTCGTTCCGCCTTAGGCGGAGAGATAAAACCGTATGGTGATGTCATGGGGGAACAGGCTCAAGAGTGTCTCATGTGGCGGGGGGGGGGGCGGGAATCCAAGCAGAGAGAACCCCCAAGTCCCTTTAGAGCTGGCAGAGCCCTCAGGACATTGGTTGGGGCGGTGGCAGTCGGGTGCCCCTGCCGGCACGGCGTCCTGCAGACCTGGCAATCGGAAATAAGTCTGCGGAAGTGGCTAGTCCACAAGACAAAACGGTTTATGAGCCTGCCTTGGGTGGGTATGTGGTAGAGCAGCTGTTTTGCATGCAGAAGGTCCCAGATTCGGTCTGCAGTGGCGTTCTTCAGGTATGGCAGAGAGAGAGAGACAGCCAGTCGGTTCATCTACCTCGCAAGGTCATTGTAGGGATGGCCGAGGGCCTTCTGGCGGTTCCCTCCCTGCGAGAAGCCAAGTTACAGGGAACCAGGTAAACAAGACCTACACTGGCTCCCAGTACTTTTCCAAGCACAATTCAAAGTGTTGGCGCTGACCTTTAAAGCCCTAAACGGCCTCGGCCCAGTAGTCCTGAAGGAGCGTCTCCACCCCCATCGTTCTGCCCGGACACAGGTCCAGCGCCGAGGGCCTTCTGACGGTTCCCTCCCTGAGAGAAGCCAAGTTACAGGGAACCAGGCAGAGGGCCTTCTCGGTGGTGGCGCCCTCCCTGTGGAACGCCCTCCCATCAGATGTCAAAGAGAAAAATAACTACCAAACTTTTAGAAGACGTCTGAAGGCAGACCTGTTTAGGGAAGCTTTTAATGTTTAATAGGTTATTGTATTTTAGTGTTTTGTTGGAAGCCGCCCAGAGTGGCTGGGGAAACCCAGCCAGATGGGCGGGGTATAAATAATAAATAATTATTATGATTATGAACTCAGATATATCAGGTAATCAACAAACGGCACCTGAAACCTAGGTTGCAGTCGCCACAGCAGAATTTCTAGGTACCTTTTCTTTTTGCAGTGAAGTTTATTATTATTATTTGTTTCAAAAATATTTTTATTGAAAGTTTTCACCATAAAGATACAATAAAAACCAATCTAATCCAAACAAGAAAGAGATAAAGAGTAGTGTAAATAAGACAATAAAAAGCAAGGTGAGAGAAAAGAAAACAAAACAGATTTTTTAAAAGACTGTAGTCTAAACCACTGAGCCTCTTGGACTTGCCAATGAAAAGGTCGGTGGTTCGAATCCCTGCGAAGGGGTGAGCTCTGTCCCTGCTCCTGCTCCTGCCCACCTAGCAGTTCGAAAGCACACCAGCGCAAGTAGATAAATAGGTACCGCTCCGGCGGGAAGGTAAACGGCGTTTCCGTGTGCTGCTCTGGTTCGCCAGAAGCGAGCTTAGGTTGCCTACCCCTGGGTCTGTCTCTGTACAAGGCAGCTTTCTGTCTGTTTGCATATCTGTAAGTTGTGCTCTCATAAAAAATACATCAAGGATTTTAAAAAAAGAAGTCAGCATTAAAGTGTTGGTTATTGGTTCAGAAGAGAAAATCGTTTCATTTGCAGGAATAGGTTCTGTGTGGGATGTTTTGGAGGGAGAAACCAAACTTCGTTATCAGCAAAAAGTTTTGCAAAGTTTTCTGCCCGAATGCTTGCAGGCACCATGCCTCCACTTGCCAAAAGCAACCCTGTCATAAGGAAAGTTCCCAATGTGTGTTTCAGATCCCCCATAGCTTAGCTTCTCGGTTCTCATCTGCCTTCCTCCTTCCTGCCAACTTTCTGTTTCGAAACCTTTGCTGAAAAAAAAGCGTCTTTTTTATAAAAAAAATAGATAAGCCTGAATACAGGGACCCCGGAAGCTTCTGCTTATTGGAAACCAAAAGTCAGAATAAGAATATAATGAGGGGAATTTTTTAATGAGAAAAAATCTCTCCCGCCCCTCCTGGTTGGAAGCCAGGGACTTTTTCCTCTGCAAAAGGGGAAGTTGGAGAGAGAGAGAGAGAGAGAGAGAGATTAGATGCCCTTCCTAAGGGAGGAGAGGAAATAATAATTCTATAAGGTTGGAGGGGGGCATTAAAATGCCGGGCAGCCCCTCCAGAGGCACACACACATACCCCAAATTGATTTTTGCCGCTGCCCCATATCTGCGTTTCTCCATCATTTGCAAAATAGCACAACACAGCTTTGAGTGTGTGCACACAAATACACACTCGCACTGGAGGGAGAGAGGACAATGGCAATGCGAAGCCGGGCGCTTAATCTCTGGCTTTTGCAAAGTAATGATTTTTATTAGCGGGCCCTAATTCGTGATAAGGAGCAGACTTCGAGCTCCTAAGGAGGTGGAGAGTAGCTCGAAGGTGTGCTCACAGTGCCTGGGGAACCTCAAAATCCAATCCAGGGGTGCTTTGCGGGAGCGTATTGATTCATCAAAACTATGAGTAGGCGAAGCGAAGGTCCGGGGGCCAGATCCTGCCCAATCGCCTTCTCAGTCCGGCCTGCTGACGGTCCGGTAATCAGCATGTTTTTACATGAGTAGAATGTGTGCTTTTATTTAAAAAGCATCTCTGGGTTGTTTTGGGGGCCTGCCTGGTGTTTGTACATGAGTAGAATGTGTGCTTTTATTTAAAATGCATCCCTTTGTTATTTGTGGGGCATAGGAATTTGTTCATTACCCCCGTCCCCCCCCCCAAAAAAAAAATTTAGTCCGGCGCACCACAAGGTCTGAGGGACAGTGGACCGGCCCCCTGCTGAAAAAGTTTTCCAACCCCTGATCAAAACAATACATGGTGGGTTGAATTGCATGATCGGGGCACTTTTTTGGGGGGGGGTTGGCTGGATGGGACAGATCTTTATCTCCGTGCTGCCGCGTCTGCACAGGCCAGCTTCTGGTGACTGGACCACCAGCCTGCCCACTTGCCCAAAGCTGGCCAGTAGGAGGGTTGAAGCCCTTGCCCATCAGCTGTATGTGCTTCAATCCTGCGTTCTGCATGGATTGAACCCGGCCTTCGAGGCAGCCTCTCCCGATTTACTAGTTCAGGCCCTGCTTTCCGGAACAGCAGAAAACAGACTTTTCCCCACCTTCCACGTGGCGGCCCTTGAGGGATTTGGAGGCTGCTGCCCTCTCCCCTCTAACCATGGCTACCACCCTGCGGTTTTATTTTGCGCTGCCCTATATCTTCCCTGGGACTCGGGTGGCGCTGTGGGTTAAAGCACTGAGCCTAGGACTTGCCGATCAGAAGGTCGGCGGTTCGAATCCCCGCGACGGGGTGAGCTCCCGTTGCTCGGTCCCTGCTCCTGCCAACCTAGCAGTTCGAAAGCACGTCAAAGTGCAAGTAGAGAAATAGGTACCGCTCCGGCGGGAAGGTAAACGGCGTTTCCATGCGCTACTCTGGTTCGCCAGAAGCGGCTTCGTCATACTGGCCACATGACCCGGAAGCTGTACGCCGGCTCCCTCGGCCAATAAAGCGAGATGAGCGCCGCAACCCCAGAGTCGGACACAACTGGACCTAATGGTCAGGGGTCCCTTTACCTTTACTAGATAAGCAAGAGAACCTTCCTTGTTGAGATAACCAGGATGCTGGCGACACAAGACTTAGCTCTCAAAGAATGTCTGCTTTTTATTCTTTTTTAAATGAACTTCATCCACTTCTGCTCATCGTGGGATGAGTTCACGGAGGCCATAGTGGAACCCCCACCCACGGAGGGAGTCTTATCTTCAAATACCAGCTGCTTGGCAGGGCCTGGACTTCCCCTCTTGCCATCGCTTCTGCATCTGGCTGGGACGTTGGACAGGGTGGAAAACTGGCCTGGGCCTGCCAGGAGCCACACGCTGATTCTGAGGTTTCCCAGGCGGCGCCGGCAAACTTTCAAGGTTCTAGAAACTAGAAACGGCGACGCTATTATTAAGTGAAAACAAGAGATTCATATGAACTCTCGGTACTGAACAAGACCACCCACTTCCTGCGCTTGCGCACCTGCACAGCACCCCGGCAGGATAGCAACCTTCTGCAACGGCAGGGAAGATATAGGGTAAAATAAAACCGCAGGGTGGTAGCCGAAGGTCGAAGCGGCCCTGAGCCCGGCTTTGGCTGGGGAGGGCGGGATATAAATAAAATTTATTATTATTATTATTATTATTATTATTATTATTATTATTATTATTATGGTTAGAGGGGAGAGGACAGCTGCCTCCAAATCCTTCAAGGGCCACCACGTGGGAGGTGGGGGAAAAAATCTGTTTTCTACCGTTCCGGAAAGCCGGGCCTGAACCACTGCCGCAAGCGGGGAAGAGTCGCTTCTCTTGTGCTCAGGTCCTCTTGGGGCATCTTGTTGGCCACGGTGAGGGCAGATCGCCCCCCTTTCGGCCTGATGCGGCTGCTACCTGTTCTCCTCTTATCAAGGTTCCTAAATGGAGCCTCCATGGACAGAGGCACTCTACCTTAGAATGGCAGAGGAGGAGGAGGAGAGCGGGAGGAAGCTATCGCTCTCGCCTCCTGCTTGGGGGGGCTTCCCTATGGTAAAGTTACCAGATTTATTTCAGTGAATCCGGGGACACAATCAATCAATCAAAAGAGGAAAAAAGTTATTAAAGAAAATAAAGAAATAATAACTTCTCTTCTGCGGTCTCCACTGTTGCACGGCCTTCCCTGGGTCCCGGTCTTTCTTGGAGCGCTCGCTGTGCTGCCCCCCTCCCTCCCTCCTTGCACTGCGATCCCCTACAGGTTTACTCAGGAGTAAGCGTTAGTTAACCCACAGGAACGCGGGTGGCGCTGTGGGTTAAACCACAGAGCCTAGGACTTGCCGAACTGAAGGTCGGCAGTTCGAATCCCCGCAACAGGGTGAGCTCCCGTCGCTCCGTCCCTGCTCCTGCCAACCTAGCATTTCGAAAGCACATCAAAGTACAAGCAGATAAATAGGTACCGCTCCGGCGGGAAGGTAAACGGCGTTTCCGTGCGCTGCTCTGGTTCGCCAGAAGCGGCTTAGTCCTGCTGGCCACATGACCCAGAAGCTGTACGCCGGCTCCCTCGGCCAGTAAAGTGAGATGAGCGCCGCAACCCCAGAGTCGTCCGCAACTGGACCTAATGGTCAGGGGTCCCTTTACCTTTAAGCGTTAGCAGAACCCCCTCCTCCTGCTGCTGCTGCCCTGCCCGTCTGTCTGGGCATCTCCTGTGCAGGCATCGCCCAGCGGCTGCCCATCTGCGCTGTGGCGCGCCCAGTCAGCGGGTCCAGGGCAGAGCAGGTGGCGAGCGTGCAGGAGGAGGCGAGCTTCGGCCGGATCAGCTCGTCTCCTGCTCGCCTCTCGTCCGCGATGGCCAACGACGAGCTAGCCAACAAGCTGAGCCGCCAGTTGCAAGTCGAGGAGCGCAGTGGCGGAGCCGCAGCAACAGCCGCCCAAGCAGCACCCAGAGCCCAAGCCGATGGCCTTGGGCAGCGGTGCCCATGGCGAGCTGAGCGCCAAGTTGCAGTGGCGCACCGAGCTCAGTGACCCCATGCAGCTTTCACCCGGCGGTGGTGCCCAGCGCTGTGTCTTCACCCCATAGAGTCTCCATATGATGTGTCTTGTGCGCAACACATCATATGGGGACTTCCAGCGAGGCAAAGTGGCGGGCACCACGGTAATCATAATAATAATAATAATAATAATAATAATAATAATAATACAGTGGTACCTCAGGTTAAGTACTTAATTCGTTCCAGAGGTCCGTTCTTAACCTGAAACTGTTCTTAACCTGAAGCCCCACTTTAGCTAATGGGGCCTCTTGCTGCCGCTGCACAATTTCTGTTCTCATCCTGAAGCAAAGTTCTTAACCCGAGGTACTATTCCTGGGTTAGCGGAGTCTGTAACCTGAAGCGTATGTAACCCAAGGTACCACTGTAATAAATTTCATTTATACCCTGCCCTCCCCAGCCAAGGCCGGGCTCAGGGCGGGTAACACCCGATATAAAAACAAATTGATTGAAATACAACTTAAAAACAGGATTAAAATACAATATTAAAATACAGCCTCATTTCAATGGAAACTCAAATAAAAAACTTTTTTGGGGATGAAAACGTCAACTTTCCAGAGTTAGCAGGCAACTCCTGAAGCTAGCCAGAGCCAACTGCGGTACCAGGCTGGCTGTGGGCTGCTGAGACTGCCACAGTTCCCGGGGACATTAGATGAAATCCAGGGATGGAATTTGTCCGGGGACAAATCTGCAAATCCGGGGACTGTCCCCGGGAAATGGGGATGTCTGGTAACCCTACCCAATGGGGCATCTAGCTGCCCTTTAGGTCTGATTCCAGCTGTTGCCAGAGTCTCCGTAATGTCCCCACATTAATTTCTCTCCTCTCTCTGCTCCTCTCTTTCCAGGACTCGGTGGCGCTGAAGCCGTCAATTCAGTTCGAAGGAAGCCAAGGGGTAAGTCGAAGGCCTGTGACTGAATGTAAAAAAATCTGCTTTGCGCTCTCTCTCTTCCTTTAAAAATAATCATAATGGCCTCTCCAGCACTGAGACGGGACAATGGGATTTCGGTTAGGAGGTTCAGAAACTGGGCCAAATCTCGTAGGAGCCCCCTTAAAAAAAAAAAGGTAGTTCAGATATGAGTTTTCAGTAAGAAACTGGAAACGGCCGTTATTCTATTCTTGGGGCTGGTTTGTTGGAAACTGAGCCTTTTCTCTTTCCCTGTTTCGCTTTGTGAGAGCTGCTGATGGCAGCTGACATCTCTCTGCCCCCCCCCTCTGCAAGGTCCGCTTCTGCCCTTAAGCTGGGAACTGGGGCAGAGGATTGCAAAGGGCGCCTCTTTCCTCCCTCATGCAATGGCTTCGCTGGCTTCCTCCCCCCAGGCTTTGGCGAGGCTCTCAAAAAGAAATTCTGCAATGGATATTTTTCAATAATAATAATTTATAATAATAATTTATTATTTATACCCCGCCCATCTGGCTGAGTCTCCCCAGCCACTCTGGGCGGCTTCCAATCAAGTGTTAAAAACAATACAGCATTAAATATTAAAAACTTCCCTAAACAGGGCTGCCTTCAGATGTCTTTTAAAGATAGGATAGCTGCTTATTTCTTTCACATCTGAAGGAAGGGCGTTCCACAGGGTGGGCGCCACCACCGAGAAGGCCCTCTGTCTGGTTCCCTGTAACCTCGCTTCTCGCAATGAGGGAACCGCCAGAAGGCCCTTGGCGCTGGACCTCAGTGTCCGGGCTGAACAATGGGGGTGGAGACGCTCCTTCAGGTACAATTCAAAGTGTTGGTGCTGACCTTTAAAGCCCTAAATGGCCTCGGTCCTGTATACCTGAAGGAGCGTCTCCACCCCCATCGTTCTGCCCGGACACTGAGGTCCAGCTCCGAGGGCCTTCTGGCGGTTCCCTCCCTGCGAGAAGCCAAGTTACAGGGAACCAGGCAGAGGGCCTTCTCGGTGGTGGCACCCTCCCTATGGAACACCCTCCCACCAGATGTCAAGCAGAAAAACAACTACCAGACTTTTAGAAGACATCTGAAGGCAGCCCTGTTCAGGGAATCTTTTAATGTTGAATAGGTTACTGTATTTTAGTGTTTTATTGGAAGCCGCACAGAGTGGCTAGGGAAACCAAGCCAGATGGGCAGGGTACAAATAATTTATTATTATTATTATTATTATTATTATTATTATTATTATTATAACAAACAAACCGCTAGCCCCCCCTTCCCACAAACACATTTAAAAGACCTGGTTGAAGAAGAACGTCTTTGCCTGGTGCCTAAAGGTGTTTAATGAAGGTGTCAGGCAAGCCTTCCTGGGGAAAGCAACCCACAAGCAGGGTGCCACCGCAGAAAAGGCCCCGTTCTCGTGTTGCCACCCTCCGGACCTCTCGAGGAGGAGGCACATGAGGAATGCAAGGTCCTGGTTAGTTTATATGGGGATTGCTGGGCTTCCTGCCCCCACAATGTTCCCCACTCCTACCCCTTCCCCACCTCCCTTGCTTCATTAGAGGTTTTTGAGTAGAGACAGGGCAGCCATCTGGCTGCGGTTCTTTAGGAGCGATCCGTCCCTTGCAGGGGGTTGGACTAGATGACCGCTGGGTGCCCCTTCGAACTCCATGGTTCTGGGATTCTGTCAATAACAGCAGCAGCAGCAATAGCTCCTCTAGTTTTAGTAGCATTTGTGTGTGTTCTTGTCATTATTCTCTGTTTTTTTATTTGGCTTTTTTACACTGTGATCTTCAGATGAAGGGTGGTGGTGTACAAATTGAATGCACAACAATAATAATAGATTGGAGGTTTTTGAACAGAGGTTGGGACCGCCAGATCTGATGGGGCGTCTTCGGGCGGGATTCCTGCTTTGCATTGTGTTGGATTGGATGAGCCCTGGGTGCCCCTTCCAACTCTCCTATTCCCTTATTCTGTAACTTGCTGGCTAAGGCTTCGCGTGTACATCTTCTAATCTTATTTTCTTTTTTAAAACAAAAACCCAGCACATCTCGATACCTCGGCCAGACGGAGCAGCGGGGGCCCAGACATTCTCGTTTTACCTCTCCAACATCGGGAAAGATAGTCCCCAGGGGAGCTTTGACTGCGTCCAGCAGTATGTCTCCAGGTGAGTTGCCCCGTCCAGGCCCCAATCCCTGCAGCTCCCACGGCCGGCGATGTGGGTTTTCCGCACGTTTTCAAATGGGAGCAGAACGCCCCAGAAAACCTCCTTACGCCGATAGGGCAATTTGCGACACGTTCGACTCCGGGGTGGGAGCCTTCCCCCTTTGGCCAGCAGTCAGCGGGGCCAGAGGGGGGAGTGGGCAGGGCGCTGGGTGCAAATACTACCTTTGCACGGTAGGCTCGTTTCTGCACATGCTCAGGAACCCCTGTTTGTCCTCCGATCCACACAAGCAGGGTGTCTCACCAGAGCGGTGCATGCTCTGGTTATCTCCCGCTTGGACTACTGCAGTGCGCTCTCTGTGGGGCTACCTTTGAAGGTGACCCAGAAACTACAACTAATCCAGAATGTGGCAGCTAGACTGGGGACTGGGAGTGGCCGCCGAGACCACATAACACCGGTCCTGAAAGACCTACATTGGCTTCCAGTATGTTGCTGAGCACAATTCAAAGTGTTGGTGTTGACCTTGAAAGCCCTAAACGGCCTCGGCCCCGTAGACCTGAAGGAGCGTCTCCAGCCCCATCGTCCAGCCCGGACACTGAGATCCAGCTCCAAGGGCCTTCTGGCGGTTCCCTCCCTGCGAGAAGTGAGTTGCAAGGAACCAGGCAGAGGGCCTTTTCAGCTGTGGCACCCACCCTGTGGAACACCCTTCCATCAGATGTCAAGGAAATAAGTAACTGTCTGGCTTTTAGAAGACATCTGCAGGCAGCCCTGTTTAGGGAAGTTTTTAATGGTTGATGTTTTATTCTGTTTTTAATATTCTGTTGGGAGCCACCCAGAGTGGTTGGGGAAACTCAGCCAGATGGGCGGGGTATAAATAATAAATTATTATTATTATATTATTATTATAATATAGCGGACGCTATATTCTGTTGGGAGCTGCTGTATTGTGTTTTTACTCTCCGATAGGGAGCAGCCAAGAGTGGCTGGGGAAACCCAGCCAGATGGGCAGGATATAAGTAACAAATTATTATTATTATTATTATTATTATTATTATTATTATTATTATCCTGCGGACAACATTGAGGGCCACACAGGGAGGTCCCAAGGGCCGCATAGCCTAGAAAGCCAGCAAACCAGGAGACTTTTAGAGGAAGGCGAAGAAACGGAGGCAGGCATGGATTTTAGCCCTGGTATCTCCCAGGCACTCTAACCACTATGCAACACTGTCTCTGACCTGGGGTGGGGTGGTGACCTGCGCTTTAGGTGCAATGACCAGGCGGCTTCTTCTTCTTCCCGAAAGACTCCGGTTCCTTTATGTTTTTCATTTCTGCCTCTGCTTACCCTTCAGCAGCAATGGGAACATCCAGTTGGACTGCCTTGGCACCATCCAAGACAAAATCACCGTTTGTGCCACCGACGACTCCTACCAGAAGGCGAAGCAGAGCATGGCACTGGTGGAGGAGGAGACCCGGAGCCGGGGGGCCATCGTCATCAAGCCGGGGGGCCGCTATGTCGGTGAGCAGCGACAGCATTGCGTACGGTCAATCATTGCAGCAGGGGAGAGTGTCTCCGGCCGTGGAGCTGTTTCAAAACCCGCATTCTCTTGCAAGCAGCCTTCCGGGGGAACAGAGCCGTGCTTTGGTTTCCAAACATTTTGGAAGTTGAATGGACTTCCGGTACGGATTCCGTTCGACTTCCAAGGTGTGACTGTATTGATCTGAACATTTTTGACCCGTCAGTATATTGCGAATCGCGATGTGTGTCAGGGGTAGGGCCGGTCGATGCATCGTTCAAACCCAGTTTGAAGTCTGTATCGTGAGTCCGGTTTCATAATTTTTATCCTGGCAGTATATTGTGGGTTAAACCACAGAGCCTAGGGCTTGCCGATCAGAAGGTCAGCAGTTCAAATCCCCACAATGACGGGGTGAGCTCCCGTTGCTCGGTCCCCGCTCCTGCCAACCTAGCAGTTCGAAAGCACGTCAAAGTGCAAGTAGATAAATAGGTACCACTCCGGCAGGAAGGTAAACGGCGTTTCCGTGCGCTGCTCTGGTTCGCCAGAAGCGGCTTAGTCATGCTGGCCACATGACCTGGAAGCTGTACTCCCTCGGCCAATAAAGCGAGATGAGCGCCGCAACCCCAGAGTCGGCCACGACTGGACCTAATGGTCAGGGGTCCCTTTACCTTTACTTAGGGAAGTTTTTAATGTTTGGTGTTTTATCTTGGATTTAATAGTCTGTTGTGAGCCGCCCAGAGTAGCTGGGGAAACCCAGCCAGATGGGCAGGGCATAAATAAATTATTATTATTATTATTATTAGTGATCAGGAGGGAGCCCTTTTCAGACTCTCTGAGCTGACAGTGCTTGGCCTGCCTCTCTCGCCCTTCCTCCGGGGAGTCCGTGTCTGTAAACAGGAGCAGATTGCAGTTTGCTGAGTTATCCCTGACTCATCGTTTTGGTGTGCGTTACCAGCCAAACTCTTGCAGGAGCAAGCAATGGCAGGAAGTGTGTGTTTTCCTGTGTGCTGGGAAGAACAACGCAAGGGGGTTTTTTTCCCCGTCGGGAGGGGGAGGGAAGGCTTATCAGCAAGCAGTAAAAGGCCTCTCCGTAGCTGCCTTCCTGCCAAAACGAAAAGCTTCGGAACTTTTCTCGGGGAAATTTTCTCGGGGAAGTTTCATTTCCTCTGGGAAATTTCCCTCCAGCGCAAATTAGGCGGTTGTTGGACAGCTGTCGGCCACACGTGAATCTCCTCCTAAACACAGCCTTCTGTAGCAAAGGTTCTCTGCGTCAGAGAGGGAGAGAACAGCTGTGACGAACAATGAATTATTTTTTTAAGACAAGGCTCTAAAACCAGGCATGTACTGTAGACTTGAGTCCTGTTGCACAGGGGTTAGAATGTTGTTGTTGTTGTTGAGTCGTTTAGTCGTGTCCGCCTCTTCGTGACCCCCTGGACCAGAGCACGCCAGGCCCTCCTGTCTTCCACTGCCTCCCGCAGCTTGGTCAAACTCACGCTGGTAGCTTCGAGAACACTGTCCCACCATCTCGTCCTCTGTTGTCCCCTTCTCCTTTGTGCCCTCCATCTTTCCCAGCATCAGGGTCTGTTGCAACAGGGTCCTCAGTCACCACACGCAGGAGGGAGGAGGAACCCAGAGCAAAAGTGTGCCTGCCTTTATATAGACATTTTAAATTCCCTCCCTGGAGTCCAAGACCACCCCCAGATACATCATACCTACATCACAGAAAGGGCGGTCTACAGCAGAAATCTTAGTGCTTTGTTTACCTCTTGTCTGCCAGGTTACCTGTTCAATGGTCACTTGATTGGATACCCTGGGGAGCCTGGCAGGTCTTTTGTAATGATAAATACTTAGTTCCTGGGCCAGGTCACAGGCTCACACCCTATTCATATCTTAAATGTGCCCTTAAGACAGGATTTGTGAAGGAAAAGACAATGGGAGACTTTTCCATTTTCCTTTGACCTTGCATGGAAAACATTTGGTCAGTTTGGGAGTAAAAAATGGTTCCAGGTCGGTCTTCCTGTGCTGATCTATGTATGTGTTTGGTTGGTACACTTATGAACATTTAAAATATATCTAAGACCTCAAAATTCCTATCACAGGGATACAATTCTATAATTCCCACCACATATTGAACTTTCTTTCCTAAAACATTGGGGTGCTGCTGTTTTTTGGGCAAAGCTTCTCTTCATGTCCAGCCTCTGTACAAAATAAAATAAAAACGGAGAGCATCTTTGACCTTGCAAGCTCTGCCTGTATTCTAGGAAGGCGAGGGTTTTCGGTGTGTGTTTGTTTTTAGAAAAGGAAATCGAGGCGAGCCAGGAACAGGAAGCCCTTTCATCTCGGAACGCGATCAGCCCCATTCTGGCCTCCTATCTGATTTAGGTTCCTAAGAAAAAAGGAAGCTGCCTTTTGCCGCGTCAGATCCTGTGGTCTGTCCATTGGCACCAGATCCAGTGGTGCCTGCACAAACTGGCAGCCTTTAGTGACTCAGGTTGGGGCTTTCGGGGCTACCACAGGCCAGCATCGTTTTCTGTCCAAACGATAGAAGTGTTGTCCAATAAACTCAGAATATTACGTTCTGTTGTATAAAGCCATTGGTACTGTTGCAGGAATTTATGTATAGGTTGGGGGGGGGGTTGCCCCTCCAGCAGATATCACACACATGCAGCCCATTACCAAAACCAGCACAATCGCTTTTGGGACTTTTGTGATTTGTCCCCACAAAACACTTCATCACAGTTTCTTCCTATCTATTCAAAGGGCCTTTGCTGCACGATACCAAATGTAAGAATCCACTGATCAGTGTATCTGTGTACTGGCTCACTGGGGAAACTTCAGAAATTCATATACCGTATTTTTCGCCCTATAGGACGCACTTCTTCCCCTCCAAAAATGAAGGGGAAATGTGTGTGCATCCTAGGGGGCGAATGCAGGCTTTCGCTGAAGCCTGGAGAGTGAAAGAGGTTGGTGCGCACCGACCCCTCTTGCTCTCCAGGCTTCAGGAAGCTCTGCGCAACCCTTGGGAGACCGGCGCGACTTCGCGGGGGCTCCCGAGGGTTGCGCAGAGCTGCCTGCGCTCCCGGGCTTCCTGCAGCTCTGCGCAACCCTCCGGAGCCTGGCGCGAAGCCGCGCGGGCTCCCAAAGGTTGCGCAGAGCTGCCTGCATTCCGAAGCCTGGTGCGCGCTGAAGAGCGCGCCCGGGCTTCGCGCAGCTCTCCGCAAGCCTGGGGAGACCGGCGCGGCTCCCTAGGCTTGCGGATAGCAGGCTGTTCTGGGGGCTGGGGTCGGGGGAAGCTCGGGCTTCCCCCGTGCCTGCCCCGTGCCTGGGGGGGAAATTTTTTTTCTTTATTCCCCCCCCCCAAAAAAAATTAGGTGCGTCCTACCGAAAAATACGGTAGACGTGTCAGCAGCCCCTCTGCCTGAGAGATCATCCCTGGCCTCCTGATACCTGAGTGCCAGACAGGTAGCCATTCCAGAAATAACAAACCCAGATGAAGACAAAAGGGTGTGATTCACTTGGCTGGGAAACAGTGAAATGTAAATATTTCTTTTGTTTCACTTGATAGATGTTTGGTGGAGGGCAAGGGGAACCATGGGGCAGGGTCCCGGATGCTCAGATTACTGCCACCAGACCTCCGCTTTCACTATGTAACCATGATGTATGAGTGATGTAGTTTGGGGGGGTGTAACATGGGGATTAGCAGCTAATAAAAGTTTGGGTTCTCTTTTGTTCGGGGCTTCCATCTTGTTCCACCTTGTGGCAGGTAGAAGTCCTGTCACGACAGTCTTCAATAAAGACCAAGCCTACTGGCTGCTGTTTTGCTCTTGTATTCCTGGCTGGTGTCCTTGCTTTTTGTCCAAGGGAGCCCTCAGATTTCTCCGTTAACAGTACCAAGTGGCCAAAACGCTTTCCCAATCAGTCATTTCTTAAGAATCTGCACATCAAGCTTGCCTGTTGCTAACACATATATAGAAAGCGACCACTGCTTTTTCACTTTCGAAAGATCAGTCCGGTTGTTCCAATATCTCTGTTGTCTTGGGAGCTCAGGAAAGCTGTTAACAAGGTGTTGTAGCTTCAGGTACAGCAGTGCCCCGTTTTTCGGACGTAATCCATTCCGGAAGACCGTTTGACTTCCGAAACGGTCATAAACCGAGGCGCAAAGGGCGGTCTGCAGAAAAACAGGGCGTTGGAGGAATAGCATGTACACCCAGCGGAAGCCGTTCGACTTCCAAGGCGCATTTCAAAACGGAAGCATTTACTTCCAGGTTTTCAGCGTTCGGGAACCGAAACACCCGGCTTCTGAGACGCCACCGAAAACCAACGTATGGCCATTGGGGTGCATCGGACTGATGGCATTTGTCACTTAGAGATGCAAACATGGAAGAATCTCTTGGTTGGCCCAAAATCGATACAGTGGTGCCTTGGTTCTCAAACAACTTGGAACCCAAACACTGCAAACCTAGAAGTAAGGGTGGTGGTTTGCGAACTTTTTCCCGAAGCCGAACGTTCTCCGTTTTGAGTGTTATGCTTCTGATTTGAGTGTTATGCTGAGGTCTGTCTGTTTTTGCTGTTTATTTTGCACTTTTGCGGCTCTTTTTTTGTTTTGTTTTTGGGACTGCGTGGAATCCAGTTCAGCTACTGATTGATTGATGGATTGTGCGACTGCAGTACATTGTTTATTGCTTTCATTTTATGGACCAGTGGTCTCATTCGATAGTAAAGTTCATGTTCAATAGCTGTTTTAAGGGTGGTTTTTCAAAGTTTGAGAACCAAGGTACCGCTGTATATCCATTTTTCCATATCCCCACCCTTTCTCCCCCCAAAAAACAGCACGGACCCAAACTTTTTCTTTTTCCTCTCGCTTAGGCAAGACGGTCAAGGTGCGAAAGCCGGCCCCGGTGGCTTCGGACGCCGTCCCCTCGCGGATCCGCCCGACGCCCGTCAACCTGGCCAGCGCCATCAAGAAAGGCAACAGCGCCGTCTCCCAGCGGCCCTTCAGAGACCGCGTCCTGCATCTGCTGGCCCTCAAGCCCTACAAGAAACCGGAGTTGTTCTTGCGGCTGCAGAAGGACGGCCTCACGGCGCAAGATAAGGACTCTCTAGATGGGCTGCTGCAGCAGGTGAGCCAGTGCGCGGCCTGATTCTCCATAGAAGTCGTGGGTGTGGGACCATGCATTTTTATTACCGTATTTTTCGCTCTATAAGACGCACCAGACCACAAGAGGCACCTAGTTTTTGGAGGAGGAGAACAAGGAAAAATATATTCTGAATCTCAGAAGCCAGGACAGCAAGAGGGATCGCTGCGCAGTGAAAGCAGCAATCCCTCTTGCTGTTCTGGCTTCTGGGCTAGCTGCGCAGCCTGCATTCGCTCCACAAGACGCACACACATTTCCCCTTACTTTTTAGGAGGGAAAAAGGGAGTCTTATAGAGCAAAAAATACGGTATTCCTCTTCTTCCTTTTTTTTGGAAATTGTTTTTACTTGAGTTTACAAATTCGTTCACCCTCACAATCACAAACAATAAAAATTTCACAAGATTCTTCCGAATCTCAAGACCTCCCTCCTCCATGGGATCTTTAAGCAGCTTTCTAAAAAACTGCATATTATAAGTCCATCTAATTTACAATCTTCCGTTGTATCCAAAGTCCTTGCAGGAGTTATTTAAAACCTGCTCAAATGTTTGCAGTGCTCTTTAAAATATAATGCAAATTTGTCTTTTATTGAGGTTTTGATCCTCCTGGTTTCTGATTTTCCCAGTTAGTCTCTGCGTAGTCCAATAATTTCACCTGCCAGTCTGCCCTAGACTCTCGTGGTCCCTCCCAGCTCTCGGATTCTGTGTTCAGGGATTGACAGATAAACCCTTCCCTGTCCTCTCCCTCCCTCTTCCAGGTTGCAAACATGAACGCCAAAGACAGCACCTTCACCCTGAAGGATTACCTTTACAAAGAGGTGCAGAGGGACTGGCCAGGATACTTGGAAGGAGACCAGCAGCTGCTGAAGAGGATCCTGTTCCGGTAAGGACATTTCCCCTTGGGTTAAGCGTCCCTAGGTGTTAATATCACAGTAGGGGACGCTGGTGGTGCTGCGGTCTAAACCACTGAGCCTAGGGCTTACCGATCGGAAGGTCGGCGGTTCGAATTCCCGCGACAGAGTGAGCTCCTGTTGCTCTGTCTCAGCTCCTGCCAACCTAGCAGTTCGAAAGCACACCAGCGCAAGTAGATAAATAGGTACCGCTCCGCCGGGAAGGTAAACGGCATTTCCGTGCGCTCTGGTTTCCGTCACGATGTCCCGTTGCGCCAGAAGCGGTTTAGTCCTGCTGGCCACATGACCCTCGAAAGCTGTCTGCGGACAAACACCGGCTCCCTCGGCCTGAAAGCGAGATGAGCGCCGCAACCCCAGAGCCACCTTTGACTGGACTTAACTGTCCAGGGACCCTTTACCTTTTTTTAACTTTAGAATCACAGAACAGGGGCAGGGAAGGTCTGGGGCCTTCCTAAATGTTGTTGGGGGTCAGCCGCGTGACACAGAGAGTCTGTCCCACATGCATAAGTTTCCAGGTTCAATCCCTGCCTGCTCCCTGTTTCCTAATAATAATAATAATAAGCGATAAAACATCAAACATTAAAAACCTCCCTAAGCAGGGCTGCCTTCAGATGTCTTTTAAAGAGAAGATAGCTGCTTATTTCCTTGACATCTGATGGGAGGGCGTTCCACAGGGCGGGCGCCACTACCAAGAAGGCCCTCTGTCTGGTTCCCTGTAACCTTACTTCTTGCAATGAGGGAACCATCAGAAGGCCCTCGGAGCTAGACCTCAGTGTCCGGGCTGGACAATGGGGGTGGAGACCCTCCTTCAGGTATACTGGACCGAGACAGTTTCGGGCTTTGAATATCAGCACCAGCACATTGAATTGTGCTCAGAAATGTACTGGGAGCCAAGATCTTTCAAGATTCTCAGTGGCTGATCCCAGTCTGGCTGCCGCATTTTGGATTAGTTGTAGTTTCTGGGTCACCTTCAAAGGCAGCCCCACGGAGAGCGCCTTGCAGTAGCCCAAGCGGGAGATAACCAGAGCATGGACCATGTCACCATACAAACCGTCTCATGAAAGGTGAAAATAACAAGTTACTCGGAGTACTGGTTGGAAGAGGAACACACAACAGGCAGTTTTGTTCAGGCAGGCTTAAAACGGTAATTCGGTTACAAAGTTGTGCTCAGTGGAGATGCACCTTCAGGTATACTGGGCTGAGGCCGTTTACGGCTTTCAAGGTCAGCACCAACACTTTGAATTGTGCTCAGAAGCTTACTGCTGCCTCCTCCTTTCTCCCCAGCTCTCTCTCCCCCCCCAACCTCATGAACGACTTCCTTTTTTCTTCCCTGAATCTCCCATCCATCCGCTCCATCGGATGCCCCCAAATTCCAGGGTTAGGAGAGAGGGAGGAAGACTTTCCCTGCATGCCCTTTCTCCGTGCCACGCGAAATTTTGCAGACGACGCCACCTCTTCCTTGCCTTCTCTCTAAGCTAGAAAGTCCCACACGCCGCCGCCGCCTTTCTCCATGGGGGAATTGCTCCCGTGGGGATGCCAGTGAAAAACAGGAGGAATCGTGTCAGTTTGGATAAGAAAACACAGCTCACCCGCCCAGCTGTTGCAGGTGCAAGGATATGGGCTTCCTGGGTGCAGATCTTTTAAGAAGCGGGAAGCCAGCCCTCGCTTCTAGCCTGGTGGGCTTAGTTTTCTCTGCTCAGGTGGCCGGATCGTTGCCAGTGGTTATTTTTAGGCTGTTGCTCATCCAGATGCCAGGATAGACGTGCCCGGGGGGGTGGGTGGCGAGAGACGTAACTGCTTCATCCTCCTCCTCCTTGGGAAACATCGGCACAGCTACCGTACTTTTTGCTCTATAAGACTCACTTTTTCCCTCCTAAAAAGTAAGGGGAAATGTGTGTGCGTCTTATGGAGCCAACGCAGGCTGCGCAGCTATCCCAGAAGCCAGAACAGCAAGAGGGATTGCTGCTTTCACTGCGCAGCGGTCCCTCTTGCTGTTCTGGCTTCTGAGATTCAGAATATTTTTTTTCTTGTTTTCCTCCTCCAAAAACTAGGTGCGTCTTGTGGTCTGGGGCGTCTTATAGAGCGAAAAATACGGTACACACCTCCGTGGCACGATTGCGTGTCTGTGTGTATGTGTACGCCCGTTTGCAAACTTGTAATTTTCCATTTCAATTAAAACCCAGGCCTTCCCAATTCATACACACACACACACACACACACACAGCCCCCAGGGACCTTGTCCCTCGCCAAAGAAAACTCTCTCCATTTTTCAGACTCTCATTAAACCAACCTCGTCTCCTCCGCCAGCCAACTGGGTTTACGGACCATGGAAACTGTTCAAAACAGAGGGTAGGGAGGGTGCGCAGGGGGAGGAGAGGGGGGAGTGGGGTTTTTTTTTTAACCTTAGCTGGGTTGGGGGGGGGGAAATAACTGCAATAGAAATAACCCCTTGACCCACCCACCCCCTTTTTGCATTATAACAGAAAAGGTCCAAGCCCAGGGACGCCTTTGGAGACTCAATTATTTTATTGGTTGTTGCTAACAAGCCGGTTTCAGGAAAGAGAAATAGAGACAAATAAGGTTGTTTTAAAATAATAATAATAATAAAAGGATTAGTTGCCACAATGGCCGTTAAAAGGCATACAGGATACTGCTGAAGGATAATCGAACAGCACAGGAGGGAATACATGCGTGGTCTCTGTGGCATAAATTCGAACTAATTTCTCATACAGTCGTACCTCGGATGCCGAACGCCTTGCGAGTCGAACGTTTTGGCTCCCGAACTCCGCAAACCCGGGCGTGAGTCTTCTGGTTTGCGAACGTTCTTTGGAACCTGAACGTCCGACGCGGCTTCCGATTGGCTGCAGGAGCTTCCCTTTGGTTTCTGAACCGCGCTTTGGTTTCTGAACATTTTGGAAGCCGAACGGACTTCCAGAACAGATTCCGTTCGACTTCTAAGATCCTTGGATCCTGACGACTTCTATTCCCATAAGTTTTTGTATGCCCGAGACACTTGCTGCTGCTGCTTCTGGCCTTGGTTGATATTTTGAAGCCCGATATTTGAAGCACAAATAGCACCAAAAAATATTTAAGTTGGCACCCTTGGTTAGGAAGCTGCTTGCCTTCTGTCACTGTGCCATTGAGAGCGTGCTCACTTATGGCTTATGTGTGTGGTACGGAAGCTGTACTACCCAGGACAGGATGGGGTTGTGCAGGGTTGTTAAGGCAGCAGAGAGCATTGTTGGCTGCCCACTCTCCACCTTAGAGCAGATTTATGCCACAAGGTGCCATAGGAAGGCACTGGGCATAGTAAAAGATCCATCGCATCCTGGTCACTGTCTCTTCGAGCTCTTGCCGTCGGGACGGAGATACAGGACGATGAAGACAAGAACGAGTCGTCTTAAGAACAGCTTCTTCTCCAGAACGATCTCGGCCCTGAATGGGAAGCCCGGACTTTGAAAGTCATCTAATCTCCCTTGCTGTATTATACTGTATTGATTAATTAGTGTTTTTATGGAGCAGTCAAGTAATTTCGTTGTCCCCGAAGGGGCAATGACAATAAAGATATTATTATTATTATTATTATTATTATTATTATTATTATTATTATTAAGGGCAACATGCTAAGCCTTGGAATGCCAGCAGTCCAGGTTATTGGGTTGAGAAGCCTTCCCTGGGCGTGTTTTAAATAACATTTGCTTGCCTCTCATCCTTAGGGGACGCGGGTGGTGCTGTGGGTTAAACCACAGAGCCTAGGGCTTGCTGATCAGAAGGTCGGCGGTTTAAATCCCTGCGACAGGGTGAGCTCCCGTTGCTCGGTCCCTGCTCATGCCCACCTAGCAGTTAGAAAGCACCTCAAAGTGCAAGTAGATGAATAGGTACCGCTCTGGCGGGAAGGTAAACAGCGTTTCCGTGCGCTGCTCTGGTTCGCCAGAAGCGGCTTAGTCCTGCTGGCCACATGACCCGGAAGCTGTATGCCGGCTCCCTCGGCCAGTAAAGCGAGATGAGCGCCGCAACCCCAGAGCCGGCCACGACTGGACCTAATGGTCAGGGGTCCCTTTACTTTTACCATCCTTGATTACACCCGTTGGTCCCTTTTATGCAAAAGAAGAAGAAGAAGAAGAAGAAGAAGAAGAAGAAGAAGACGACTTGGTGTGCCTTAACGAAACAAACACCTTTTCATTTTGTTGTTGTTGTTCTCCCCTCCCCTCCCCCCCCCTCCAGGAAGCTCTGCCAGCCGCAGAACACCAGCTGCCCACCAGAGGCACCGGCTCCAGCATCACCAAAAGACAACGCAAACATCTCCTCCTGCTCTCCGCCCCAGGTAGGTCCTGAGCCCCCATTGCAAGGGCATGTCTTGGTGAGGTTTCCTGCTCCCAGGCAGCCTGGTGGCGTCCTTGAAAAAAGAATTTCTTGCTCGCTGTGAAGTTTGTGGCCTACAGGGGCCCTGTTGTTTTTTTAAAATTTATTTACAGTGGTGCCTCGCAAGACGAAAAGAATCCGTTCTGTGAGTCTCTTCGTCTAGCGGTTTTTTCGTCTTGCGAAGCAAGCCCATTGACGGATTAGCGCTATTAGCGGCTTTTAGCGGCTTTTAGCGGCTTATCGTCTTAGCGGATAAGCGGCTTAGCGGCTTAGAAAAAGGGGGGGAAAGGGGAAAAAAACCCACAGGAACTCGCAAGACATTTTCGTCTTGCGAAGCAAGCCCATAGGAGATTCGTTTTGCGAAGCACCTCCAAAACGGAAAACTCTTTCGTCTAGCGAGTTTTCCGTCTTGCGAGGCATTCGTCTTGCGGGGCACCACTGTATTTATTTGCTCGCGTGCTCAAGACATCGATTCCATACAACATATTTTGCTGCACTGTGCAAAATACGAGCAAGCCAGGGCTGAACTGATACTACCCTCGCTGGTACCTTTCCCGGGAAAATCAGAGGCTCACTATGTCAGGTTCCTATTGGAAGACCGGACCAACGCCAGAACGTTAGCAGTGGCGAAGTTTTTATCAGTGGTTGCAAGAACAAATGATCCCTATATTCTGAGCAAAATGCTCGTTTAACCTGGAGGTAGGCTGCATGAATTGTGTATTGCTTTGTAACGATTTGTTGGGTCTCTGGACCGTAATAAAGATTGATCATGATGATGATGATGATGATGATGATGATTACAGTCATACCTGAGCTCCCAAACACCTTGGGAGCTGAACGTTCTGGCTCCCGAATGATCGGAAACCGGAAGCGAGTGTTCCGGTTTTCAAACGTTCTTTCGGAAGACGAACGTCCAACGAGGCTTCCAATTGGCTGTTCGAGGGCAGCCAGCATGGGGTTTTCCCTCCTGAGTTTCCGTGGTCCTTCGAGCTATCGTATTTTTAATATTCTGTTGGGAGCGACCCAGAGTGGCTGGGGAAACCCAGTCAGATGGGCGGGCTGTATAAATAAATTATTGTTGTATTGGCATCAAACGGAATACCAGTCCTTCTGCTAATTTATCTAAGTCTGTATCATCAAAAACACTCCACAACGTTATTTTTGGGTGATGGAACAATCGTTTCCTTAGTGATATTTATCATTTCCATCAAAACCAAACTGATGGTTCCTTCCTGTTTACTTGCCATCCTCTAACCCTGTGGGGCGGGACGCAGGTGGCGCTGTGGGTTAAACCACAGAGCCTAGGACTTGCCAATCAGAAGGTCGGCGGTTCGAATCCCCGCAACAGGGTGAGCTCCCGTTGCTCGGTCCCTGCTCCTGCCAACCTAGCAGTTCGAAAGCACGTTGAAGTGCAAGTAGTTAAATAGGTACCACTCCAGCGGGAAGGTAAATGGCGTTTCAGTGCGCTGCTCTGGTTCGCCGGAAGCGGCTTAGTCCTGCTGGACACAGGACCCGGAAGCTGTACGCCGGCTCCGTCGGCCAATAAAGCAAGATGAGCGCCGCAACCCCAGAGTTGGTTACGACTGGACCTAATGGTCAGGGGTCCCTTTACCTTTAACCCTGTGGGGCAAGCACCTCACAGGGGGGCAATTTGATTTTTAAGGGGGGGCTATTCAAGAATTGAGTTATTAACAGTTTGTGGCCTTTGGGGCTTCCTCCATTTGAGTAGGAGTTTGCTTTGTGAATAATAAGAATTATATGTCAGCGACGGGGGGCGGGAATCAGGATTTTAGAGATGCTTAGGTGGGGCATACGGACGTAGGTGGTGCTGTGGGTTAAACCACAGAGCCTAGACTTGCTGATCAGAAGGTCAGCGGTTTGAATCCCCACTACAGGGTGAGCTCCCGTTGCTCGGTCCCTGCTCCTGCCCACCTAGCAGTTCGAAAGCACGTCAAAGTGCAAGTAGATAAATAGGTACCACTCCGGCGGGAAGGTAAACGGCGTTTCCGTGCACTGCTCTGGTTCGCCAGAAGCGGCTTCGTCATGCTGGCCACATGACCCGGAAGCTGTACCCCGGCTCCCTCGGCCAGTAAAGTGAGATGAGCGCCGCAGCCCCAGAGTCGGTCACGACTGGACCTAATGGTCAGGGTTCCCTGACCATGGCCAAAAAAAATTAAAAAAGTTGGGAACCACTGCTCTAACCCATAGTTTCCCAAACTTTGGTCTCTCTTTGGACTACAAATCCCATCATCTTGAAGAGAAGAAGAAGAGTTTGGATTTGATATCTCGCTTTATCACTACCCGAAGGAGTCTCAAAGCGGCTAACATTCTCCTTTCCCTTCCTCCCCCACAACAAACACTGTGAGGTGAGTGGGGCTGAGAGACTTCAGAGAAGTGTGACTAGCGCAAGGTCACCCAGCAGCTGCAGGTGGAGGAGCTGGGAATCGAACCCTGTTCGCCAGATTACAAGCCCACTGCTCTTAACCACTACACCACTTGAGCTCGCAGAGCAAGGGATGATGGGAAATGTAGTCCAAAAACGTCCCCACATTTGGGGGAAAGCCTGCCTTAACGCTTCCTGTTCTTCTTCCCTCCACCTAGAAACGACCCCAGCCCACAGATTTCACCGACCCTCTGTCCAACAAAAAGCCCCGCATCTCCCACTTTGCCCAAAGGACTCAGCCCACGCTCAACGGAAAACTGCGCTCGGCCAACGGCAGGGAAGCCCCCCTAGCGCCACCCCCGGAGGTGGTCGCCTCCAGTAACCTCTTGCCAGCCCTGGAGCTCCCCAGGCCCCACAACCCCCTCGCCGACGTCAGCAACGATCTGGGGCACGGCGGACCCAACTTTGAGGTCCCGGATCCCGCCGAGAGGCTGGCGGCGGCAGCGGCGGCGGAGGTCCCCCTCCAGCCGGTGACAGACTCTGTCCAGGTCAGCAAAAGGAGCAAGAAGAGGCTAAAGAAGGAGAGGGAGCGGAGAGGGGCTGAGCAGGAGTCGGAGCCCCGGGAGAAACCAAACTGCAGCCTCAGGAAACGCAGCTCAAAGACCACGGCGCCTTCGTCGCAGGACACGGCAGGTGGGCTCAGCTGGGCAGGGATTTGGGGGGTTGTGGGTTCCTCTGGGTCGCGCGCGGGTTATTATAATGACAGCAAAAGTGCCGGAACGTGATGTTCCCTATATGGAGACTGCGAAACGGGCGGCGAGAATAAAGAGACCGAAGAGGTGGCAGGTTTGCGGGAGAGTGGAGGTGCTTTTCAGGCTATCTGGGGAAATGTTATAGTCAGTTGAAATCGCAGGCAGGGCTGGAAACCTAGGCAAAGGAGCGAGAATGAGAAACGGAATGTAATGTAGGGTATCTCTGTTGTAACCAAAAATTGCCCTTTTTCCTTATGGGGTATCCAAGAGCCCATATAGAGTCCTTACATAGGTTTCCTATTGGTAGGAGAGAATAACAGAGGCCAACCAGAGAATATTGAGAAGCAAAGCAGCTAGTAAACTTGATCTTTATTGATCTGTTGCAAGAGGTGCTCTCCTCACCCGCAGGAAAGGAGGAGGAACCCAGAAAAATGGCGCGCAAGGCCTTATAAAGACTTTTGAAATTGCCACCCTGTAGATCAAGACCACCCCCAGAAACATCATACATACATCACAGAAGGGGTGTAACCTAAGACCACCCCTCAGATACATCATACCTACATCACAGAAAAGGCGGTCTAAAACAGAAATTTGAATATTGTTTTTCTCCTGTCGTTGTTTATCTCCTGTCTGGCAGGTTACTTGATTGGATTGCCTGGGGAACCTGGCCAGTCTTTTGTAATGATAAATTCCTGGGCCAGGTCACAGGCTCACACATCTTAAATGTGACCTTAAGACAGGATTTGTGAAGGAAAAGATGATGGGGAGGCATTTCCATTTTCCTTTGACCTTGCAGAGAAAACATTTACTCAGTTTAGGAATCAAAAATGGTTCCAGGTTGGTCTTCCTGTGCTGATCTATGTACGTGCTTGGTTGCTACGCTTATGAACATTACCATATATCTAAGACCATAAAATTCCTATCACATCTGTTACCGAAATAAGTGCAGTGGCCCTTCAGTTTTTGAACGTCTTGGAAGTTAAACATTTCAGCTTTTGAATGCCGAAAAACCGGAAGCAACTGCTTCGGTTTTCAAACGCTTTTCGGAAGTCGAATATGCCACCCGGCTTCTGTACTGAGTTTTCCAGAAGTAAATGCTTTGGTTTTCAAACGTTTCGGAAGTCAAACCATCTTCTGGAACGGAATGTTCGAAAACCAAGGTACCGCTGTATTACATTTAAGGCAGTAGGTAAAGGATTGGGACAGAAAAACATCACAGATGGGAAGTCAAAATGCTGGGGGAATATTGCATGGAAAGTGAATTTGTTAAATTGTATGGAAATCCAATAAAAATGTATGGCAGGGCGGAGAAATGCAAAGTTCCCTTAGATCAGCGGTTCTGAAAAAAAAAAATTCTCCGAGCCACAGTTTCAGGATACAAAATGGCTTGCCTCGCACCGATTTTTTTAAATTGGAAAATGGAAAGAAAGAAGTCCTAGCAGTGCTTGACGCAACTGCTTTGTAACAGGATCACAGGACATCCAGAAAAAAATAAAGAGATCTATGCACATTCTGCAAAACGTAGATCCGTATTTTGATACCATTGCAGTGCTCCACCACAACTGAAACGCCTAAATGTTTCTCTGATTCTCCTTCCCGTGAAACTTGCCGCACCCTTTTTGAGAACCACTGCTCTAAACCCGGAAAGCCCCAAATTTTTGTTCTTTGGCTTTCCCTGTGGCTAGGTGCTTTTCCCTTGGTGTGGCCACTAGGTGGTGGTCAAGGTCAACACGAATACAGTGGTACCTCTGGATACGAACGGGATCCGTTCCGGAGCCCCATTCGCACCCTGAAGCGAACACAACCCGCGTCCGCGGGTCACGATTCACCGCTTCCGCACATGCATGTGACGTCATTTTGACCGTCTGCGCATGCGCGAGCAGCGAAACCCGGATGTAACGTGTTCCGTTACTTCCGGGTCACTGTGGAGCACAACCCGATAGTGCTCAACCTGAAGCAACTTAAACCCGAGGTATGACTGTATCCATGTAGCAGGAAACACCCCCCCAATCATTCAGTTTGTACAAACTTCACACACACTTACACTCACACACTACATACGCTACGCTTCTGTTATAAATTCATAGAAAATCAACCATACATCGGATTTGCACTGTTCCGCTTTTATTTTACTCCATGAAGGAAGGACTACAAAATGGGGAAGGTTTGATACAGGGCAGCCATAATCTGTGAGCATACCAGTACATACACAGGAGCCCTGCCCAGTTGCTATGCCAACCCTGATGGTCCTAGACAGAAGACCATCAAGATCACAAAGAACTTGCATATGGGAATGGATTCAGCACGGACTGGAACAAAGGACAATAATCAGCTCTACCTTCTGGGGGCAGGAAACTGCAAACTCCCCTCTGTCACCTGGAAAGTACTCATGGGGAGGGGGAAAGGGGGAACCAGCCAGGTGACAAGATACTCAGGTTACCACCACAACTCCTCCCTCAACCCCTCCTTTCTGTGATGTATGTATCTGTGGGGTGGTCTTAGGTTACACCCCTTCTGTGATGTATGTATGATGTTTCTGGGGGTGGTCTTGATCTACAGGGTGGCAATTTCAAAAGTCTTTATAAGGTCTTGCACACCATTTTTCTGGGTCCTTCATCTCTCCTGCAAGTGAGAGGAACACCCTGTTGCAACAGTTCAATAAAGGCCAAGCCTACAGGCTGCTGTTTTGCTCCAAGTTATCCTGGTTGGTGTCTTTGTTTTTGTCCAAGGGAGCCCTCGGATTTTTCCGGGAACACCCAGAAACTCTAGTGTGTGAAAGCACTCCAGATCTGCCTTTAAAGCAGAATGCCTCTCTTTGGAGAGGCATCTTTCACGACGTGGAGCCAGGAGCTCTCCTTAGGACTGATTTTCTCTTCTCCTTCTCCCTTTCCTGTTCTCCAGGTTTAAACGGGACGTGCAACAGCGCCAGCGATCCCACGTCGACGTCTGAAACTCAAGACTATTTTATGTAAGTGTTGGCGGACCCCTTGTTAGCCGCTCTGAGCCTGGTTTTTGAAATGGGAAGGGCAGGGTATAAATTTTAATATTATTATTTTTCTGGTCACCAAGGGGCAATGCAAGCCTGGGGTGGTTGTTTTTCGTCCTTCATTTCCGTCCTTAATTTTCTCGTAGCAAATACGGCCCCATCTCCTCGTCTGAGCAGCGGCAGAGCTACAAGAACGACTTCAACGCGGAGTACAGCGAGTACCGTGACCTTCACGCCAGGATCGAGCGGGTGACGCGGCGGTTCATGCAGTTGGACTCGCAGCTAAGGCAGCTCCTCCAGGGCTCTGAGGAGTACAAGGTGGGCCGGCGGCAGCCTCGGACTACAATTCCCATCATCCCTAGCTAAGAGGACCAGTGCTCAGGGATGATGGGAATTGTAGCCCCAAACATCTGGAGGGAGGGGCAGAGTTTAGGGCCTCTAAAGGTATTAATCTGGTCCTGACCACAAGCTCCTGTAAAAACGTACCATCTCCTTAGAGTCAAAACAGCATAAAGTGTAAAACAAAGCAGCAAAATATTATAGAGCAGAGTTTTCCAAACTTGAGTCTCCAGGTGTTTTTGGACTACAACTCCCATTATCCCTATATCTAGCAGTGGCCAGGGATGATGGGAATTATAGTCCCAAAACAGTTGAGAGACTCAAGTTTGGGAAACACAGTGGTACCTTGGTTCTCAAACTTAATCCGTTCCGGAAGTCCGTTCCAAAACCAAAGCGTTCCAAAACCAAGGCGCGCTTTCCCATAGAAAGCAATGCAAAACGGATTAATCCGTTCCAGACTTTTAAGAACAACCCCTAATACAGCAGTTTCGCATGAGTTTTACTGTCTAACGAGACCATGGATCTATAAAATGAAAGCAATAAACAGTGTACTTCAGTCGCACAATCAATCAATCGGTAGCTGAACTGGGTTCCACTCAGTCACAAAAAACAAAACGAAAAAGAGCCGCAAAAACAAAAAGGCAAAATAAATAGCAAAAACAGACAGACCTCAGTATAATACTGAAAACAGAAGTTTGGCACTCAAATTGGAAGCGTAACACTCAAAACGGAGCACGTTCGGCTTCTGAAAAATGCTCGCAAACTGGAACACTTACTTCCAGGTTTGCAGTGTTCGGGTTCCAAGTTGTTTGAGTACCAAGGCGTTTGAGAACCAAGGCACCACTGTACTGGTTTAGCGAAAAGGGGAGTACGAAAATTGGATCATCATCTGATGTGGAGGGTCTAGGAGCCAGAAATCATCTGTCCTAAGAAAGCTTGATCTCAGATCGGTGCCTAAATTTCATTAAGATCCTGCCAGCTTGATTTTCAAACCTTTATATGCCTTGCTTTGCCATTTGTTGCTGTTTTTTAACACATGGTTTGTTCGTTCTTTTGTAGTCTATCCACGATCAGATACTGCAGGAATACCGGAAAATCAAAAAAGTGAGTCTTGCTTGCTTATTTCTATAAAGCGGTTGCGCCAAAAAAGAGAGAGGCTTCCGTGCAGTCAGTTTTTAAATGAGACAGTCCTTGCGCCCCTGCTCACCTTAGAAATGACACACAAGGAAAAAGGGAGGAGGAGGGAGGAGGAAAGAAGGAAACTCGGGTGTCCCCAGTTCGTACACCGCCCTTGTCACCGCAAAGCAAGTTTTTACGTGCTCTGCATGTGAGAAGCTCAACCTTCAGCAACTGAGGAAATAAACTGGGATTCATGGCCGGCTCCTAGAGAAAGCAGGATGTCAGAACAGCCTTTCCTCCCAGCCTTGGTTGCTCCCAGATGTTTGAAACAGCAGCTTCCACAAGCGGTTGGAAGTTGTAGGACAGAAACGCCGGGCGGTCATCAGGGCGGGGTGAAGGAAGGCTGGCTAATAGGTAAAGCTCCCTGTTCAGCAGCAGTCTACCTTAGAATGCCAGTTGCCAGAGAGCAAAAAATAAAAAAACGGTGGAGATTCCTCATTGCAGTGAGGGGGGTTGGACTATGCTAAAGGTAAAGGGGCCCCTGACCATTAGGTCCAGTCGTGGCCGACTCTGGGGTTGCGGCGCTCATCTCGCTTTATTGGCCGAGTGAGCCGGTGTACAGCTTCCGGGTCATGTGGCTAACAGGACTAAGCCGCTTCTGGCGAACCAGAGCAGCGCACGAAAACTCCGTTTATCTTCCCGTCGGAGCGGTACCTATTTATCTACTTGCACTTTGACGTGCTTTCGAACTGCTAGGTTGGCAGGAGCAGGGACTGAGCAACGGGAGCTCACCCCGTCATTGCGGGGATTCGAACTGCCAACCTTCTGATCGGCAAGCCCTAGGCTCTGTGGTTTAACCCACAGCGCCACCCGCGTCCCCTGTAACCTGAGGTATGACTGTATTATTATAATTGTAATAAAAACAAATTTCTTTTCCCCTTCCATCTCTCTCCATCCTTCCTTGCAGACTAACCCAAACTACAGCCAGGAGAAGAACCGCTGCGAATACCTGCACAACAAGCTCGCCCACATCAAAAAACTGATAGCCGAATATGACCAACTGCAGTTCCAGTCTTGGCACTGAGAGGGGTGGGGGGGACGGTGAAAGTTTTTGCAGAGAGCCCACCACCCTCCGGTTCCGCTGGCGGCGATTGCAAACCTGTGAACAGCTTCCGGAACAGGGAAGAGGAGCGGCAGCAGGAGGAGGAAAATGTTTGAGAGATCTCTGTGTGGCACGACAAGGATCAGCGCACGATTCGCACCCCCGCGTGAGAGACGACCCATCACTTTTGCTGTACAAACCCCGGAGTTTTCAGGTGGGGGGGGGAAGGTACAAGGGGCCCGGTCCCCGTTTTATATAAGCAATTCTCTTCCCGGATATTAAAGAAGACAGTGAAAGAAAGGAGAAGTTTGCTTATTTTTCGGATAGTATCTGCTCAAAAAAACGAGAGACTGTTTTTCACGTTGGCCCCTCCACAACTTACAGGAAACCAAGAACTGTGTAGATCAGCGATGGCCACACATGGCTGTTTTGGGACTACAATTCCCATCATCCCTGACCACTGGTTCTGTGATAATAATAATAATAATAATTTATTATCTGTACCCTGCCCATCTGGCTGGGTTTCCCCAGCCACTCTGGGCGGCTTCCAACAAAGACCAAAAATACAGTGGTATCTCGGGTTACATACGCTTCAGGTTACAGACTCCGCTAACCCAGAAATAGTGCTTCAGGTTAAGAACTTTGCTTCAGGATGAGAACAGAAATCGCGCTCTGGCGGCGCGGCAGCAGCAGGAGGCCCCATTAGCTAAAGTGGTGCTTCAGGTTAAGAACAGTTTCAGGTTAAGTACGGACCTCCGGAACGAATTAAGTACTTAACCCGAGGTACCACTGTACACTGTTAGCTAGGGATGATGGGAGTTGTAGCCCTAAAACAGCTGGAGGGCCAAGTTTGGCCATCGTTGGTGTAGATCAATCAGTGGGGGGGGGGGTTCCCCAAAATGTTTCTGGGGCGAGATTGTCGGGGAGAGCTTGTGGGACGATGACCCCCAGCGCTGCTGGGTCTCGCTTTGGGCAGTCTGGCCTCGCACCCCCCCTTTCCCCCAACATCCCCAAGGCCCAGTTAACACCCCAGAAGAGACAACGGGCCTTTGCTTCTCTCTTCCCAGGGTTTCCTTGAAACGCAGCCAGGTTTTGTCGATTCCCAACGGGTCTAAATTTTTGCACATTCTTTTATCGTTCTCATTTTTGGGAGCATTCGCGAGCCCTGCTTTTCAGCGTTGGCAGCTTTTGGGCCCCTCTGGGAGCCCGAGAAACAACGGGGCGTTAAAAGGTGTGGGGGCGCTTTGGAAAGGGGGCGCAGAATTGCCATAGGAACCACCCGTTCTTTCCTTTCAACTCGTGTACACAGCACAGAACAATAATAGTTTTGAAAGCAGAGGGGAAACCGGAGGGTTGGTTTAAGGCAGGAGAGCAAAGGCACAACGACAATACTTGCCCTCCGATTTGGGTGCCCGTCCCCGCCAGCTCCCTCAAGAACAACCTCTCCCCAGTCTTCCACTCCTTTTCCAAACTCTTCCGCCTCTCAGGAACTATGGGTCTGTTGGAAATTGAAAACAGCCTCTTGCAAAAAAGGATGTTCCTATTCGGTGCAGATTATTCGGGTATGTGCAGTGCAGATTGGGGTATGATTTTTTTTGCATTCCGCTTTGGCCGAAAAGGGACGCAGGTGGCGCTGTGGGTTAAACCACAGAGCCTAGGACTTGCCGATCACAAGGTCGGCGGTTCGAATCCCCGCAATGACGGGGCGAGCTCCCGTTGCTCGGTCCCTGCTCCTGCCAACCTAGCAGTTCGAAAGCACGTCAAAGTGCAAGTAGATAAATAGGTACCGCTCCGACGGGAAGGTAAACGGCGTTTCCGTGCGCTGCTCTGGTTCGCCAGAAGCGGCTTAGTCCTGCTGGCCACATGACCCGGAAGCTGGACGCCGGCTCCCTCGGCCAGTAAAGCGAGATGAGCGCCGCAACCCCAGAGTCGGCCACGACTGGACCTAATGGTCAGGGGTCCCTTTACCTTTTTGGCCGAAAAGGCCTCATCGGGCAAAGGGAGGGCAGCGCCCCCAACTTCTCGAGTACAGCGCCAGCCTCTCGCGACGGGCCTTCCTAGGAGAGGAGTCAAAAGGAGAGGGATCCAAGAGGGTCGTCCAAAGTCCTGGGTGAGCAGAGAGTTTCCCATCGTCAGCAGGAAAGCAGGTTTAGTGTTTTTCTCAAAACGCAGAAAGCATTTTTCCTCCGCTCCGAACCGGATCTCTGGGATCGCGTTTTCTCTTTCTGACGACCAGCTTTTTGCAACTCTGAAATCTCGGGCCGTTTTAGCGGCGTATCTTCCCTCCCCTCACCGTCGGGTCAATTCATTCCCAAAACCATCGCCGCCAAATCTCTTGACCGAGGTTGATTTAGCGACAAGCAGCCCAGGCCGCAGAAATCAGGTGGATTCCGAGTTAATGCAATGAGGATTTATCGCTCAGAACTTCTAATAATATTGGGGAGGGCCGCAGGAAGAGGGGAGGGGGGTGAATTCTTATAATTATTATTTTTGGAGGAGGGAGACTGTGGACAAGAGAAAGAAACAAAAAAACAGACTTCTGTTCTTTATATGACAAACCTGCTCTATAGATAATATTTTTGCAAATGAGTTGGATACAAAGATATATTGTGTACATTACACAACTTGCGTGTGTGTGTGTGTGTGTATATATATATATATATATATATATATATATATTCTGGGACTTTGTAGAATTTGGAAATAGATATTTAATGACTATCCAAAGGGGTGGCGGGGGCGGAATACTGTGAGATTTTGCTTTTTGCTGCTTCTTTTTCTGAGACTGTGTGTTTTGACGGGAGCACAGTTTCTTTTCTCAAAGGCCCTCTTTTTTTTCCTGTTCCCGGTTCCGTGATTGATTTGGGCAAAACTTCATCCTTGGGCCTAGTGGGGGAAGGTGTCGCCAAAGCCCCTTAAGCTAATTTGAACATGATCTTAACTTATTCCATAACCCGGTGGGTTTTCCCCCCCTCCTTTGTAATAACAGTACAATGGATAAAAATACCTTGAACCATGAAGTCGTTTACAGTATATATGTTTGTTTGTGCGTTTATACACCCAAACACATACACGAAAGGGTCCCCCATCCCCACGTTGCCAAACTCGCCATTTAAAAGCAGCTTAAAGTCCTTTCTCCGCTTGCCTTTTTTAAAATAAAAAAAGCTGGTATCTCTCCATTTTTTGTACACAGGAGGGGGGTGGAAATACAAAACCGAATATTTCTTTTTTTCTTTTTGCAACACATAATAAAGTCATTGTATGAAAACCTGTCTGCTTTTGGAGCTCTGTCTTTGTAATAACATTCCATAGTGTTTTGCATCTTCCACGACTCTTCTTTACCTCTCAGGCTGCTGCTGCCAGCCAGAGCCTGGGCTGAGGTCCAGGGTGGGGCCAGGATAACCGAAAATTTCTCCCCCACTTCCAGACCCAGTTCCCTACTACACTCGGCAGGTGAGGACCTTGTGTAAAGTACAGTCTTGCGAAGAAATCTGTTCCATGCAGCGTTCTGGTCTCCTCGCCTCAAAATGGATATCGAAAAGGTTCAAAACGGGCACCAGTCATTACATACCCGGCAAAAATCAGGCGCGTGGCTTAAATCCTCTTAAATCAGGCGTGTGGCTGATGGACATTCTGTGGCCGTTTTTAATGCATCTGGGGGGAGTATGTGCTATTCATAAAATTCTACAAGGTGCGACCGGAAAGTTCGGGGAATGGTCACAGAAATCGGACCTCGAGAAATATTCGAACATACAGTTGGCATCGGAAACCCACAAAATGGCCACAATTGTGTATGGAGATAAAGCCGTAATTCGAAAGACAGTGTATGAGTGATTTCTGCGAAGGGCGGAAAACCATTGAAGATGACCCTCAGTTTGGCAGACCGGCGGCGAGCAGAACAGCGGCAAATGTCAACAGAGTCTGTGAGTTATTGATGTGGGATCGGCGTTTGTCCGTCCGAATGATGGCAGAAGAATTGCATATTCCGTGCGAAATTGTTCCTGAGGTTACTTAGTTGTCCCACCCTCCGTATTCTCCCGATCTGGCGTCACAGGATTTCTTTCTGTTTCCAGAGCTGAGATCTGGACTGAAGGGGCACAGATTTCCCCAACATTTCGCACGTCCAAGCCGCTGCAACGCGGGAACTGAAAGCAGCACGGAAAGAGGACTTCTCCAGAAGTTTCCAACAGTTCTACGAACGTTGCCAATGGTGCGTTGTATCAGAGGGGGCCTACTTTGAAGGTGCAGGCTCCATGATCACTGCAGATGGTGACAGCAGCCACAAAATTAAAAGACGCCTGCTTCTTGGGAGAAGAGCAATGACAAACCTAGACAGCATCTTAAAAAGTAGAGACATCACCTTGCCGACAAAGGTCTGTATAGTTAAAGCTATGGTTTTCCCAATAGTAATGTATGGAAGTGAGAGCTGGACCATCAAGAAGGCTGATCGCCAAAGAATTTATGCTTTTGGATTATGGTGCTGGAGGAGACTTGAGAGTCCCATGGACTGCAAGAAGATCACACCTCTCCATTCTGAAGGAAATCAGCCCTGAGTGCTCACTGGAAGGACAGATCCTGAAGCTGAGGCTCCAATACTTTGGCCACCTGATGAGAAGAGAAGACTCCCCGGAAAAGACCCTGATGTTGGGAAAGATGGAGGGCGCAAGGAGAAGGGGACGACGGAGGACGAGATGGCTGGACAGTGTTCTCGAAGCTACCAGCATGAGTTTGACCAAACTGCGGGAGGCAGTGGAAGACAGGAGGGCCTGGTGTGCTCTGGTCCAGGGGGTCACGAAGAGGCGGACACGACTAAACGACTAAACAACAACAACAACAAGGTGGTATGTTCTCGCTGTCCGATTTCTGTAACAATTTGCTGAACTTTCTGGTCCCATCGTGTCGAATTGGAAGGGATCCCAAGGGACATTGAGTCCATCCCCCCCCCCCCACACACACAATGCCAGAATCTGGATGGGTTGGGTCTGCTTTTTGTTCCTATTCTGAATTTTGCCTATTCTGTGAAGGTTTGCCACCCTTCACAGAAACACTTAAACCACTCATATACACTGTCTTTCGAGTTACGACTTCGTCTCCGTACAAAACTCTGAGCATTTCGTGGGATTTTATGTTTTCTCGCCGTCCGATTTCTGTGACCGTTCACTGAGCTTTCCAGTCACACCTTGTAGAATCGGTCACTCGGCTGGTGGTGTTGATAGTAATAATAATGCAAATATTTGCTAAAAGTAACAGTAGGGGAAATTGCTTTGCGAACGTATGCATTGTTAGAAATCTTCAGGGGGGAAAACGCCAGCGAATCTACGTGCAGGCTTTGCAAAATCTTGAAAACGGAACTGAATTTATAATCGG